CTCCAAACCACTCAAAATTTCCGCTACCTGTTGAAACCCACCTCTGCGTAAGAGCAGGAATTACTATGGGAAGGTCCTCTGCTCCAAGTAGGGCTGCAATCGAGCACAAATCTTCTTTAGTCTTGGTATCTATCCACCTAGTCGTACAGCTGCTTAAAGTCTCAACCTTGGCAATGTGTGGACTTCAACTCCCAAGGTTCTTCAGCCAGCATGGCTGACTATGGAATTCTGGGAGTTGAATTCTACACAACTTAAAGCCGCCGAGGTTGAAAAACACTGGTCTAGGAGGACCCTTGTGCCATAGACGTGCTGCCCCTTCAAGTTATCACTGATGATGTGCATCCAGTCACTTTCAATTCCTTAGGGACCACAGATCAATTTTTGTCAGTAGTCACTTGACAGTGAGATGAGCAGCATATAAATTTAATAAATAAATCTTTCTCAACCTTGGCATAAGAGTGCAAATCCGTCATGATGAGTCACTTTTTTTGGCACCATTGTAACTTTGAACAGTCACTAAATGACGGCTGTAAGTCAAGGACTCCCTGTTATCCCCATTATTGTACTCCTCCACTCTACAGGTGCTCAGAGTCTGGGAAATCCAACAGGCGCTTTCCCACAGCACACCTTACACTCATCTCTCTCTTTCTAGCAACTTGTGATCTCTATCCATTACTCGCAGCTATCTCCCCAAAACATCACAGATGAGAGTGAGAGCATGGGAAAGAGAATGAGTGTGTGTGTGTGTGTGTGAGAGAGAGAGAGAGAGAGAGATTTTTTAAATCAAGTTTTATTGGTCTCCCCCCACATTCACCCACATCTTTTCTGATCTTTTTTGAACAGAGTATTGGCCATATCTTATCTTAAACAATTTATCAAATTCAAATACATTTTACTCAATGACAATTTTTGCCACAATTTTCTTTTTCCCCCTTTTTTTAATCATATCTCAATATTTCTTCACTTACTTATATAAACATCTTCATTCGCCCTCAAATTCTAATTTTCCTGCTTATTCATATTTATTCTCTTTTATTTTTTAGCCATTCATTCTTTATCTTAGTAGATGTATATATGTTCGGGGTTGCCTTTCTTCCGTTTCATCTTTTTTGTTGTACAGCAATCTTTCTTCTCAATCCTGCCATCTCCCTGAGAGAGAGAGAGAGATTCTGTGTGTGTGTGTGTGTGTGTGTGTGTGTGTGAGAGAGAGAGAGAGAGAGAGAGAGAGAAAGAACGAGGGAGTGTGTGTGAGTGAAAGAGAAAGAGGGAGTGTGTGTATGAGAGTGTGTATGTCTCTGCGTGCCTCTGTGTATGTGTGTCAGAGAGAGAGAGAGATTCTGTGTGTGTGTGAGTGAGAGAGAGAGAGAACGAGGGAGTGTGTGCGTGCATGTGAAAGAGAGAGAAAGAACGAGGGAGTGTGTGTGAGAGAAAGAGAAAGAACGAGGGAGTGTGTGAGAGAGAAAGAGAAAGAGGGAGAGTGTGTAGGAGAGTGTATGTCTCTGCGTGCCTCTGTGTGTGTCAGAGAGAGAGAGAGATTCTGTGTGTGTGTGAGTGAGAGAGAGAGAGAACGAGGGAGTGTGTGCGTGCATGTGAAAGAGAGAGAGAGAAAGAACGAGGGAGTGTGTGTGTGAGAGAGAAAGAACGAGGGAGTGTGTGAGAGAGAAAGAGAAAGAGGGAGAGTGTGTGTGTGCGTGTGAGTGTGTATGTCTCTGCGTGTCTCTGTGTGTGTGTGTCAGAGAGAGAGAGAGGGAGACAGACAGACAGACAGAGAACGAACTTCCCACTGGTGGAGAGCACAAGAGGAGAACTCTGCCTTCCCCGTGCAGACCGCGATAGTGAAAGTGGAAAGGTGGCGCGGCCGTGCAAGACGCCACGGAAAAGGTTTTGTGCCGCCGGAAAGGTGAACGAGGGAAGGTGGGACAGGCCCGGAAAGCAGGGCAAGGAAGAGGAGGCTCCGAGGAGGCAGGGATAGAGCAGCCGGCAAGGCTAGAAGCGCCTATCTCCCGAAGCCACCGCCTTCCCCACCGCCAGAACTGCGTGGCAACCTCTCTCTCTCTCTCTCATTCCAGCAGCGCGTCGAGAGCGAAAGGGACGCGCTAGGTTGGCAGAAGCTGGGACAAGTAACCGGAGCTCACCCTGTTACGCAGCACTAGGGATTTGAACCGCTGAACTGCCGACCTTTCAATCGACAAGCTCAGTGTCTTAGCCACTGAGCCACCACGTCCCTAAATATATATTTAAAGAAATACAAAAGAAAGATCCAGCCTTGAGCCTTCGTTTCCAGTGGCTTATACTACTGTAAAGCAAATTTTAACCAATGAATCTCATAGGAAATGACCACTAGTGTTCTTGATCAAGGCAGCTAAAATGAGTAAGGACATAACTCTCCCTGCTGTAGCTTTTCACTTAAAAATTAACCTGCTCACCCAGAAGGATCAGGAATTCCTTCCAGGAAAACAACTGGGATGACTGAGGAAAGATGGATCACCCCATCCTCCCTTTGTCAGTTTTCATGCTAGCCATGGAGGAAATGCATTCTCTGTCATCAACGCGGAACTGCAACAGGCAGCAAAACTCGGTAACCGAAGAAGGATGGCACAGCTGCTTTGCTACAGCAATAAATCAGATGCTGTTATTTCTAAGCTCATGTTTGAAGGAGAAGCTTCTCTTCTGTGTGGCTGGAATGGAAATCCTAGTTCCATCAGGTTCAGTATTTGTCCTAATCGCATTGATCCAATCTAGAACTAAGGAGGAATTTCTTGACAGTTAGAACCATTAATCAGTGGAACGACTTGCCTTGCTTTCAGAAGTTGTGGGTGCTCCCATCACTGGAGGTTTTTAAGAGACTGGACCACCATTTGTCTGAAATGGTTTAGGGATTCCTGCCTGAACAGGGGGTTAGACTAGAAGACCTCAAGGTGCCTTCCAACTCTGTTATTCTGTGTATGAGAAATCTGCTCAAATTAATCCTAAAATGGAAAAAGGAAATATTCAGGACAGAGAATCTTCCCTTAGAAAAGGCAAAGCTGACCAGAGATAAATGATAGAAAAATATTAATTTCTCCCCTCCAGCACCCCTCCATCCCTCCCTACGTCTGGCAAATTTCAGAATCAAAATTTCAGAATCGGAAGCAACTTGGCTGGGCAACTGGATTTAAATTCTAGCACCTTTAATGGAGTAACATATTTCACCCCACAGGAGGCTAATTCAGGAGATACAGGATAGCTTGTACATGTCAAACTACATCTTAGTTCTCCAAAAGTCAGTACAGTACCCTGTTTCCCCAAAAATAAGACATCCCCTGATAATAAGCCCAATGAGGCTTTTGAGCACATGGTAATAAGGCCAAGCTGTCTCAGGAATTCTGGGAGTTGAAGTCCACAGGTTGTAAAAGGCCCACAGTTGCCCACCCCTGCTGTAGAGCATGGTCTTGATGGAGAAAGGAAAGATCTATTACCAAGGCAATACAGGTAGTCCTCGACTTACAACAGTTCATTTAGTGACAGTTCAAAGTCACAATGGCACTGAAAAAAAGTGACGACCATTTTTCACACTTACGACCACTTACGAACATCATGGTCACGTGATTAACATCCAGACACTTGGCAATTGGTTCATATTTATGACGGTCACACTGTCCTGGGATCATGTTGTAACCTTCTGACAAGCAAAGTCAATGGGGGAGCCAGATTGACTTAACCATGTTACTAACTTTAACAACTGCAGTGATTCACTGAAAGATTGTGGCAAGAAAGATCGTAAAAAAAGGGGGGGAGCAAAATTCATTTAACAAATGTCTCACTTAACAACAGAAATGTTGGGCTCAATGATGGTCGTAAGTCGAGGACTACCTGTAAACAGATAAAACGTGGCTTAAGCCCAAAGAGAGAAGTTTACAAAAATGTCTCAGACAAGCAACCCCCACAAATTCTCAAGAAGACAGAGGAGATGGGGAAGTACATTCATACATAACATAATAGATGTTATTACAGCTACTATTACACCACTAAGTAGTGTTATGTCTACATAGTGTCTGTTTCTTGGTCTGATCTACCTAGGAAGGCTGACAAGATCCAACCTGAGTTTGTCATTTCACTTAAGGGTAGGGCAGGCTTCGAGACAGATTTTAATCTTTTCCTTCCCTATACAATGTGGCATTTTGATTAATAATCAACTAAACTGTCTCTTCAAGATGTCTCTTTCCCCATGGAAATTATTTCATGGATAAAAACGGTCAAACTCTGAAAACTCCCATCACCACATATCAAACATCTTCCCCCCCTTTGGGTTCTGTTTGCAAAGCAGCAGGAAAAGAGGGTTTGGCCGTATAGCTGAGACCATAGTCACAAACTCTGCACCGTTTGTTTATCTATCAACCAGGGGTGGGTTCTAAATTTTTTTACTACCGGTTCTGTGGGCGTGGCTTATTTTGTGGATGTGGCTTGGAGGTCATGTGACTAGGTGGGCGTGGCTAGCTGGTCAGAGTCATTTCTGGAAGGTCCTCGCACTTACAACCAGTCCTCGCACCTACGACCCGACTCATTTGTTTGCTTTTAACACTGATCAGCTGTAGGACGGCCCTTTGAAGCCCCGCGGCAAGAGTTTAAACAGGTTTTTTCCCTCTAGTCATCAGCTGGGACTCAGGAGGCAGCAATAGATTGGGGGTGGGACCAAATAAAAGGTAAGAATAACGTGGGGGGGTGGGGGGTGAGAGGGCGGGGGGAGAACCGGTTCGGTGACGTCATATCGTCACCGCTACCGGCTCGGCCGAACCGGACCGAACTGGGAGGAACCCACCACTGCTATCAACCAATACTTTCTTGCCACTGTTCAAATACAGCTCTATTCTGTATTTCTGTTATTTGTTACTGACGCCAAATAAAACTTGGCTAATAGAATGCAGGCAATTTATACGATCTCTCCAACGTGGTCTGTCTCACGTACAGGCAGCTTGGAATCCGGCTCCAAGATAGGATGAGAATAACTCAAGAAGCCAGGCCGTGTATGGATTCTCTCGTGCTTAAGGCGGCCTGAATTTTGCTTGAATTTTTTCCCACACTGGGAACATTTGTAGGGTTTCTGCCCCGTGTGCTTTCTCTTATGTCTGGTAAGGCTGGACTTGTTACTAAAGGTGTTCCCGCAGTCTGAGCATCGGTATGGCTTTTCCCCAGTGTGGATCCTTTCGTGTTTCACGAGGTTTGAGCTCTGGGAAAAGCGTTTCCCGCAGATGGAACAACTATACGGCGTCTCTCCCGTATGAGTTCTCCCATGGACCAGAAGACTGGAGCTCTGCTTGAAGCTTTTGCCGCAATCTGAGCATATGTAAGGCCTCAGGCCGGTGTGATTCCTCATATGCCTGATTAAACTCGAGCTCTGGCTGAAACGCTTCCCGCAGTTTAAGCAACCGAACGGCTTTTCTCCAGTGTGTTTCCTCTTGTGTCTGGTCAGGCTGGATTTGTTACTGAAGCTGTTCCCACATTCTGAGCATTTGTAAGGTTTTTCTCCAGTGTGAGTCCGGTCGTGGGTAAGGAGGGCCGATCGTTTCTTGAAGACTTTCCCGCAGTCAGCACACTTGTACCATTTCTCGGTTGCCTTGGGTCTCTCGTGATCCATGAGGCCTGACGGATCACCAAAACCTTTGCCGTACATCGGAGAGTAATGGGGATCCTCACCTGTGTAGATTCTTTCATCCTCATCACCTTCTGGAAGAGAGAATTGGGGTATCAGTCTTTATGTAGGCCTGGGGCAAGGGTGGGTTCTACTTACCTTTACTACCGGTTCGCAATGGGGCCGCGTGTGCGCGCTCGCTTCGCTCGTGCGTACGCTCTTCTGCACATGCACAAAAGCGTTCTGATGACATCGGGGTCGGTGGGCGGAGCCTCCCGCCGGTTTTACTACCGGTGCTATAGAACCGGTGCAAACCGGGGGCAACCCACCACTGGTCTGGGGTTAATACAGGTAGTCCTCAACTTACAACCATTCATTTAGTGATCATCTAAAGTTACAACGGCACTTTAAAAAGTGACTGGTTGACTGTTTTTCATACTTACAACTGTTGCAGTCTCCCCATGGTAACGTGATCAAAATTCGGACACTGATCAACTGATTCATATTTATGACGGTTGCAGGGTCCCGGGGTCATGAGATCCTTTTTTGCGACCTTCTGACAAGCAAAGTCAACGGGGGAAACCAGATTCACTGAACAAACATGTTACTAACTTAACAACTACAGGGATTCAGCTCTGGCAAGAAAGGTCATAAAATGAGGCAAAACTCACTTAACAACAGTCTCGCTTAGCAACAGAAATTTTGGGCTTGATTGTGGTCGTAAATCAAGGACTACCTATACCAATATAAGCTGCCTTCCCTAAAATGAAACTTTTCTTTTTAACAACAGTAAATTCAAAGTTGTTAAAGAAGGACATGACGGATGTAAGGAAAACTATCACTTTTTAAAACGGCCTGTGACTTTGGCCGATATAGTCAACTTTTTAAAAATTGCCAAAAAGTTTATGACATGACCAAACTTCAAAAGAGTTGAAGAATACAGGTAGAGTTCAACACTCGACTTACAACAGTTCATTTCGTGACTGTTCAAAGTTTACAATGGCACCGAAAAAAGTGATTTATGACCATTTTTCACACTTATGACCGTTGCAAGCATCCCCATGGTCATGTGATCAAGATTCGAATGCTTGACAACTGAATCATATTTATGACCATTGCAGCATTCTAGGCAGTGGTGAAATCTAAAATTTGTTACTACCGGTTCTGTGGGTGTGGCTTGGTGGTGGTGGGGTAATGTGACTGGGTGGGCGTGGCCTTTTTTTTTTTTTTTACTTTTAAAACCATTTTTTCTACAACCTCTTCAGCCGAAGAGGTTGCAGAAAAAGTGCTTTTAGAAGCCTCCGATGATCCCAGCTGAGTTGCCTGAATGCCTCTGACGGCCAGGCAACTCAGCTGGGATCGTCAGAAGCTTTTAAAACCATTTTTTCTACAACCTCTGAAGAGGTTGTAGAAAAAATGCTTTTAAAAGCCTCTGACGATCCCAGCTGAGCCGCGCGATCATCAGAGGCTTTTTTTTTACTTTTAAAAGCATTTTTTCGGCCAAAGAGGTTGTAGAAAAAATGCTTTTAAATTTTTTTTTAAAAAGCCTCTGATGATTGTGCGGCTCAGCTGGGCGGGCGGGGGGGGGCAGGGATTTTTGCTGTCAGTTCTCCAAACCACCCGCCTCCATCGCTACTGGATCGGCCAATCCAGTCCGAACCGGGAGCATTTCACCCCGATCCTGGGGTCATGTGATCCCCTTTTGCGACTTTCCGACAAGTGAAGTCAATGGGAAGCCAGAATCACTTAACAATGCTGTTACTAATTTAATAACCGCAGTGATTCAACTTAACAAATGTGGCAAGAACGATCGTAAAATGGGGCAGAACTCAACAAATTTTTCACTTAGTAAATAGAAATTTTGGGTTCAACTGCAGTCGCAAGTCGAGGACTACTTGTACAATTCTACATCTCAGAAAACAGCTTTAAAGCCAACCCCATCCCTCAAAAAAAAAAAAAAAACCTAAAGGCACAGGTAGTCCTCAAGTTACAACCCTAATGCAGCATATGCCCATCACAAACGTAAGCCATGATAGTTGTAAAAACTTATTGGTCATGTGACTGACTTGGTTTTATGAATATGTGGCGGCTGTTAAAAGCAAATCATCACGGTCATTAAATGAATCTGCAATCGTTAAGCAAACCAATGTGCTTGCTGAAAATCAGAAGTGCCAGTTTGAGGCAAAAGTCACACAATACACAGTCACGTGACCTTGGGACGCTGCAAACAGATCGTAAATGTGGGCCTGTTGTCCAGTAGTTTACTCATTTGACCATCGTAACTTCGAATGTAGGTTGTAAGTATCCCTAATGTAGGACCACCATAACTTCAAACAGTCGCTAAGCAATCGGCCATAAGTTGAGAACTATCTATATACCGATTTACCACGATCGTCCATTTTCAGTATCTGAAACCACCCACAGCAAACCTCATTTCCTCTTCCCCCCACTCCCAAATTTAGCTAGCAAAGCAGTCACTAGGAAAAACCTGAGGGAGAGATTGATCTTTCTGGAAACACAGGGCCAATGGTTGTGCCTAAAGGCTGCCTTGTCTTCATTGTGCCACCAAGTAGCACATGGAGTTGAAGGGAAGCAAGACAGCAATGACGTTCCTCAGCTAGCAAAGCACATTGGTCATGGATTGTGTGCTGCTGCTCCATCTCTTTCTTTAAAGCATCAAGATACCTGCAGGCAACTTGTCCCTAGAAGTGGCTGCCTGGGTTCATTTTCACACAATCTATGTTAACCTCCAAGTGAGGCTGGAGAAACGCCTGTGAAATATTTCCAAATCAAGTCCTCCTGGAAGTCAGGGAAGAACCTGATTCGCTTTGCATTGATTCACAACTCTTGAGGAGAAAGAGCCCTCACCTAGAATAATGATGCTGCCAGAATCTTCTTCCATAGCAACTCCAAATCCAACATTTGAGTTTAGCACCAGAAAACCACTTGCTCCTGTCATGGGGGAACGAAAGAAGAGTCAAAATAATAACATTTTTAAGATGTTAACTTGGGGAAAAGAGTCTGTTGTGATTTGAGCAACCAAGTATTTTTTCCTGCCTACTTCTATTCTCCAAGGTTAAAATTGTACAAGCTGGCTTTTTATTTTTTATTTATATATATATATATATATTGCATTTTTTCCTCTTTACATATCTCTATTACTTATTTAACAGATCTGTGACATTATTCATACAACTAGAATCAATATTCAATATTATATACATTCTATTTCTAAATGTTCTATTCCTTTATGTACATTAAATGTCAAATAGAATTCAATCCGGAATTATTTCTCCTGGAGATATTTAGGGAGAAATATAATAGAAAGATAAAATATTTGATATTACATATATTAACGGTGGCAAGGATTGCTTTTGTGCAGTATTGGAAGAAAGATAGTTTATTGCCAGAGGGATTAGTAATTCAAAAATATTTGATTGCGCGGAAATGGATAAACTCACATTAGAGCTAAAGGGAAAGGATGACTCAGAATATTATGCGGTATGGCAGAAATGGTATGAATGGATAGATAATAGAAATAAGGAATGGAAATGGACAAGCTGGCTTTTTAGACCACACATTATCAAGCAGAGTTCAACCCTCAGTACTTGCCAATTTTTAAATGGGTTTTCAAATTTGGAAGAGTTATAAGTGATCCCTTATAACTGTTGGCTGTCTGGGGAATTCTGGGAGTTGAAGTCCATACAGCTTCAAATTGCCAAGGTTGAGAAAATTGCTGGATTTCAAGAAGATTGTTCCAAAGTGTAGATACCACTAGTGAGAAGGTGTGCTGCCTAAGTCATGCTAGATGGCAATATTTAAAATTGCCAAAGTTGAAAAACACTTAAAATTGCCAAGGCTGAGAAACACTGATCTGGAAGGTCCTTTTGGGCTCCGATATTTTCAGACCTAAGCCAATCTCTCCCAGCACCCCAAGCCAGGATGGCTGAAATACACACATTTTAGAAACATCTCTAACTCCTCGTTCTCCTTTTTAAAAAAAGCAGGTCTGCTTTTGATCTGATCTCTCTGAAAAGTCAAAAGAACCCTCAGAGTTGATCTCATATCTAATAAGGTTCTGCATTACTTCTGGCCTCTGATTGGCCTGTTGGGACCAAACTTTAAACAATAAGCGGGCAGGATAAAAATGGTGAAAATTTAAAATGTATTTCGACTTCAGTGCAATTAAAAGCAAACCGAAACGCTTTTAAATACGATGGCTCGGTCTATACTGAATCGTCCCCTGTCCTTTTACACAAGAGAGCCCCACGTTATCTGGATGCAGCCGTATTTACTCAAAAGTTACCCTTGCTCAGATTAAGAGGATTTCCACCCAGACACATGATTTGTTGATATGCAACCTGTCAGTAGCTGCCCAGTACTAATGCAATTAATTCTGTGCAGATGTGGTTTCGAAATAACACTATAAAAAGAGAGGAGGCAGAATTTAAAGGTTAAGTTCAAGGAGGGGAGACAGAGGAGGAAACAGAGCGGCAATGGGGTTATGGATAGGTTTAGTGAAGACTCTGCCTCTAATCCAGCAGGAAATTACTAGGGGTGACATGGTAGCAGTGTACTGATATCTCAAGGGCTGCCACAAAGAAGAGGGAGCCAAGCTATTCTCCAAAGCACCTGAGGGTAGGACAAAGAAGCAATGGGTGGTAACTAATCAAGGAGAGAAGCAATTTAGAATTAAGGATAAATTTCCTGACAGTTAGAACAATTAATAAGTGGAACAACTTGCCTGCAGAAGTTGTGAATGCTCCAACACTGGAAGTTTTTAAGAAGATGTTGGAGTGGTGTAGGGTTTCCTGCCTAAGCAGGGGGTTGGACTAGAAGACCTCCAAGGTCCCTTCCAACTCTGCTATTCTATTCTAAATTCTGGATGCTGCACTCTTCCTTCTCTCTCCCCATCTGTTTTGCCTCTTGAGCAATCCCACTCGTCGGGCGTTTCTTCTCTTTTCCCAGTCGAATGTGGTTTTTTTTTTCCCCCCTCTCTTTTTCAACACCCCAACCACTTTTGGGGAGAAAACAAACTTTTATAAATGGGTTAACTTCCACCCATCCCACACCAGCTGCATCAGGGCAATCCCTAAAAAGGACTACCCATCATCAAAGAAGAAGAGAGGTGAATTCTAAAAAGCTGGGAGTACGCAGATGGGAGAAAGCACTTTTAAGGGGCCGCTAATCCGGATTAAGGCATGCAACGCACACGCCGATTCAAACAGACCTGGGAAGAAATCTCTCCTTCTCCTTTCTGTGTTTTAAAGGCGGCTTTTCCTTTGCTTTCCGCTTCCTATCATGTGACCGAAGCCCTGCCAGGAGACTGGCAAGGGCAGACCCAACTAATCAGCTGTTGGAGCGGATGGATGAATGAAGGGTAGGGAGCCTGGGATAGCAATAGCAGTAGCACTTAGATTTATATACCGCTTCACAGTGCCTTACGCAGGGGTGGGCAACTGTGGCCCTTTTATAATCTGTGGACTTCAACTCCCAGAATTCCTGAGACAGTCAAGCTGGCTCAGGAATTCTGGGAGTTGAAGTCCACTGGTCATAAAGGGGCCATATCCCCCCCCCCCGCTTTACAGCCCTCTCTAAGCGGTTTACAGAGTCAGCCTATTGACTCCAACAATCTGGGTCCTCATTTTACCCACCTCGGAAGGATGGAAGGCTGAGTCAACCTTGAGCCTGGTGAGATTCGATCTGCCAAACTTGCTGGCAGCCGGTGATCAGCAGAAGTAGCCTGTAGTACCGCACTCTAAGCACTGCGCCACCGCGGGATATTCAAGCCTGCGTATCTAAGGCTAGCCAAAGAATACTGTACCGAGTACAGGTAGTCCTCAGCTTACAACAGTTCATTTAGTGACCGTTGCAGCATCCCCATGTCACGTGATCAAATTTCAGCTGCTTGGCGACTGACTCGTATTTATGACAGTTGCAGTATCCCAGAGTCATGTGATCATCACATTTTGCGACCTTCTGACAAGCAAAGTCAATGGGGAAGCCAGATTCACTTAACAACCGTGTTACTAACTTAACAAATGCAATTTCATTTAATAACGGTGGCAGGAAAAGTCATAAAATGGGGCAAACTCACTGAGCAAATGTTTCACTGAGCAACATAATTTTGGGCTCAATTGCAGTCGTAACTCGAGGACTTACCTGTACCATTAGTAGAGGTAGTCCTCGACTTACAAACAGTTTATTTATTTATTGGTTCAATTTACATGCCGCCCTTCTCCAAAGACTCAGGGCGGCTTACAATGCGTTAAGCAATAACCTTCATACTTTTGTATATACCTGCTTAGTAGGGCTTTTTGCCCCCCTAAGCGGTGTTCTTTTTTATACAAAGTCAGCTTATTGCCCCCACAATCTGGGTCCTCATTTTACCTACCTCAAAAGGATGGAAGGCTGAGTCAACCTTGAGCCTGGTGAGATTCAAACTTGCAGTAATTGCAGGCAGCTGGAGTTACTTTAACAGCACTTTAATCTGCTGTGCCACCAAGGCTCTTCATTTAGTTCATTTAGTGACTGTTCAAAGTTACCACAGCACCGAAAAAAGTGACTTACGACCATTTTTCACACTTAACGACAGTTGCAGCACCCCAATGGCCACGATCAAAGTTCAGATGCTTGGCAGCTGCTTCATATTTATGACGGTTGCAATAGCATGTGCACACCTTTTATGACCTTTCAACAAGCACATTCAGTGTGGAAGCCAGATTCACTTAACAACTTGGTTACTAATTTAACAACTGTTGTGATTCACTTAACAACTGTGAAAGAAAGGTCATAAAATGTGGGCAAAACTCACTTAACAAATGTCTTGCTTAACAACATAAATTTGGGCTCAATTGTGGTCGTAAGTTGAAGACTACCTGTACAGTAGTTTGTGAAGTATACAGGTCCTCAATGGAAGGCAAGCTGGTTGCAATTGTTTTTTCTGGAGTTCTAACTATCTGTTGAAGTCCCTACCCGTCCTTTTTGCTTGCTGCGTCAAACCAGACAGTTATAGAGCTACAAATGATGGACTCAATAATTCCTCTGTAGAACTGTAACAGCAGAGCCTTGGCAGTGGTTGGTTGCTACCGATTCACCCCGGTTCAGGTGAACCGGTACGACGGCGGGGGAGGCTCCGCCCACCCACCCAGATGTCATAAAAAATGCTCTGCACATGTGCAGAACCTTCTGTGCATGTGGAGAAGCACCGCACACTCACAAAGCAAGCGAGCGAGAGCACCCGCGTGCTCCCAATAGCGAACTGGTAGCACCGGGATTTGAAACCCACTACTGATCCTTGGACAATCTGAGCTTTCTAAGTTGATGCAGGCAGAACATGTATAATATTACCTGATTTGTGACGGGCAAAATGTACCAAATATGGCCTTGAGCAGCTAATAATTCAACACATTCTTCCTTCAATTTTCCCCCAAGATTATACCGTAGAGTTTTAGCAGTGAATGTACTGTAGCTGAAGTTGTTTCTGCACACACTCATCTGAGTTCCTGGGTGAAGAAACATTCGATTGTGGCCTGAAGCTTTTCACACAAAGCTTTGAAGTGGTTTCCTGATGGTAGGCTTTCTTTTATCTCTTATCAAGCCTAAAAATCACTAAAGCTTTCTATCAGTACTTGTTCATCTCAACTATTTCTTTTCATGGTTTCTTTTCATCCTTGCCATATCTTCTTCTTCTTGTGTCATATCCGTCATCAGACGTTGGCGATCCTGTTGGCAATCCTATTTTTGTCAACAGCCGCATGAAAAAGTGCTGCTGAGTTTTGTCCAAACCAGTCCCTTAGGTTTTGAAGCAGTGGTGAAATCCAGCAGGTTCTGACAGGTTCTGGAGTAACGGTAGCGGAAATTTTGAGCAGTTCGGAGAACCGGCAAATGCCACTTCTGGCTGGCCCCAGAGTGGGGTGGGAATGGAGAATTTGCAATATCCTTTCCCCAGAAGTGGGGATTTTGCAGTATCCTTCCCCTGGAGTTGGGTGGGAATGGAGATTTTGCAGTATCCTTCCCCTGCCACGCCCACCAAGCCACACCCACAGAACCGGTAGTAAAAAAATTTGGATTTCACCACTGTTTTGAAGCCATAATGTTCTTCTTCTTCCTGGACCTCATTTGCCTTCAAGCTTTACCTGGAGGATTAAGTGAAGGATGCTGTATTTTTCTAGGTGTTGCATCACATGTCCAAAATATTCTAACTTAAATGCTTTTTATTGGTTTTGATTATTTCCCTTGGCTTTCCCAGGCAGCTTATCATCTCATTTGTGATTTTGTTAACCCAGTTTATACGTAACAACCTTGCCATATAGAGATTACAATAGGATGTGAAGTAAAGCCGCCAACCTATAAGATAAATGGCAGGCAATAGGGAAACAGAATAATGGAGTCAGAAAGTACCTTGGAGGTCTCTCTCTCCCTCCCTCCCTCCCTCCCTCTCTCTCTCTCTCTCTCTCTCTCCCTCTTTTACGCTTTTCAAAAGCTAAGGAAGTTGAATTACAAAATGTTCTCTCGCTGCAATAGGTAAATTGAAATTTCTGTGCACCCTTTATCCATTGGAAAAAATATCTTTTGTCAAATATCAGATGTACACGTGTCAGTCTCTTCACCCCACAACCACACAATTTGATTAAACATGCTCTGGCATTTTTCATTCTTAACGATAGGAAACCAGAGACTCGCTGTTACTTTCTAGCTTTAATAAAACAATTAATAGATCTTGTCAAAATGTTCTTAGCTGAGTTTTCCAAACATGGAAGAGATGCTGCTGGATTGAGGGTGACAATCCAGTGGGAAGGAGCATCTCTCCACAGACTTAGATGTCAACCCTGAAGCTGGCCAGGCCGAAGCTGTATTGGAGCTTCAGTGCTCCCACACTAGAGCTGAGGGATAGGGAGTGGGGACTGGAGATAGCTGGGGTTGTGTACTCAAAATAAAAAACTTTCTCTTGGGAACAAAGGACGTTCTCACACCCAGTCGGATGAAGGAGGAGTAATATCACCAAGCCACTAGACAGGGCCTGATTGCAAACAATATGGGATGTGGTGTTTAGAGAAATTAGAGCACTTTGGAATGTAAATTTAGATATGTCACCTAGAATAGCCGCCTTGAGTCTTCGGAGAAAGGCGGCATACAAGTTGAACAAATAAAATTGCATTACTGTTGCTGGTGGAAAAACGGAATATACATGAAACAAAAAGGGAATTGATTGTAAATTTGATAATGGCAACTAGATCAATGATGGCTAAATAATGGGGACGAAATTGGGATATTCAAAGAAAGTAGTGGTATAATGAAATTTGGAGTATGGCAACAAATGATAAATTAACAACAGAAATTAAATTTTAAAAAGGGATTGTCAAAGCAAACAATTATAATGAAATATGGGGGGATTTTATAAAATCAGTGTTGGTGGAAGGCAAAGGGAATAAACCTACTCAAGTATATATGTTGTTTTGAAGGGGATAAGGGCACAATTAAAATATATTGTATATCTTTTAGTTGTTTTAGGAGAAAAAATATAAGGGGGGGGGAATGGTCTCCGGGGGTGGGGGTGCACTGTAATATTTGTAATTTTTTCCCCTTTTTTGTATTTAGATGTATATGTACTATGTTGTATTGCTTGTATTATTTTATTTAATTTTTTTTTAATTTAAAAAAAAGACAGCACCTGATTGGACCATGTGACTGATAGTTTGGGGTTGAGAGAAAAACTTTTACTTTTAATTAGGTGAAAAACTGCGGGACCTTTCAGAGTCGGTTTTCACTAGATATGTGCCAATATGATATTTATTTATTTATTTATTTATTGGTTTGATTTATATGCCGCCCTTTTCTGGAGACTCAGGGCGGCTTACAATGCGTTAAGCAATAGCCTTCATACTTTTATATATACCTGTATAAAGCTGTTCTATGAGGAAGCTACTTGCCTTGGAGTATGGCCTGATATGGATCTATTACTTGGAACCCTGACATCAACATTAAATGGCTGAAATGTACAGTGGTTAATATTTTTTTTATCTTTTGCAAGGTAGCACTTGGTTTTAGCAATTTCTTCTGCAAAGGAAGAAGAGTTTATTACTTCTAGTCACACACTTCAAAGCTGTATAAGCTTTATTTTATTTTATTGCATATTTAAAACGGAAAAAACTTTATTATATATTGCTTATTTCCATTCTCCTGAAAAGCAGTATGGGGATGAGGGGGGGAGACTTGTTCTCTTCCAGAAACAGCTGAGCATCACTATGGCAGAAAAGGAAGATGATAAAAGTGGGTTTACCAGGTGAAATTAACTGCATAAATGCAACAACCAGGCCCACATGCAAATAATTTCCTTTTGTTTAGTTAGACCCACTTGCTTCCGAAGAACTGGAAAAGCTACTGTATAGTATTGCCATTTCTCTTAGACAGCCTTGCTTGTGCGAGTTTTACAGTGTTTATAGCTAGCTGTGTTTTTTTTCAATGAAGGTCTTCCCACAGTCCACACATTTAAACGCTTTTCCTTCTTTGTGGGTCCTCTTGTGTTTAAGGGAATGGTTTCTCTCGCTTGTGAACTTTTCTGTGTGATGTAAGAGCACTGCTGTTGGGAAAACTTTTCCCACAAGCACAACATTAAAATGGTTTCTCTCTCGTGTGGATTTCCTCATGATCTTCCACTTTGGATTTTTCGTGAAGCTCTTCCCATACACAAAGCATGCATATGGTCTTTCTCCTGTATGAATTCTCTGGTGAATCATTAGCAAAGATCTACAATCAAAACTTTTTAAACAATGCAAGCATTCGAATGGTTTTTCACCAGTATGTTTTCCTTTTATGCAGCTGTAGGTGTGCAAGTTGGCCAAACATTTTTCCCACCATCTGAGCATTAATGTTTATACCGTTCCATGTGTTTATCAAGGGAGAATTTTCTCCTGAAAGCTTTACCACATTCTTGACATTTATAACGTTTTTCTCCAGTGTGGATTTTCTTATGCATCGCAAGAACTGAACTGAAGGTAAATTTTTTACTGCAGAATGAACAGTGATAAGGTCTCTCGCCAGTATGGATCCTTTGGTGCAGCTTCAGATATGAATCACTGCGGAAATTTTTTCCACAATCTGAACATCGATGTAATTTCTCTCCCCCGTGAGTTTTCTTGTGTCTCTGATGATTTCCTTCAGTACGAAAACTGCTTCCACATTCTGAGCAAGTGAAGGGTCTCTCGTCTCGGTGGATTCTTTCATGTCTGTTCACTTGTCTTCTGGTCTTGAACTTCTTCCCACAATAAGTACATGCATAGGGTTTCTCCCCGGTGTGGGTGCGTTGGTGCGTTTGAAGGTTTGAGTTCCGTATAAAACATTTCCCACACTCTGAGCATGAATAGGGTTTCTCTTGAGTGTGGCTTTTCCTATGAGAAAATAGGTTTGAAGAGCAAGCGAAACTCTTCCCGCACTCTGAGCATCTGTAAGGCCTCTCTCCTGTATGGCAGCGCATATGAATGGGAAGATAAGCATTAGTGGAGAAGGTTTTGTCACAGATTGAACATTTGTCGGATCTCTTGTTAGACACGTTGGAAGCAGAAGAGTCCTTCAGACTCTTATTCCCTTGGATTTGACTTTTCTTGCTCGGAATGGACTTTTCTTCCTTTTGCTTCCTCCTATGTTTTCTTTGCTGCCTCCTGTCTCCTGGCCAAAACTGAATGGACTGCATGGATGTCTCTTCATTCTCACTCACTTGCTCAGGTCCTAATAAAATAAAACAGAAATAAGATACAACAGCATAACCTCCATTTCGTCACATTTAATACAGATTTGCAGCATGCAGGCCAGTGGTGGGTTTCAGATTTTTTACTACCGGTTCTGTGGGTGTGGCTTGGTGGGCATGGCATGGCTTGGTAAACGTGGCTTGGTGGGTGTAGCAGGGGAAGGTTACTGCAAAATCCCCATTTCCTCCCAATCAGCTGGGACTTGGGAGGCAGAGAATAGATGGGAGCGGGGCCAGTCAGAATTTTTACTACCGGTTTTCTGAACTAATCAAAATTTCCGCTACCGGTTCTCCAGAACTGGTCAGAACCTGCTGAAACCCACCTCTTATGAAAAAATAAATTATAACTTGATAATTTTATCGCAAAGAGGCTTTGCAAAAGTCTTTATGTGTTCATCAGATTGTCGCTCTTCACTAAAAGCCAAAGAATGTATCAGTTGTGCAAAAAAAAAAAAAAAACACCTGTCAAACTATTGGATCAAATTGTCTCACCTGTGCAGGATGGAAAAGGGAACTCTCTTTGTTGATCGGATTCCAATAGGATTTTCCCTTGCTGTAAACAGGAGATTAGATCTGGCTTTGAAGAAGAAAGTCCTGTGTGAAGAAGGAGGGAAGTTCAGAAGAAGGAAGGAAAGAGGATGAGAAGAAACATGCTTCTCCTCCTGTTTCCTTCACAAGAAAAACATGGTACAAGTAGTGTTCAACTTACGACCACAATTGAGCCCAAAATTTATGTTGCTAAGTGAGAAATCTGTTAAGTGAGCTTTGCCCCATTTTTACAACTTTTCTCGCCACATTTGTTAAGTGACTCGCTACAGTTCTTACATTAGTCACATGGTTGTTAAGTGAATCTGGTTTCCCCGTTGATTTTGCTTTATCAGAAGGTCAACAAAGGGGATCACAATGACTCCGGGACACTGCAACCGTCATAAATGTGAGTCAGTTGTCAAGCATCTGAATGTAAATCAAATAATAATTTGGATGCTGCAATGGTCATACATGTGAAAAATTTTTATTTATTTATTTATTTATTTATTTATTTATTTATTTATTTATTTATTTATTTATTTATTTATTTATTTATTTATTTATTTATAAATTTGTATACCGCCCTTCTCCCTGAGGACTCAGGGCAGTGAACAGCCAAGTAAAAGCATAAACTACAAACATTAAAATACAATTAAAAAGATATATATAAATTTGGCCCCATGATTAAAAACAATAACAAACAATTAAAAACATTTTAAAAAGTGTTAGGCCAGCCCGGCTTGCTGGAAAAAGAAAGTTTTAAGGGCACGGCGGAAGGCACCGAGGTTTTGGATTCTCTGGGGGCAGCTGATTCCAGATTCCAGAGGGTAGGTGCCCCCACAGAGAAGACCCTCCCCCTGGGGGTCACCAGCCTACATTGTTTGGCTGATGGCACCCCGAGGAGGCCCTCTCTGTGGGAGCGCACAGGTCGATGGGAGGCCGTCGGTAGTAGCAGGAGGTCTCGAAGATAACTAGGTCCTATGCCATGGAGCACTTTAAAGGTGATAACCAACACCTTGAAGCGCACACGGAAGACCACTGGGAGCCAATGCAGCTCACGCAGGAGAGGTGTTGTATGGGAGTGCCATGCGGCTCCCGTGACTACCCGCGCGGCCGCATTCTGGACCAGTTGGAGCCTCCGGGTGCTCTTCAAGGGGAGGCCCATGTAGAGAGTGTTGCAGTAGTCCAGGCGAGAGGTGACAAGGGCATGAGTGACTGTGCACAGGGAATCCCGATCAAGAAAGGGCCGCAACTGGCGGATCAGGCGAACCTGACCAAAAGTCCCCCTGGCAACAACCGTCAGATGTTCCTCCAAGGACAGCTGCGTATCCAGGAGGACTCCCAGATTGCAAGCCCTCTCCGAGGGGCCCAAAGAGTCACCCCCAATAGTCAGTGATGGAGTCAACTGACTATATCGGGATGCCGGGAACCACAGCCACTCAGTCTTGGAAGGGTTGAGCTTGAGCCTGTGTCTCCCCATCCAGATCCGCACAGCCTTCAGGCACCGGGACATTACTTCAAGGGCATCATTGGGGTGGCCTGGGGTGGAGATGTACAGCTGGGTGTCATCAGCGTACTGATGGTACTTCACCCCAAAGCCACGGATGATCTCGCCCAGTGGCTTCACATAAATGTTGAATAGAAGGGGCGAGAGGACAGACCCCTGAGGCACTCCACATATAAGAGGCCTCGAGGTCGACTTCTGTCCCCCTGCCAACACAAACTGCGACCCGTCTGAGAGAAAGGAGGAGAACCACCGTAACACGGTGCCCCCCATCCCCAACTCTTCCAACCGATGCAGCATGATACCATGATCGATGGTATCAAAAGCTGCTGAGAAGTCTAACAGGGCCAGAACAGAGGAGCAACCCCTGTCCCGAGCCCTCTAGAGATCATCTACCAACGCGACCAATGCCATTTCCGTGCTGTGCCCGGGCCTAAAACCCGACTGGAACGGATCTAGATAAGATGTTTCCTCCAGGAAAATGGTCATAGGTCAACTCTTTTCAGTGCTGTTGTAACTTTGAACAGTCACTAAATGAACTGTTGTAAATCGAGGACTGCCTGTAATGCCTTGCTAAGACCAGACTGGGAATACTGCCTCCAGTTTTGGTCGGCACGATATAAAAAAGATGTTAAGACTCTAGAAAGAGTGCAGAGAAGGACTATCTGTAATATTAATGCAACTCTGAAAAACAAATCTTTTCTTGTGGGTGGGCTCAGGGGGTAAGGGGAGGTCCCATCCAGAGGTGGGTTTCAGCAGGTTCTGACCAGTTCTGGAGAACCAGTAGCGGAAATTTTGAGTAGTTCGGAGAACCGGTAAATACCACCTCTGACTGGCTCTATACCCATCTATTCTCTGCCTCCCGAGCCCCAACTGATCGGGAGGAAATGGGGATTTTGCAGTATCCTTTCCCTGGAGTGGAGTGAGAAGGGAGATTTTACAGTATCCTTCCCCTGCCATGCCCACCAAGCCATGCCATGCCATGCCATGCCCACCAAGCCACGCCCACAGAACCGGTAGTCAAAAAATTTGAATCCCACCACTGGTCCCATCCCAGCTGCAAAGCACAGATCCCAAGTCCTGGGAAGCTGGACTCAGCCAATCAGAACTCTAATTTCCTGACTAGGAAAAAGACCCTAAGGTCTCTCTTCTCAACCTACAGTGGGTTGAGTCCAGGATGGGATGCTGCGGAACCAGTGGTGAAATCCAATTTGTTTTACTACCGGTTCTGTGGGCATGGCTTGGTGGGCATGGTTTGGCTTGGTGGGCGTGGCTTGGTGGGCATGGCAGGGGAAGAATACCACAAAATCTCTGTTCCCACCTCACTCCAGGGGAAGGATATTGCAAAATCCCCATTCCCTCCCCACTCCTGGGGGAAGGATATTGCAAAATCTCCATTCCCACCCCATTCTAGGGCCAGCCAGAGGTGGTATTTGCCGGTTCTCCAAATATTTTTTTTTATTTTATTTTTTATTTTATTTTTTAATTAGATTTATATGCCGCCCTTCTCCGGAGACTCAGGGCGGCTTACAATGCATTAAGCAATATTCAAAATTTCCGCTACCGGTTCTCCGAACTGCTCAAAATTTCTGCTACCAGTTCTCGAAAACCTGCTGGATTTCACCCCTGATGTCAACCCTGAAGCTGACCTGACGGAGGGCATCTTGGACGCTTAAGTGTTGCCACACTGGAGCTGAGATAGGGAGGGGGGATTTTAGATAGCTGGGATTTTGTAGCAAAAACAAAATACTTTCTCTTGGGAACCAAGGACATTCTCACACCTGGGCAGAGGAAGGCGGAGTGATGTCACCAGGCAACCACCAGACAGCGCCATGATTGGACCATGTGACATTGTTTTGAGAAAGTGACAAACGTTTACTTTTCGTTAGGTGAAAACCGCAGGAATCTTCAGAGTCGGTTTTCACCAGATATGTGCTAATATGATATATCCAATAAAGCTATTCTTTGAGGAATCTACCTGCCTTGGAGTTTTGCTTGCAATAGGTTTCTTACTTGGAATCCTGACATAGGAGACCCTATACCGCTCGATACAAATGGCTATCCAATCTCTTCTTAAAAACTTCCATTGTTGGAGCACCCACAACTTCTGAAGGCAAGCCGTTCCACTGATCGTTCTCACCAATAGGAAATAATATCAATTGGCCACCATCAACACATTTGATGGAAGTATTGTATATACTAGTGGTCAGGGGTGAAATGCTCCCGGTTCGGACCGGCTCGAGCGAGTAGGTAGCGATGGCGGCGGGCAGTTCGGAGAACCGGTAGCAAAAATCCCTCCCCCACCCACCCCCAGCCTCCAGCTTGCTTACCTTAGCTGCTGGTCGCAACGCCTGCTTTGCTTCACTTGCTGTAATCCCTGCAATCCATTGCATCAGCAAGCAACTGAATCTCCCTGCCTGCAATCAAGCTCATCGGTGAGCAGCTCTATCTGCCTGCCTGCCTGCTTGCCTTGTCCCAGTAAGTTTTTTTCCCCTTTGGGAGCTTTAAAAAAATAGTTAAATGGGTTTTTTTTAGTTGTTCTTTTTTTAGACCTAGCCATTTAAAGTTTAGGAAGTTTTAAATTTAGCTGCTTTTATATAAAAATAAAAATAAAATAAAATAATATTTGTGCAGGTTTCTGAGATGTTGTGTGTTTCTGTAGGGTTTCACTCTAACTACACAAATATACAAAATCTCACAAAGCTTTATGTGGAATTTTGTGTGTGTAAAGTGTGAAAGTTGGTTTTTTGGACTTTTTGTGGCTGTGTGAGGTTCCTGCTTGTTGCAGGGGCCATTTTGGGTCTAGCACAGCTGCTTTTACATTGTGTGAGCCAGTTGTGTTGTGTTGTGTGTGTAAAGTGTGAAAGTTGGTTTTTTGGACTTTTTGTGACTGTGTGAAGTTCCTGCTTGTTGCAGGGGGCATTTTGAGTCTAGCACAGCTGCTTTTACATTGTGGGTGAGCCAGTTGTGTTGTGTTGTGTTGTGTTGTGTTGTGTGTGTGTAAAGTGTGAAAGTTGGTTTTTTTGGGCTTTTTGTGGCTGTGAGAGGTTCCTGCTTGTTCCAGGAGCCATTTTGGATCTAGCACAGCTGCTTTTACATTGTGGGTGAGCCAGTTTTGTTTTGTTTTTTTAATTTGATTTATATGCCGCCCTTCCGGAGACTCAGGGCGGCTTACAATGCGTTAAGCAATAGCCTTCATTCTTTTGTATATTTTATACAAAGTCAGCTTATTGCCCCCACAAACTGGGTCCTCATTTCACCTACCTTAGAAAGGATGGAAGGCTGAGTCAACCTTGAGCCTTGGAGAGATTCGAACCAGCAGTAAATTGCAGGCAGCTGTGTTAATAACAGGATGCGTAGACCACTGTACTATCAAGGCTCAGTTGCGTTGTGTTGTGTTTTGTAGGTTAAAAAAGGGCAAAGAAGTGACATCGACCTGGCCACTCCCACCTGACCAACAAGCCACGCCCACCCAGTCACCTTACCACCAAGCCACGCCCACTAATTAAGCCACGCCCACAGAACCGGTAGCAAAAATTTTTAGATTTCACTCCTGCTAGTGGTGAGTTGCTACCAGTTCACCCTGGATTGGGCAAATGGGTAGCGGCAGCAGCAGGAAGCTCCGCCCACCCGCCCGGACGCTTCTGCACATGTGCAGAAATGTCGGACAAGCATGCAAGCGCCCATGACCGAACCGGTAGCGACTGGTTTTGGAACTCACCCCTGGTATATCCTGTATCACTTCAAGCAATATTTCCTTTTACCAATCCAGAATCTCCTTGGATTAATCTCAGTGGTCAAGCCCTTTCTAGCACTTGAGGGAGAAACAGAGAAAGTGGTACTTACCCACGAACGCCATATTCTCGTAGGTCTTCAACATGACGTCCCTGTACAGCTCTCTTTCTTTCGGGCCTAACAGAGTCCATTCTGTTTTTGTGAAATGGACAGCTACCTCCTCAAAGCTCACCTGAATAAGGAAGCAAATTGCATCTTATGTTTTATCATTTCGACTTTTGACCTTTTAAAATTTTCCACTACAGGTAGTCCTTGACTGACAACCATTCATTTAGTGACCATTCAGAGTTTCAACAGCAATGGAAAAAAAGTGACTTATGACCATTTTTCACACTTACCACCAGCGTCCTTCATGGACACGTGATCAAAAATCAGACCTTTGGCAATTGGCATGTAGCAATAGCAATAGCATTTAGACTTATCTACCGCTTCACAATACTTTACAGCCCTCTCTAAGCAGTTTACAGAGTCAGCCTATTTCCCCCAACTATCTGGGTCCTCATTTTACCAATCTCAGAAAGATGGAAAGCTGAGTCAACCTTGAGCTTGGTGAGATTCGAACTGCCAAATTGCAGGCAGCCGGGAATCAGCAGAAGTAGCCTGCAGTACTGCATTCTAACCACTGCGCCACCATGGCTCTTATGTATTTATGACCTTCTGACAAGCAAAGTCAGTAGGGAAGATAGATTCACTTAACAACTGTGTTACTAACTTAACAATTTTACTTAACAACTGTGGCAAGAAAAGTCATAAAGTGGGGCTAAGTTCATTTAACAACTGTCTTGCTTAGTAACAGAAATTTGAGGCTGAATTGTGGTCGTAAGTCAAAGACTGTTCCTTGAGCAGGTGGCTCAGTGGCTAAGACACTGAATTGGTCGATCAGAAAGGTTGGCAGTTTGGCAGTTCGAATCCCTAATACAGGTCTCCTGCGTGAGCAGGGAGTTGGACTAGATGACCTCCAAAGTCCCTTCCAACTCTGTTACTGTTACTGACTACCTGTATGTAACCCACTGCTTCTTATGGGAATAAAACAAACACATGTAGCCCTCACCTAATAATGGTAATTGGGACTGGCAAGTCTGTCACTAAACGACACGGTCATAAAGCACAATGTTACAAGACTGAGCCAATTTACAATATAGCAGCTGCTGCTGTCTCAGTTGCTGTTGTTAGGCAAACCCTGTGCGATGCAGCATCGGGGGGAGGGGAGGGGGTGTCACATGATCTCCCTTGTTACTTCTTGCTGGCTTCCCCATTGACTTTGCTTTTTGCAAACCAGCAGTGAAAGTTACAAATGGTGTTTATGTGACTGTGGGACCAGGGGTGAAATCCAGCAGGTTCTGACAGGTTCTGGAGAACCGGTAGCAAAAACTTTGAGCTGTTTGGAGAACCGGTAGCGGAAATTTTGAGTAGTTCGGAGAACCGGCAAATACCACCTCTGGCTGGCCCCAGAGTGGGGTGAGAATGGAGATTTTGCAATATCCTTCCCCCAGGAGTGGGGAGGGAATGGGGCTTTTGCAGTATCCTTTTTCTGCCATGCCCACCAAGCCACACCTACCAAGCCACACCACGCCCACAAATCCACAGAACGGTAGTAAAAAAATTTGAATTCCACCACTGCCCCATTTTATGACCTTTCTTGCTGCAATATCCTTCCCCTGGAGTTGGGTGGAAATGGAGATTTTGCTGTATCCTTCCCCTGCCACGCCCACCAAGCCACGCCCACAGAACCTGTAGTAAAAAAATGTGGATTTCACCATTGTGTGGGACCCAGTAATTGTGTACTGGTTGCCAAATACCTGAATCGTGATCACGTTACCATGGGGAAACTACGATGGCCACAATTACGAGGAGCCATCGTAAATCCCTCTCATGATTCGGGGCTGTTATAACTTTGGTTGCTGAACAAGTGATCATTCAATCCATAGAAATTAAGACATGGAGGAATAAAATCTGAAATCCCTTAAAGAATAATATTAAAAGGTTTTTTTCCCCCCTCAAAAGCATGAGGATACAGTCACTGAAAAGAGTATCAAATGCCTGTCTGAACTTGAGAAATTCTTCCAGTTTAATGACCAGCTAGGCAATTCTTTTACATCTAAATTATCCCGAAAAAAAGATGATTCTAGTCCATTTCACTTATCAGTTTGCTCCATTTAGGAACAGGCTTTCTAATTAATACGCCCATTTGTTTGGATTCCTCGGCACCCCTTCCCCTTTACATCCTGTGAAAGATGTAAATAAACCAGGGTAAGCGATTCCAGCCTCTAAATTTAGCTCACCACGATAACATTTACCAATCCTATTTTAAAAATATATATATTTACCACCCATCTCATAGCAAACATTGTGAGTGGCTTCCAGCATTAAAACTTTTTAAAACCTAACAAAATGTCATTTTTAAAAAAGCAAAAATAGAATAAATTATGCACAGGGTTGCTGATGCAGCTGCCAAGGCTTCCCCCACCAAATTTCTTACCTCTCCTGACATTTTCTTTAGAATTTATTTTAATTAAAAATGGAAGGATTTGGCTGAGTGCTCATAGCTTCTTCAGGGTCTGTGAAGAGAAGGCTTGCAATATGGGAAGCAGGTTGCTTTCCATCGCTGTTTGCAGGGAAGGGGTTAAAAAAAAACCAATCAAGAGAGCAGCCACACCTGTGCGATCCAGATGTCACTCTTTTTATGTACTGTGGTGCATAGAAATGGGGAGGGGTTTTAACCACAGTGTGGCTGTGGCCATTTTGGCATTCCCACATTCTTTCTTATGTCAGTTTGTTTTAATTGTATAAAATGACCCGGCCAAATCTCTTGGTCACACAAATTGTAAGGGAAGCTGAGTTCAAATGCAAATGCTGATCTATTTCAACCTAACTATAGGTAATCCTTGATTTATGATCATACTTGAGCTCAAAAGTCATGTTGCTAAGTGAGACATTCATTAAGTGAATTTTGCCCCATTTCAGGGGTGAAATCCAGCAGGTTCTGACAGGTTCTGGAGAACCAGTAGCGGAAATTTTGAGTAGTTCAGAGAACCGGCAAATACCACCTCTGGCTGGCCCCAGAGTGAGGTGGGAATGGAGATTTTGCAATATCCTTCCCCCAGGAGTGGGGTGGGAATGGGGATTTTATTTATTTATTTATTTATTTTATTAAATTTTTATACCGCCCTTCTCCCGAAGGACTCAGGGCGGTGAACAGCCACGAGATAAAACACATAAATACAAAAAATTTAAAATGAATTAAAAACGAATTAAATAATTTGGCTGAATTTAAAATACCCCATAATTTAAAACAAATTAAAATTTACATTTAAAAATTTACATTTAAAAAGGGTAGAAGATTTAGGCCAGGCCAGCTTGATGGAATAGGAAAGTCTTAAGTGCGCGACGGAAGGTGCGCAGATCCGGGATCCTCCGTATCTCCGGGGGGAGCTCGTTCCAGATCGTATTTTGCAGTATCCTTCCCCTCCCATGCCCACCAAGCCACACCCACCAAGCCACACCACACCCACCAAGCCACAGAACGGTAGTAAAAAAAAATTTGAATTCCACCACTGCCCCATTTTATGACCTTTCTTGCTGCATTTGTTAAGTGAATCAGCGCAGTTGTTAAGTTAGTAACACGGTTGTAAAATGAATCTGGATTCCCCACTGACTTTGCTTGTCAGAAAGTCACAAAAGATGATCACATGACCCTGGGATACTCTAACTGTCATAAATATGAATCCGTTGCCAAGCATCTGAATTTTGATCACCAGATCATGGGGATGATGAAAATGCTGTAAGTGTGAAAAGCGGTCGTGTCACTTTTTTCAATACGGTTGTAACTTTGAATAATTTTTTATTATTATTATTTATTTTTATACATCTCATTTCGTGAATAGTTTGATTATCTGGTTTCATACATTCCAACATAAATAATCATAACAATATTATTCTTAATAATTGCAATCTATTTTCATTTTTGAATTTACTAACATATAGTTTCTACTGTCATCTTTCAACTCTAAACCTTCTCATAATTCTATCATACTTCGTATCAAGTTAATATCTGTTTTTTACTATTTTTCCCCTCATATTTCTACTTTCATTTTAGCCCTCTTTTTCCCCCCTTTCCCTCTCATTCTAATAATCAAAGATGTGATATTTCCTTTTTCCATTATTCAATATTCAATATTCCAATATATCAATCATACTTTCTCTAACTTTGTTAATAATCACATTTTTAATGTATATAATATGGTCTCCAGTCCTTCATTTCTTATATTCATTACATTGCGACATTCCTAGCATATATTCAAAAATATTTTTTATCTCTTATACCACATATCAACAATTATCCAAATTATATAATTCTAATATTCATACACTTTGTTAAGGTACTTTCATAAAATGTTTTACTTCACACTCCTTTGAATGTAACTTTGAATGGTCACTAAATGAACTGTTGTAAGTTGAGGACTACTTGTATTTCTATTCTTCCCAATTCCAAATACTATTGTCAATATTCCAGGTGCATCTTTCAGTTTCTTTCCTCCTCTTAATGAAGCTTCCCAAACTCTGTCTTAACATCCCTCCCTGAATACGTTGACTTCATCTGCTCCTACAAGTCTCCACTAAGCAATTTCAACTTGCTTAGTGGAGACTTTTCCACCTTTTCCACAATTTCACAATGTACCAAATCCATTTCCTCGTTCTCCTCAGGAATCTCCGGTGAAGTTGTTGCTCAGAAGGAGGCAATGACAAAGCACCATTTGGCCAGGCATTTCCAGGTTTCCACAAGGGCCTACCTAATCACTCAAATAATAAATTGAAAGGGTCACATCCATGTATCCCACTATAAAAAGTTACATGTGCTCCCAGGTTCTTGGCTTATAGTTAACTCATTCACATACTCACAGCCCTGATCAACAGTCCACTCTCTCAAATCATTCTCAATCAAACGAGACACAACCAGTTCTTTAGAAGAGATGGAAACCCAGTGGATTTAAAGGAACAGCAAAATGTTATTAGTAACACAGTGGTTTTGCTCTTCTCTCCCTTTCTCTATTTCCCCCCTCCCTCCTCTCTCTCTCTTTCTTTTTCTCACACACACTTAACCACCTCCTTTTCAAGAAGGCTGACAGGCACTGGCCAGTGGCACAGAAGACACCAAGTTGAGATCCAACGATGATTCAAAGAGTCTTCAGGACTGCTTTTATTCCCCCAAAATGCCTTGCTTAATTTGTTTGATTTTATTGTTATATATGGTTAGTAGGTTTTGTGGGGTCTAATTAATCTACTTTTTTTATTGTATTGCCGTGTTGGCGAATGCGTGCCGGAAGCGGCATGTAGAACCATCCCATGAGGAATGCGCAGCCTCGAGATGGACCGCCGCTCTTCTGGGTATCGGCACTCCCGTGCCATCCAGGCGGATGGTTTCGTGTACCATTTCCGGACGCAGGCCAGCAAGCGGTGACGTAAAAGGTTAGCCTTCACTGGTATAGGGGCTACATGCTGTGTTTGCCATTATTCCCTTCATGTCAGGTTCAATGTGTCTTACTCTGAATCTTTGCAGAAGGGAATTCAATCTCTATTCCTTTTTGCGCTCTGCAGTTAATTCTTAAACATAAATTATTGTTCTTTTATTTACTTATTTGGTTTCTATGGCCGTCCATTTTAGCCAATGGCTTTGGGCTTCTTATTGGTCTATTCATACCAGTTGCCCTTCTTCCTTGTCTTCTGGCATTTTGGTTGTTATGTATGAACCATCTACAGAAACAAACAAACAAAAACCTTAACGGAAAGTTACATCTGTAACCTTCACAATAATCACAATAAACACTCTTTGTGCAATAATTTCTTGGCAGTAGTCAGCCAGTCACGAACACTTCCAACTTCTTCTATTCCTTCTGCACCAACATCCTATTTTATTTCCCAAAGACAGCAGAATACCGTAGCCATTAAGAGTCTAATTAATGAAATGGATCTTTTCAAAAATCCAGAAGCTGTTGAACTATTTCAAGCATTTTCAGCTCCTAAGAATAATATGTGACTTCATAATGGGTGCAACCAAAAAGTGGCACCAGAAAAAGAGAAAGAAAAGAAAAGAAAGAAAGAAAAGGAGAATTATAAAAAAAAAGAAAAAAAAGAAAAGGAGAATTAAATATAATTTGATTAAAGTTTTAAAACTCCACATGTTTAAATTTGAAGCCACCTAGTGCTTGAGGCTCAGGACAAACGAACCTCTTGGTTCCTCTGCACACCTGGCCTGTTCCTGGTTGTTGGATGTTGTTCTGCAAAGGTATCATATGAAATATGAACTACTAGGAAAAGAACTGATATATATATATAACATTATCAAATCTTTATTATGGTGAAAGACCAGCACAAAGTTCATGGGATACATTTTGTTTTTTTAAAGAAGAAAACAATTGAGGAATAAGAATAATGATTATTATAAACAGCTAAAAGATATAAAAAAGGAAGTATATATAAAAACAGAAGTTTAAATAGCAATAGCGCTTAGTCTTATATAGTGCTTTACAGCCTTCTCTAAGCGGTTTTACAGAGTCAGCCTCTTGGCCCCAAAAATCTGGGTCCTCATTTTACCGACCTTGGAAGGATGGAAGGCTGAGTCAACCTTGAGCCTGGTGAGATTCAAACTGCCAAATTGCAGTCAGCTGGCAGTCAGCCGAAGTAGCCTGCAGTACTGCACTCTAACCACTGTGCCACTGCTGCTCATTTTTCTCTCCTCCCTTATGTCCAATACTGAGACATGATTCACTAAAGAGAATAAAAATTAAATTGTTAATTTGCATTACCAATGGGAAATCAGAAATGAAAATCAGGGCTTTTCTACACTCAGCACTGTCTGCCTCATGTGGATTTTCTTGTGTGCCTTAAGGGAGGAATAATGTGTGAAACACCGTCCACACTCTGGGCATCTGAAAGGTTTCTCCCCTGTATGTAAACCTAAATGATTTATAAGTTTAGATCTAGTACTGAAACCTTTCCCACATTCTGGGCACTCATATGGTTTTTCTCCTGTGTGAGTCCTATGGTGTACTACCAGGTGGGAATTCTGACTGAAACATTTCCCACAATCAGGACACTCATACGGTTTCTCCCCTGTGTGAGTCCTCTGATGTATCACCAGCTCACAATTTCGACTGAAAGTTTTCCCACATTCGGGACACTCAAACGGTTTTTCTCCTGTGTGAGTCCTCTGGTGGATCACCAGGTGGGAACTACGATTGAAATTTTTTCCACAATCTGGACACTCATAAGGTTTTTCCCCAGTGTGAGTTCTCTGGTGTATCACCAGCCCAGAATTCCGACTGAAACTTTTTCCACAATCAGGACACTCATATGGTTTCTCTCCTGTGTGACTCCTCTGGTGTAGGACAAGGTGGGAATTCCGACTGAAACTTTTCCCACAATCCAGACAATCATAAGGTTTCTCCCCAGTATGAGTCCTTTGGTGTGTCATGAGGTCAGAATTCCGACTGAAACATTTCCCACAACCTGGACACTCATATGGTTTCTCCCCAGTATGAGTCCTCTGGTGTAATACCAGCGCATAATTCCGACTGAAACCTTTCCCACAATCAGGACACTCATACGGCTTCTCCCCTGTGTGAGTCCTCTTATGTATCACTAGGTCAGAATTCTGAATGAAACTTTTTCCACAATCTGGACATTCATATGGTCTTTCTCCCGTGTGTGTTCTCTGATGTATTACCAGGTCAGAATTCTGACTGAAACTTTTCCCACAATCCGGACACTCATACGGTTTCTGTCCTGTGTGCATCCTCTGGTGTATCACCAGATTGGAATTCTGACTGAAACATTTACCACAGTCTGGACACTTGTATGGTTTCTCTCCTGTGTGAGTCCTCTGGTGTATCGTTAGGTTGGTATTCCGACTAAAACCTTTTCCACAATCTGGACACTTATAAGGTTTCTCCCCTGTGTGAGTCCTCTGGTGTATCACCAGATGAGAATTCCGACTGAAAGTTTTCCCACAATCTAGACACCCATATGGTTTCTCCCCCATGTGAATCCTCTTGTGTATCACATTTCCTAAAGCTATTTGCCACATTGAGGGCAGTGGGTGGGCTTTGCTTCAATGTGTGTCCTCTCATGCATTATCGGCTGTGCTCTGCAATCTGTGTTTTACCTACAATATGCATATTGTGGGATTTTTCCACCAAGGATATTTTTGGATTCTCAAGATCAAAAATATTTTGGATCCCTTCTTAGATAGTGCTTTCGTTCAAGCTATTCTTACTTGCTTCACAGGGTGAAGCTTGAATGCCTATCCTACGTGACTATTAAATGACCACTTCCTCCTGCACTGATTTCCACATTATGTCTGCTTTTTCTGAATTGGAAAATAATCCCCCTTGATCTTTTTTTGGAGTGTTTCCTTGAGTTCTACATATTCATTTTTTTCCAACTCAAAACTCTCTTCATCTCTTTTGTCCATTATCTGCTTGGAGAAGTAGAAGTCTTTTGTAGTTTTCTGGAGGCAACGAAAAACACTTTCATTGCTGGCTGGATTTGGTTTCCTTTTAATGCTGCTTGGGATTCTCATTTGTCCGGATTTCTCTTCCTAGCATCTTTTCGGTCTACAAGATTAACGTAAGAGGTTAGTTTAAAAGGTTAAATTGACATATAAGATTTATAAAATGGCAGCAGGAGATGTGAAAACAACAAGAAAGTAAAAACATGCATTATAATGGAAAAAATATATATGCCAAAATGCTAAATTAACTTCTAACCTTAATTGTGATTCATTTGACATATACCGTAAAAGATTAGCAAGAGCCAAGTTCAAATCTCCACACAAACATTAAATTATCTTCTGGACTTCAGTTAAATCAAAATTCTTCAATAACAAATTGGTTATTTTCAAATATACCAGGAAATGTCGAGGCTAGATTATACAGATACGTACATAGATACAAATAGAGATACCCCTATGAATATATGTCTGTTAAAAATCCATGTGCATTTCAGTCTCAAAAATGCCCAAGAGGTGGGTACACTTAAACGTTTGGGTCTAATTTTAGAGGATGGGACAGCTTCAACAGATGAATGGCTTCAATTGATGCATGGTACCCAAAGCATCTGCAAGATATAATCCCCACTTTTGTGCATGAAACTCCCCAGTTTCCAAGAAAAGAACACATTCTTAAACTGAAGAAGACTTTTTTAAAGTCTCAGCTTTAAAAATTGCATGCACCACCAGCAGAAAATTGCATGCACCACTTTCATAACGACCAACACCACTGGAACAAAATTTGGGGAAGGAAGGAACATGCAGCAGCACCTGACATGTTTCAGCCTGGTTTCTTCTCTGCTTCTGCAGCGTGGAGGAAACCAAACAGCCCTCCTTGCACCCGGCTTCTCCTCCGACCTGTCCTCGACTCACCTTCCAGCTGCTAAAAGTCCTGGGAAGAGCAGGAGAGGCGCACTGCACGCCTCCGTCCTCCCACGGGTCAGCCGGAAGAGGAGATTCTTCTGTTCTTCTCCTCTCTAGAAATCCAGTACTCTATTGTTTCAACCCCTTTAGGCTCCGTCGCTCCCTCTCCCGTTGGATGTGGGTACTCAGCCACCATCGATGCCGCTCTACGGTATTAACCCGCTTTCTAGTCGCCGGGTGTTACTCATTTAATAGAGCGCCCGCCATCTAGCGACATAAAGCTGAATTACAGGCTTCTGTCGTTTGCAAGGTTTTTTTTGATTACTGTGCGCAACATCGATGCAGTCCTACCTACTCCTTTAGCAAGAACTAAACCAAGGGAAAGCATCCTTGGGAGCGATGGGGGGGGAGACGATGGAGTTGCTGGCCTAACTAGATTCAGAAGACGCCAGTTAAGCTTTTGGCTCGAATCCAGTGGTGAAATCCAAATTTTTTTACTACCGGTTCTGTGGGTGTAGTTTGGTGTGCGTGGCTTGGTGGGTGTGGCAGAAGGATACTGCAAAATCTCCATTCCCACCCCACTCCAGGGGAAGGATACTGCAAAATCTCCATTCCCACCCCATTCTGGGGCCAGCCAGAGGTGGTAAGTGCCGGTTCTCCGAACTGCTCAAAATTTCCACTACCGGTTCTCCAGAACCTGTCAGAACCTGCTGGATTTCACCCCTGCTCTAATCTCTATTGCATGCAGGAATCTGAATGCAACAACCCCAATTTATCTTGATTTTTTTTCCCTTTGGGAACTCAAGGTAGCATTTCATAGCATAAAGCACTTCTTAGGTCACATCCTGGACCAAGAAGTAGGTTCATTTAAATCTCCCCTACCCACCTATCTTCCTTCAGGGACATAATTTTGGCCTCTTAATTGGCATCCCAGTATTCCATAGCTCCTGGAAGCTACCTTCATGCCTGACCTAAAACTGACCTGGAACTTCTTTGCAGTTTTAATCTCCTGTTCTTAATTCTTACACCCAATATTTACTTTAGGTGCCTTCAAGATAGACTTCACATCTGGCAATTGCCTGGACTGATTTCTCTGCAGTTTCCGTGGCAAGGAGTTTCTAAGTGGTCTCCTCATTTCCCGTTTCCTAGACCTGAGAGAGGGACTGGCCAGGTGTGCCCAGTTGGTTTTATGCCTATGGCAGGACTGGAACTGAGCACCTCCCTGTCTGCAACTTGTAGCTTTCACCACTGCACCAAACTGGCTCTTCTTATTCCCCACATTTTATAACCCTCTCATCTGTTCCGGTGGCTCCAACCTTTCAAGATCTAGTCCAACATCTTTGCAGTTAAGTTCCCATTATTCTTCAGAAAATGGACCTTTTTTCCCTTAAATCTGAGCTTCAAACTTTTCTTCTGAGGAAATGGAGTGTTTCTCCAAATGGAGTGGTGGTTTCAAGTCTGGGCCTGGGAACCAGCTTCTCTGGATTGCCCATTGCTGCATTTTATTTCATTTTATGGTAGATAGATAGATAGATAGATAGATAGATAGATAGATAGATAGATAGATAGATAGATAGATAGATAGATAGATAGATTGATTGATTAGGGATGGACAGAAGATATACAGTGTTTGTAGGTTTTATGGGGTTTAAGTAATCTATTTGTTCTGCTGTAAAGGAGTTATTTGTAGGGATTTCCACTATTTCCCATGTATCAGTTTCATGGTGTCTCTATTGAATGTTTGTCTAATGGGATTCAATTACTGTTCTTTTCTTCTTCTTCTTCTTTCTCTACACTTAATTCTTAAGCATGGCATAAATTGTTATTCCTCTCCCTACGCTCATACCCATTGCTTCTCTTTCTTGCCACCTGGTATTTTGGTTGTCTGTATAAGATACGTCGCAAAAGAAAAAGAAATTGGATCCTTTACAGAATCGAAACAAACAACACTCTTCACAAGGAATTCATGCAGTAGCCATTAAGCCACAAAGTCTTCCAACTTTTTCACCTCCATTGCCTCTGTGCTCATGTCCCATTTTGTTTCCCAAAGACATCAGAATATTGTAGAGTTTGTATCATGGAGTCATCCTCTCAAATATCCAGAGGCTTTTGAGCTATTTCAGGTACTTTCAGAGCCTCAGCATGATAAAATGTGACAACAGATCTGTCCAATAGTGTTACTAAAAAGAGAGAGAATTAAATACACTCTGACGTGAATTAAATAGAATTTGATTATTTTAAGATTTAAAATCTTCATTACAGTCAAAGACCAGCATAATGAACGTGGGGTGTATTTAGCTAAAAGGTACAGACATCAAAGTCTAATAATAATAGTAATTATACTATAAAACCAAAGACATGAAAGACGAGCACATATAAAAACAGGAGTATTTAAATGTAGTAGCTGGAGGAGTGGGGCTGTGCAGTGAGCCAGAACACACAGTTGTGGTTGATTGGTGGATCCTGTGTGAGGCAATCTGCTCTGTGATTGGTTGCTCTGAGTGTGGAGGGGGAGTTTCCCTGTTTTCCCGCCTCTTTCTTCTGTGGGCTTTGTGTGCTGTTTTGTGATTTACCTCATGATGCTCCTGCTTGCTTGACAATCTAGTTTGCCGTATATATGACCATTCAAAGTTACAACAGTAAACACTGTAAAAAGTGACTTATGACCATTTTTCACAGTTATGACCATTGCAGCATCCCCATGGTCATGTGATTTACATTAGATGCTTGACAACCATCTCACATTTATGACAGTTGCAGTGTCCTGGGGTCAAATTTCTTTTGCAAATTTCTGACAACCAAAGTCAATGGAGAAACCAGATTCATTTAACAACTGGGTCACTAATTTAACAAGTGCAGTGTCGAGCCTAGCAACCTGCTCGACATCGCTAACGCGTGCTGAAAGCATCGAGGGACATATACATACTTGGTGGTGGTGGCACTGGGTGAAGGCGGCCGTATGCGGGGTGTGGGGTGGTGGTATCGGGTGCGACGGGATTAGGGCCATTCCGGAGGACACAGCGGCAGCACCTTCCAGAACATGCTGAAGACCAATTACGCCCCTAGAAGAGGGGCGTGGTAATAAACAAGGGCGCGATCTACGCCACTAAAAGAGGGGCGTGGTAACAAACAAGGGCGCGGTCCTAATGGGTTAATGGAAAGATGGGCTATATAAACGCCCCATTCTTGGTGTAATGTAGCGCCGATTTCAATCGTGTTTATGAATCACAGTGTGTAGCCGGATGCGGATGCGAATAAACCAGCGTGCCAAAAGAGCTGAATAAGGCTGTAGCTGTGTTTTGATTGCGTCTCGCACGGCATTCCTGAGATGCAGTGATTCACTTAACAAATGTGGCAAGAAAAGTCATAAAATGGTGCAGAACTCACTTAACAAGTTTCTCACTTAGCAACATAAATTTTGGGCTCAATTGTGGTCGTAAGTTGAGGACTACCTGCATAGTATGTAATAACAGGGTTACTATCTGAAAGTAGTAGGGAACTGTAGAACTGTCCTGTGTGCCCTGAGTATCTATGTAGTACTGGAAAAATAAGCCTTGTACAAACGTCTCTGTAATACAGCCACTGGAGAAACATGTGCTCTGTTATTTCTGTGTCCAGAGCCATGGGGACATTGTGTTATAACCTGAATTGAATTACTGAAATGAACACACCTAGAATACTGCATCCAGTTTCGGTCATCACACTATAAAAAAGATGTTGAAACTCAAAGTGCAGAGGAGAGCAACCAGGATTAGGGGACCGGAGACTAAAACATATGAAGAACGGTTGCAGAAACTGGGCATGGCTAGTCTAGTGAAGAGAAGGACCAGGGGAGACATGATAGCAGTCTTCCAATATTTGAGGGGCTGCCACAGAGAGGAGGGGATCAAGCTATTTTCCAAAGCTCCTGAAGGCCAGACAAGGAATAATGGATGGAAACTGAACAAGGAGAGATTCAATCTGGAAATGAGACATTTTCTGACAGTGAGAGTAATCAACCAATGGAACTTGGTTTGCCTTCGGAAGTTGTGGGAGCTTCATCACTGGAAGCTTTCAAGAAGAGATTGGATTGCCATTTGTCAGAAATGGTGTAGGGTTTCCGGCTTGGGCGGTGAGTTGGACTAGATGACCTACAAGGTCCCTTCCAACTCAATCTAATCTAATCTAAAAATAAAATTGGTGTCTTCCAAACTCAGCAAAATGTTTAGCATCTTGACAGCACTATCACAACTTCAACCTTCAAAAGATAATGAGGCATGTTCAAGCAAAGGGGATCACAGGAGTTGCTCATAAACTTGAAGATCCTACGCTCAAAAACCACAACCTCTTTCTCTATAATATTGCAACAGCATTTGCATATCAAGTTCAACAACCTTTACTGTGAATTTTTTGTGCTCTTCTCATTGCCCCAAACCTCCCTCAAACATTCTCCATTCCGTGCTTCATAGCTCACAATTTGAACAGGGATTCTTCTTGCCCTGATTTTCTGAAAACGTTAGGAAAGAAACTCTGAATCCTTTTTACTTCTCTTCTGCCATCACTTCATATTTGCGGAGCTACAATTGGTAAGGAAATCATAGTGTTCCTATCTTCCAATATATTTTTTCAGGATGTGAAGATTTCTAAAAAAACCTTGGTGTTGCTTTTCTATTATCTCTCTTGTTCAATGTGCAAAAAACATTCCAAAAAACCTTTTGGCAGCAATTATTCTATTTTTGCCAAAGGAAATATCCACTACATTTTCCTGATAGCAACACACAAGTAGTTAACTTTATCCATTTTTATTTCTTTTCTCTCTCCTTTCATGCCTAATACTGAGAGATGTTTGGCTAAACAGAATCAGGTCAATAATTAAATCCTTAACTTCTCAGGTGAACTTGCAAAGGCAGATCAAAAAAGAAATTCAAGCTTTACTCTTTTGTTTTTTTTGTTTTTTTTTTTTGTAGACATTTTTTATTGTTTCCAACATAAACATAAACAAGAATTTTTTTTCTAGAATGAAGTCTTGGTCCGGTCACAAATGGGTATACTAGTTTAACAAATGAGAACAAACAATTTTAACATAAATTCCAACATCTTAATAAATCTTTCTATTATCTCATCATACATCTTAATCTCCTACTAAAGCAAAGCTCATTTTTATATTCAATTATAAATTCAATTATAAATCAAAATTCAATACCTCTCTAAATTTTTTTCCCTTGCTCCTTTTAACATCAACATTAAACACAAAAACAATTTAATTTATTAATCTATATATTTACTTTACAATTTTATCACCACAAATCTTAATTTCCAAATGTATACAACTCAATTTTTATTTCAATTTATTAATCAAAATTTCTTTCTATTTTTCTCATTTTCTAGACCCAATTCATCCTATCATGTTCTTAAACTTTTACACAGACATCTCAAAATTTACCATTTCATTTTAATTATCAGCCAACATTTTCTTTTTCACCCCTTATTAATAATTATTCTTCAATGTATTCTCCTTTCTCCTCCATCACTCTACCTATTATTTGGCTGATTTCCAGCATAACATATTTTGGCTGAGTTTTCAGCATATTCTCCTCCATAACTCCACCTGTTATTTGGCTGATTACCAGCATTTTCCATTGTTTTGGCTGATTTCCAACATGCTTTGTTTTGGCTGATTAACAGCAATCTCCTCCATAATTCCACCTATTATTTGGCTGATTTCCAGCATTACATTATTTTGGCTGAGTTCTCAGCATATTCTCCTCCATTAACTCCAACTACTATTCTGCTAACTTATTTTAAAATTTTCTTTTTCAATATATTGTCTATTAATCCACTGTTTCCAACTATACTCTTCCAGGGTGTGTCCCCATCTATTTCTTAATATTAATCATTTCCAACGTGTTAAATGCAATCACAATTATGACTTCCATCTGTGTACCTTAGTATATCATCTATAATCATTAACAATTGATCATAATTATCATCCACCACTTTGTTATCAAATTAAAACTAAAACATGTTACAAGTTATGCTTTTATGAAAATATCACTTTTAGTCACCTTAACTTCCCCCTTCTATTTTAATTATCTTTCTATCTTTGTTTACCATAAACACTTGTTTTTATTTAAAGCTCATTTAAACTTTGAACCATTTAAACAATTAAACATTCAAACATTGCTATCTGATTTATCTATTTTACTTCTTCGTTTCCTTATCTGTCCATAAGCATTTCAATTCAAAGTCAATACTTCCATGCTTAAAACTCTACATATCCTTTTTAATTCTATTATAAAGTCTGTTTCCAGTAAAACATCAGCTTCTCCACTTCTGTTCCTGTGCCAAGCCTTTTGTTGCTGTGCCAGTTAGTTAAAAGTTTATTAGTCATTGTATTTCTTCTTTCTTTGTAAAGCCATTAAACGACAGAATAGGAATCTCCAAAGTTCAAAAAAACCATAGTTCTTTTCAAAGTAATCCACAATATGTAACAAGTCAAATAGGTTCTTTTCAGGAAAAAACAAGTTTCCGCAATCATCACTTTCACTTACTCACAGCTTCAATCGCCATTTTGAAACATTTATGTAGCAATCCGTTAGATCACTTTGTCTGGCGTTTAGAGATGGCAAATTCTTAATTATCACTTTTCTCTTTTCAAATTCATTTCGGTTTTAATGAGAAAGTTCAAATATCCAGCTCTATTTAGTTAATGAGCAGTTCATTTCAATCAATTTTTCCTTATTTTAGAAAATCTTCAAGCCCCTCAGATCATTAGCCGCTCGGTAAGGTTGGGGGTCTTATTTGTAAATAACCTTATTAACACGTTGTTTCTCGCCTGGGTTGGTGTCACTCACCCGGCTCCGAAGCACATCGTCCTTCCTTCCTTCCTCCAGCGCACTGCTTGTCCCAATTTGTCGCAATCTCGCAGCCGCCATGGCTGCCGTCCCCTGCCGCTGACTTAGAGGGTTGCCTCCGGCCTCCGAGGAACTTGCCCGTTCCTCTTGGCCGCCCAAGGGATCCTTCTCTGTTCCCCTGTCCCTTCAGGACAGGGTACGTCCGCAGACCTGTCAGCGGCAGTTAGCCAGTCAGGGTTTGGGCGGGGCTCATCAGAGCCCCGCCATTTCCCCGACTGAATTGCCGCGACGCCAAACCGGAAGTCAAGCTTTACTCTTCAGCTTCTGGGTCATGTGGACTTTCTTATGTTTAATAAGGGAAGAAGTTTGTGAGAAGCACTTTCCACACTCTGGGCACTTGAAAGGTTTCTCACCTGTGTGTAAACCTACATGATTTATAAGGTTAGTCCTAGTACTGAAACCTTTCCCACAATCAGGACACTCATATGGCTTTTCCCCTGTGTGAGTCCTCTGGTGTATCACAAGATTGGAATTATGACTGAAACCTTTCCCACAATCTGGACATTCATAGGGTTTTTCTCCTGGTGAATCCTCTGGTGTATCATCAGGTTGGAATTATGACTGAAACCTTTCCCACAATCTGGACACTCATATGGTTTCTCTCCTCTGTGAGTCCTTTGGTGTTTCACAAGATTGGAATTATTACTGAAACCTTTCCCACCAATCTGGACATTCATAGGGTTTTTCTCCTGTGTGAATCCTCTGGTGCATTGCAAGGGTGAAATTATGACTGAAACGTGTCCCACAATCCGGACACTCATACTGTTTCTGTCCTGTGTGTATCCTCTGGTGTATTACCAGATTGGAATTCTGACTGAAACGTTTGCCACAGTCTGGACACTTGTATGGTTTCTCTCCCGTGTGAGTCCTCTGGTGTATGGTCAGGTTGGAATTATGACTGAAACCTTTTCCACAATCCGGACACTCATATTGTTTCTCCCCTGTGTGAGTCCTCTGGTGTATCACCAGGTGAGAATTCTGACTGAAAGTTTGCCCACAATCTAGACACCCATATGGTTTCTCTTCCATTGAATCCTCTTGTGTATCACATTTCCTAAAGCTATTTGCCACATTTGAGGGCAGTGGCTGGGCTTTTCCTCAGTGTGTGTCCTCTTGTGCATAATCAGCTGTGCTCTGCAATCTGTGTTTTACCTACAATATGCATATTGTGGAATTTTTCCACCAAGGATATTTTTGGATTCTCAAGATCAAAAATGTTTTGGATCCCTTCTTGGATAGTGCTTTCATTCAGGCTACTCTTACTTGCTTCACAGGGTGAAGTTTGAATGCCTGCTTATTTTATATGATTATCATGACCACTTCCTCCTGCACTGATTCCAGATTACTTCTCCTTTTTCTGAATTTGAAAATAATCCCCCTTGACCTTTTTTTGGAGTGTTTGTTTGAGTTCTACATATTAAGTTTTTTTCAACTCAAAACTCTCTTCATATTCTCTCTTTTGTCTGTCACTTGCCTGAAGAAGACTTTTGTAGTGCACTTTCATTGCTGGCTGGATTTGGTTTCCTTTTAATGCTCCTTGGGATTCTCACTTGTCCGGAATTCTCTTCCTAGCATCTTTTCAGCCTACAAGATTGACATATAAGATTTATAAAATGGGTGCAGAAGATGTGAAAATAGCAAGAAGAAAAAAATATGCATTACAATAAATTAAAATACTAAATTAACATCTAACATTAACTATGATTCATTTGACATATAGAAGACTAGCGAGTTCAAATATCCACACAAACATTAAATTATCTTCTGGACTTTGGTAAATCAAAATTCTTCAATAACAAATTTGTTATTTTCAAATCTATCAGGAAATGTTGAGGGTAGATTATTAAAATCGCACAAACAAATTCAAAATGGTGTGTCAAAGTTGGAATCCAAAATTGATGAACTTGTAAAGGGAGCTCCGGGAAGAAATTAAGGATTTGAAAGGATATATGAAAAAGGTGAAAGCCAGAGTAGACTGTGTGGAGCATGGACTGGAGAAAACTAATGCTATGTGTGAGGCGGAGCTAGTTGAGATTACAGACTTGGAAGTTCAGATTAAAGGAAGTTCAATTAAGATTTTGTGGAATACCTGAACAACCAGGAGAAGAAATCAGAGTAATGATGGTAAAGGCCTTGGCTCAGTTAACTAATAAAGGGGAAGGAGAAATGAATCTTGACCTGGATAAGACATATAGAATAAACTCCAGATTTGCTGCCATGAAAAAGCTACCAAGAGATGTTCTAGTTCACTTTGCAAGAAAAATAACAAGGGATCAGGCACAGCTGTTCCCCACCCCCTCACTGTTCAATTACCTAGCGAAGTGCTCATTTGGTGTGTACTGTGCATGCGCATGAAGTGTGCTTTTGGTATGTGCTGTGCATGCACGCGTGCAGGATGCTTTTCGTGCGCTCCGCACATGCGAGGGCAGTGAACCGGTGGTGATCCGCGGACGATTTCACCCCCGGGTTAAACCCTCACAGGGTAAACTACCTAAGACTTTTTTTGAGATGACGGACAACTTAGTATTAATTTAATTTAATTTAATTTAATAATTTAATTTAATAATTTAATTTAATTTAATTTAATTTAATTTAATTTAATTTAATAATTTAATTTAATAATTTAATTTAATAATTTAATTTAATTTAATTTAATTTAATTTAATTTAATTTAATTTAATTTAATTTAATTTAAATGCCGCCCTTCTCCGGAGACTCAGGGCGGCTTACAATGTGCTCAGCAATAGCCTTCATCCTTTTGTATATTTATACAAAGTCAGCTTATTGCCCCCACAAACTGGGTCCTCAATTTACCTACCTTAGAAAGGATGGAAGGCTGAGTCAACTTTGAGCCTTGGCGAGATTCGAACCTGCAGTAATTGCAGGCAGCTGGTCTTAATAACCAGCTTAATAACAGGGTGCCTTAGACCACTGTACTACCAAGGCTCTTAGTGGACTCTTGGAGATATAAAAATGGAGATGCCAGAGAATATACCTTCTTTTCTGAAAGACATAAAACTTTTTTCAAGGATTGATATGATATGGATATCTAAAAACTATGCAAATAAAATTTTGAAAGTGGACATTCTGCTGAAATCTTTCTCAGACTATAATCCAGTGCTTTTGGTTTTAAGAGGCAAGAGTTCAAGTTTCAGATGGAGACTAAACGAAGCTATTTTGCATAAGGATAGGATTGTAAAAAGAATGTAAAAAGAAATTGCAGGAATACTTAGAGAATCATTTGGGAAAAGAGACAAGCTTAACGATTGTATGGGATGCTAGTAAAGCAGTCATGAGGGGCTATTTTATACAGTACAATCGGATAGAGAAGAAAAAAAATCCCAGTAAAAGCCACAAAGGATAATGGATGAAATTAGACAGAAATAAATACTGTTGCAAAAAACACAGATACTAAAATGTTACACCATATTAAACTGCTATGGCAACAATTATCTATGTTAACTGTACAGGAAATTGAAAAACTATGCTGATTAAGAATATGCCGTCTCAGGATAATGATGTATTCATTTAAAAATCAGGCTTTAGGGTTGAGAAAAAGGTTAAGTTGACAAATACAAATATAAAATTGTTTGAAAATAATTATGTCCCTTTTGGAGGGACATTAAACAAGATTTACAAAGATGAGATAAATTGCATTTATCATTACTGGGAAGAATCTCAGTAATTAAGATGAATATTTTACCAAAGATTTTTTTTTATTTCAGACATTACCAATACTTACAACTGATAACCAATTTAAACAATGGCAAGGGAAAAAACCAAGAATAGCTTAGATATAAGCTATTGCAAGATGCCAAGGAAAGAGGGGGGGGGTTGGGCTACCAGATATGAAATTGTATTTTGATGTGTGCTGCGTGACCTGGGCAAAAGAATGGGTGAGTTTACAAAACAAGGTTACTTGAATTAGAGGGACATGAATTAAGGTTTGGATGGCACGGCTACTTATGGTATGACAAAAGTAAAGTTAATGCTAATTTTAATAACCATTTTGTTAAGACGTGCCATATTAAGCGTTTGGAATAAATATAAAACAAGGCTCTCTACGAAGTTACCTCTCTGGGTTTCACCGCAGGAAGCCTTTTTTAGAAAATAAATGGTGGCAAAGCCAGATTGATTGATATAGGGTAAAATTTTATCTTTCAATTCTGGTGACCCAATAAAGCCGAGGGAAGAATTTGAATCAGAAGGTTATATTTGCCATTGGTTTACTTATCAGCAACTGAAAGAAATGTTTAAATTGGATAAAAATGCTATGGTTTTGATTTTATTAAAAATGACTTTCTCTCGGCTTTTCTTTCCTGCCTGTGCTGGCCGAGTTAAACACACAACTCAAACTATGATTTAACTCGTTTAATGACAGCTACTCGACAGACGATAAGCAAATGCCGGCTCTCTATACAAGAAATAAAGCTGGAGCTTTCCCCGGTTGCTGGCATATGACTTCATTGGTCTGTGTTTACAGCTTCAGGTCGGGCTGTTCCAACTCTCCGGCACAGGATTCCTACCTCCCAATATCCCACAAACAGCTGTACTGAACCCTATTAATCCCACCACCAACATTGCTACCGCTATCGCCCGATTCTCGCCACCATTACCAACACCCGTGTTTATTATTCTGGCATTAATATGTTCGGCCAGCTGGTTTTCCACACAGAGTGCCCCTCTTATTCGGTAAGTTGTCGAGGGTGCTCGATACTTTCATTATGTGGTAACGATGAACATATTATTGCTAAGATTTATAAAATGTTATTGAAACTGAACTTAAGAAAATGAACATATAAAACATTGTATGATTCAGTGGGCAAGGAATTTTGGATATAATGTGATGCTTGAACAATGGAAAAGTATATGGATGAAAGGTTTAAAATTTACATTAAATTATAATTTAAAAGAGATGTTCTATTGCTTGTATCTAACACCAGATAAGCTATCTAAGACGTATAAAGGTATGTCAAATGAATGTTGGAATTGGAAGAATAAAGAAGGGACTTTTTACCATGTATGGTGGACATGTGATAAAATAAAAAAAAATTGCAGTATGATTCATACTCTTAATACAGAAAATCCTGAAAATGGAGATAGAAATGAAACCAGAACTTTTCCTTTTGGGACTAATGGAAAAAGAACTGGAGAAAAAAAATGGAACTTTGTTACTATACATGTTGACAGAAGCAAGATTGCTATATGCGCAAAAATGGAAAGACACTTTGACACCTACCACGGAGGAAGGGCTGCAGAAGTTGATGGGAATTGGCTGAAATGGCAAAACTGACTACTCTGATTAAAGAAAAGAACATAAGTACTTTTGTTTCCCAAGGGACGCGGTGGCTCACAAGGGATGGAGTGGCTCAGTGGCTAAGACACTGAGCTTGTCAATCGAAAGGTCGGCAGTTCAGTGGTTCGAATCACTAGTGCCGCGTAACAGGGTGAGCTCCTGTTACTTGTCCCAGCTTCTACCAACCTAGCAGTTTGAAAGCACGTAAAAAATTCAAGTAGAAAAATAGGGACCACCTTTGGTAGGAAGGTAACAACGTTCCGTGCGCCTTTGGCATTTAGTCATTGCGGCCACATGACCACGGAGACTACTTCGGACAGTGCTGGCTCTTCGGCTTTGAAACAGAGATGAGCACCGCCCCCTAGAGTTAGGAACGACTAGCACATATGTGCAAGGGGAACCTTTACCTTTTCTTACTTTTGTTTCCATATGGAAACCGTTTCCGAATTTAGTGCTTGATTGGAAAAAAATGTAACTTTAACTTTTATAGATTAGATTGATAGATCTTTATAGAAATGACTTGTTCATATTGTTATGGAAAAACAAAAAGTTGTGACTTGAAGCTAATGCCTTATTTTACTGCAACAGAGAGAGTAGGAAGTTGATGCTTCTTTTTCTTTTCTTTTCCCTACCCTTTCCCACTTTTCTTTCCCTTTCCCTTCCTCCCTTCATGTTCCTCTATTTACTTTTATATTTTGTATTTTATAATGCTTAATAATTTAATAAAAAACGTTTGGTTTAAAAAAAAAAGAAATGTTGAGGTTAGATTATACAGATGCGGACATAAAGATTGGCCTACGAATATATGTCTGTTAAGTCCATATGTATTTCAGCCTCAAAAATGTCCTAGAAGAGGGTACATTCAAACGTTTGGGTCTAATTTTAGAAGATGGGATGGCTTCAACAGATGAGGGGCTTTAATTGATGCATGGTACCCAAAGAATCTGCAAGATATAATCCCCACTTTTGTGCATGAAACTCCCCAGTTTCCAAGAAAAGAACACATTCTTAAACTGAAGAAGACTTTTTTAAAGTCTCAGCTTTAAAAATTGCATGCACCACCAGCAGAAAATTGCATGCACCACTTTCATAACGACCAGCACCACTGGAACAAAATTTGGGGAGGGAAGGAACATGCAGCAGCACCTGACATGTTTCAGCCTGGTTTCTTCTCTGCTTCTGCAGCCTGGAGGAAACCAAACAGCCCTCCTTGCACCCGGCTTCTCCTCCGACCTGTCCTCGACTCACCTTCCAGCTGCTAAAGTCCTGGGAAGAGCAGGAGAGACGTCCTGCACGCCACAGTCCTCCCACGGGTCAGCCGGAAGAGGAGATTCCTCTGTCCTTCTCCTCTCTAGAAATCCAGTACTCTATTGTTTCAACCTCTTTAGGCACCGTCGCTCCCCCTCCCGTTGGATGTGGGTACTCAGCCACCATCGATGCCGCTCTACTGTATTAACCCGCTTTCTAGTCGCCGGGTGTTTAATAGAGCGCTCGCCACCTAGCGACATAAAGTTGAATTACAAAGCTCCTGTCGTTTGCAAGGTTTTTGATTGATTACGCGACAATGCACTCATAGCTACTTCAACTGAAGCAAGAACTAAACCAAGGAAAAGCATTACTTGTCGGGAGTGGGAGAGACAGGGAGGTATACGATCCTGGAGTTGCTGGCCCAACTAGAGTCCGAAAATCACAGTTCAGATGTTGGCTCTAATCTCTGTTGCATGGAGGAATCTGAATGAAAACAACCACAACATATATTGACTTGATTCTTTTTTCTTTTGGGAACTCAAGGTGGCATAGTAAGCACTTCCTAGGTAGTGTAGGAAGTTAGCACCAACCCCTTTCCTAGAAGAATGAAATATTTTAGGAAATATTAAAAAGGCAGAATATTATATCTCCCTGGTTGAGAAATGGAGAAACATGTTTTAAAGACAAAGCAGCTCCCATCTTCCTGCCTCCCCACCCTTTGTCAATGGACCATCATCTGCAACACGATAGGACCCATCTCACCACATGGCACCTGGGAAGATTACATCAGCCAGCAAGGCTAGCTAAAACCCCTACCCCCTGGGAGTCTGACAACCAATCAGGATACTTTTTCTGGGCTCCAGGAAGTTCAAAGTCAGAGAGGGCATAAAACCAAGGCATGCTCAGCATCTTGGCCCTTTTCTGTTCAGGAACTCGAACCATGTGATCTTGTCCACCATTAAACCATCTTTCCAACTAGTCTGCATGCTTCCAGTGTTTTTTTCCCCGCTTGGAGCTGAACCCAGAAAGTTATTTCTTCTAACAGTAGCATCCTGGGCAGACAGAGAGGTTCATTTTAATCTCTCCTACCGCCTATCTCTGTTCACAGACATATTATTTCCCTCTCAAATTGGCATCTCAATATTCCACAGCTCCTGGAAGTTACCTTTATGCCTGACATGACACTGAACTGGAACTGCTTTGCAGTTTTAATCTCCTGTCCTTAATTCTTACACCCAATGTTTGTTTTAGACACCTTCAAGATAGACTTCACACCTGGCAATTGCCTGGACTGGTTTCTCTGCAGTTTCCTTGGCAAGGATTTTCCAATTGGCCTCCCCTTTCCTGCTTTATAGGCTGAGAGAGAGAGGGACTGGCCAGGGATGCCCAAATGGTTCCATGCGTATGGCAAGACTGGAAATGAGCACCTCCCAGTCTGTAACTTGTAGCTTTCACCATGCACCAAACTGGCTCTTTTTACTCCTCACAAAATCTACTCACTCATCTGTTCCTGTGGCTGCACTGCAGCCTTTCAAGATCTAGTCCAACATCTTTGCAGTTGAGTTCCCATTATTTTCCAGAAAAAGGACCTTGTTTGTCTCAAATCTGAGCTTCAATTTTTTATTCTGAGGAAATGGAGTGTCTCTCCAAATGGAATGGTGGCTTCTGGCCTGGCCCTGGGAACCAGCTCTTCTGGATTGCCTATTGCCAAATTTTATATGGTTTTATGATAGGTAGGTAGGTAGGTAGATAGGATGGATGGACAGATAGATAGATAGATGGATGGATGGATGTTGGATGGACAGATGATAGTGTTTATAGGTTTTATGGGGTTTAATTAATCTATTTGTTCTGCTGAAAAGCAGTTATTTGTTGGGAATTCCACTATTTCTTCCTATCAGTTTCACTGTGTGAGCATTAAATACACTCTGACATGAATTAAATAGAATTTGATTATTTTAAGGTTTAAAATCTTTATTACAAAGACCAGCATAATGAACGTGGAGTGTATTCAGCTAAAAAGTACGGACATCAAAGTGTAATAATATAATTATGGTATACTAAAAAGTAAAGACATAAATGACAGTAAATTTAAAAACAGGATTCTAAATGAAACTGTTACAAGTATTTAAATGTAATAGCTGGAGGAGTGGGGTTGTACAGTGAGCCAGAACACACAGTTATGGTTGATTGGTGGCTCGGCATGAGGTGATCTGTGCTGTGATTGGTTGCTGTGGGGGTGGAGGGGGAGTTTCCTTGTTTTCCCGCCTTTTTCTTCAGTGGGCTTTGTATGCTGTTCTGTGATTTACCTCATGATGCTCCTGCTTGCTTGACTATCTGGTTTGCCATATATACAGTTGTAAAATATGTTTATATATAGAACTACAAGTTCATGTCAATATCTCTGACTTCATTTGGACACCTGCTGCGCCCTGATAGGAACTTAGAGGGCAGAAAGGCATAAAATGCCTGGAGGCTGCATGAAGTTTAGTATGTGGCAAACTGAATCTATCACTCTACAGAGCAAATTGTGGGATGAGCTGGAGGCTCCTGAAGACTACTTTATGGCATAGGTCATCTATCATCTGACTAATCTTAAATAATGGTCTGCAGAAATGTGGCAACATTACACAGGCAATCCTCGACGTATAACACTTAGTGAACATTCAAAGTTACAACCGCATTGAAAAAAGTGACTTATGGCTGTTTTTCAGTGTGTCCATATGGCCATGTAATTTATATTCAGATGCTTGACAACTGTCTCACATTTATGACGGTTGCAATGTCCTGGGGTCATGTGATCATCACCTTCTGCAACCTTCTGACAAGCAAAGTCAATGGAGAAACCAGATTCACTTAACAACCGGGTCACTAATTTAACAACTGCAGTGATTCACATAACAAATATGGCAAGAAAATTCGTAAAATGGGGCAATGTTGTTCGTTTAACAAATTTCTCACTTGGCAACATAAACATTGGGCTCAATTATGGTCGTAAATTGAGGACTACCTGAACAGTATGTAGTAACAGGGCTACTATTTGAAAGCAGCAAGGAACTGTAGAACTGTCCTGTGTGCCCTATCTATCCAGTACTGGAGAGATAAGCCTGGTACAAACATCTCTGTAATACAGCCACTGGAGAAACATGTGCTCTCTTGTTTCCAGAGTCATGGGGATATTGTGTTATAACCTGAATTGAATTACTGAAATGAAGAAACTTTAAATTCTTTGGTATCTTTCAAATTCAGCAAAATGTTTAGCATCTTGGCAGTGCTATCACCCATCAGCTTTCAAAAGGTAACAAGAGGCACGTACAAGCAAAAGAGATCATAATTGTTCATAAACTTGAAGAGCCTACACTCAAAAAACCACAACTCTTTTCCTCTATAATATTAAAACAATATTTCAATGCTAAGTTCAACAATCTTTACATATGAATATTTTTGTGCTCTCCTCACTGCCCCAACCCTCCGTCAAATGTTCTCGATTCTGTGCTTCACTGTTCGCAATTTGAACAGGGATTCTTCTTGACCTGAATTTCTGAAAATGTTAAGAAAGATACACTCTGAATCCTCTTTACTTCTCTTCTCCCGTCACTTCATATTTGAGGAGCTACAATATATTTTATTTCAGGATCTGAAGCACATTTCTTAAAAAAAATTGTGTGTTGCTTTTCTATTATCTCTGTTGTCAACATGCAAAAAACATTCCCAAAAGCCTTTTGGCAGCAATTATTCTATTTTTGCTAAAGGGAATATCCACTACATTTTCATGATAGCAACACACAAGTAGTTAACTTTGACCAAGCTAACATTTTCCATTTTCATTTCTTTTCTCTTCTCCCTCATGCCTAATACTGAGACACATTTGGCTAAACAGAATCAGGCCAGAAATTAAATAATTTCTAAGGTGAACTTGCAAAGGCAGATCAGAAAAGAAATTCAAGCCTTCTCTTTATTCATCATCTTCTGGGTCATGTGGATTTTCTTGTGTTTAATAAGGGAGGAAGTTTGCGAGAAGCACCGTCCACACTCTGGGCACTTGAAAGGTTTCTCACCTGTGTGTAAACCTACATGATTTATAAGGTTAGTCCTAGTACTGAAACCTTTCCCACAATCTGGACACTCATATGGCTTTTCCCCTGTGTGAGTCCTCTGGTGTATCACCAATCCAGAATACCAACTGAAACTTTTTCCACAGTCCGGACACTCATATGGTTTCTCTCCTGTATGAGTCCTCTGGTGTATCATCAGGTTGGAATTCTGATTGAAACTTTTCCCACAATCAGGACATTCATAGGGTTTCTCCCCAGTGTGAGTCCTCTGGTGTTTCACAAGATTGGAATTATTACTGAAACTTTTCCCACAATCAGGACATTCAAAGGGTTTCTCTCCTGTGTGATCCCTCTGGTGTATCATCAGGTTGGAATTACGATAGAAATATTTCCCACAATCTGGACACTCATACCGTTTCTCCCGATTATGAGTCCTCAGGTGTTTAACAAGGTTGGAATTCTGACTGAAACCTTTACCACAATCGGAACACTCATACGGTTTTTCTCCTGTGTGAGTCCTCTGGTGTATCATCAGGTTGGAATTATGACTGAAACCTTTCCCACAATCTGGACATTCATATGGTTTCTCCCCTCTGTGAGTCCTGTGGTGTTTCACAAGATTGGAATTATGACTGAAACCTTTCCCACAATCTGGACATTCATAGGGTTTTTCTCCTGTGTGAATCCTCTGGTGTATTGCAAGGGCGGAATTCTGACTGAAACTTTTCCCACAATCTGGACACTCATATGGTTTATCTCCTGTGTGAGTCCTCTGATGTATTATCAGGATGGAATTATGACTGAAACCTTTCCCACAGTCTGGACATTCATACACTTTCTCCCCTCTGTGAGTCCTCCGGTGTATCATCAGGATGGAATTATGACTGAAACTTTTTCCACAGTCTGGACACTCGTAAACTTTCTCCCCTATGTGAGTCCTCAAGTGATTCACAAGGTTGGTATTACGACTGAAAGTTTTCCCACAACTGGGGCACTCATATGGTTTCTCTCCTGTATGAGTCCTCTGGTGTATCACCAAATTGGAATTGTGACTGAAACCTTCCCCACAATCTGGACACTCATACACTTTCTGCCTTGTGTGAGTCTTCTGGTGTATCACCAGGTGGGAATTCCGACTGAAACATTTCCCACAATCCCAACACTCATACGGTTTCTCCCCTGTATGAATCCTCTGGTGTGTCACCAGGTGGGAATTCTGACTGAAGCCTTTCCCACAATCTGGACACTCATAGGGTTTCTCTCCTGTGTGTGTCCTCTGGTGTGTCACCAACTGAGAATTTCGACTGAAAGTTTTCCCACAGTCAGAACAAGCAAATGACTTCTCCCCCATTTCAAGCCTTTTTTGTATCACTAGGGTAGCATGTTTCCTAAAGTTTGTGTCACATTGAGGACAGAGGATGGGCTTTTCTTCAGTGTGGTTCCTCTCATGTATAATCAGGGTTGATCTGCAATCTCTGCATTTCCCACAGTATGCACATCTATGGAGCTTTTCCACTAATCATATTTTTGGATTGTGAAGATCAAAAATATTTTGGATCCCTTCTTGGCTGTTGCTTTCATTCAAGCTATGTTTTCTTCACAGGGCAAGGTTTGCATGACTGCCTGTCCGATGTGATTATACAAGTGACCTCTTCCTCCTCACTAATTTCCAGATTATTTCCATTTTTCTGAATTTGCAAATTATTCCATTTCATCTTTTTCTGCAATGTTTCCTTGAGTTCCATATACTCAAGTTTTTTCCAGCTCAAAATTCTCTTCCTATTATTCTTTCTTTTGTCTGTCACCTTCCTGAGGAAGAATTTTGTGCATTTCTGGAGGAGGCGGAAAAGACTTTAATTGTTGGCTTCATTTGCTTTCTTTTTTAATGCTGGTTTGGATTCTCACTTGTCTGGAATTCTCTTCCTGGTATCTTCTTTGTCTATAAAATGGACATAAACCCTCAGTTTAATGGTTGTTTATAAAATCGCTGCACAACATGTGAAAAGCATGCATTATAATGAAAAAGAAAAATACCAAAATGTTACTTTAACCTCTAACATTAAGTATGATTCATTTGACCCATAGAAGACTAGCGGGATCCAAATTCAAATATTCACACAAACATTAAATTCCCTTCTGGACTTCAGTAAATCACAAACTTTTAGGATTACAAACTGTTATTTTCAAATATATGAGAAAATGCTGAGGACAGATTATACAGATTAGCAATAACTAAATATTTTCCTGTCAGTCATTTCTGACTCTAGTGCACAGTGCTCATCTCCATTGTCTTAGGTGTATAATACAGGCCACCCAACCAAAAGAAATAGGTGAACTTTTTGCTAACCAGTTAACAAATGTATGTTGGAAACATACCATAGCAGTAATGGGGAACTTCAACTAGCCTGACATCAACTGGGTGACAATCTCTGCATCACGTGGGAGATTGAACAGGTTCCTGACCAATCTGGCTGACAACTTTGTCATCCAAAAGGTAGAGGAGGAACTAGAGGGACAGCTATACTGGACTTAATTCTTACTAACATAGAATAATAGAGGGAGTTGAAGTTGCTGCAACTTTGGGGGAGAGTGACCACATCATATTGGAATTCAATATAGTGCAAACACAAACAATAGAACATAATCAAACTAGTGTCTTAAATTTCAAAGGAGCTGATTTTAACGAACTTAGAGAGTTTGGGAAGGATTCCATGGATGAAAATCTTAAAGGAGAAAACAACAAAGTTATGAAACTCTAAGAAATATGATTATAAAAGCCCAGTCCACCTCAATACCACTGAAAAAGAAAAACAAGAAATCCAAGAAGAAACCAGCATGGTTACACAAAGAACTCTCTGATAAATTGAAAAACAAAAGTACAAAAAATGGAAAGAGGGATATATAACTAAGGCAGAATGCAAACAAATAGCCTGAACTTGCAAAGATGAAGTCAGAAAAGCTAAGGCTCAGAATGAAATAAGCCTTGCAGCAAATGACAAAAATGATTTTAAAAGTTTCTTTCAACATATAAAAAAATAAGAAAAAGTCAAGGAAACAATTGGTCCACTAATGAGAGAAGATGGCAAGAAAGTAATGGGCAGTAGAGAGAAAGCAGAGCTTCTTCTTGTTCTTCTGCCATATCCATTATTGGACATTGGCAATCCTATTTTTATCAATAGCCGCAAAGTGCTGCTGAGTTTTACCCAAACCAGTCCCTTATTGATAAACTTTAAAAATGTGGGATAGATCGTATCACCACCAGATGTATTTGTAACTGGCTGAGAGATTGCACTCAATGTGTTGTCCTTAAAGAAACTACATCTACATGTAAGTAAGTAAGTGGGGTACCTCAAGTTTCCATTTTAGGCCCAGTACTCATCAACATCTTCATAATTGATTTAGATGAGGGAATAGAAGGGGAACTCATCAAATTTGCAGATGACACTAAACTGGCAGGAATAGCCAACACCCCAGAAGATAGGCTCAAGATCCAGATAGATCTCGACAGACTTGAACACTGTGCCCTATGTAACAAAATGAAATTCAATGTAGAGAAAAGTAAGGTTTTAAACTTAGGAAATAAAAACCAGTAGTACAGGTAAAGATAAGATGAAACCTGACTCAATAGCAGTAACCATGACAGGAATCTTGAAGTCCTAGTGGACAATCACTTAAATATGGGCCAGCAGTATGTGGCAATAGACAAAAAAGCCAATTCAATCCTAGGTTGCATTAGCAGAGGACAGAATAGAAGAGAATCAAGATCACGTAAAGTATTAATACCGCTTTATAAATCCTTAGTAAGACCACACTTCAAATATTGGATCCAGCTTTGGTCGCCATATTAGAAAAACCATGTAGAGACTCTGAAAAGAGTGCAGAAAACAGCAACAAAGATTATTGGGAGGCTAAAACACATGAAGAATGATTGTAGTAATTGGGTTTGTGTAATCTAGAGAAAAGAAGGACTAGGGGTGACATAATAGCAGTAGTCCAGTATTTGAGGGGCCGCCACAAAGAAGAGGGGGTCAACCTATTCTCCAAAGCACCAGAAGCCAAGACAAGAAGCAATGGATGGAAACTAATCAAGGAGAGAACCAACTTAGAACTAAGGAGAAATTTCCTAACAGTGAGAACAATCAAACAGTGGAACAGCTTGCCTTCAGAAGTTGTGAATGCTCCATCACTAGAGGTTTTTAAGAAACTGGACAGCCACTTGTCTGGAATGGCATAGGGTCTCCTACTTAAACAGGGGGTTGGACTAGAAGACCTTCAAGGTTCCTTCCAACTCTACTATTCTGTTCTTTTGTTTCTTGGCCCAGGAAGCCAGCATTGTCCAAAGACAATTTCAGTGGTCACGCGGTTAGCATGTCTCTACACCCAAGGCCAAATGTCTCTACACCAAAGTAAGAGACGCTGTGGCTCAGTGGCTAAGACGCTGAGCCTGTCGAACAAAAGGTCGGCAGTTCAGCGGTTCGAATCCCTAGTGCCGCGTAATGGGGTGAGCTCCCTTTACTTGTCCCAGCTTCTGCCAACCTAGCAGTTCGAAAGCACGTATAAAATGCAAGTAGAAAAATAGTGGCCACTTGTGGTGGGAAGGTAACAGCGTTCCGTGCGCCTTTGGCATTTAGTCATTGCAGCCACATGACCACGGAGACTACTTCGGACAGTGCTGGCTCTTCGGCTTTGAAACAGAGATGAGCACCCCCTAGAGTTGGGAACGACTAGCACATATGTGCCAGGAGAACCTTTACCTTACACCAAAGGCACATAGAACTCTATTACCTTCTCATCCAAGTGATACCTATTAATCAATTTGTATTTGCATGCTTTCGAACTACTAGGTTGCTAGAAGCTGGGGCAAGTAATGGGAGCTCACTCTGTTGCATGGGGCTCTGCTCTCACACCCCAGCTGTCAGGTTTAGCTGGAAAGCTTAGCATTTTTAACCATTCAGCCACTGCACCCCCATACAGTTATGCACACAAACAAATATACTTACCAGCAAGATTCAAGTTTAAATATTCACATAAGCATTAAATTCTCTTCTGGACTTCAGCAAATGACAAATTCTTAGAATTACAAACTGTTATTTTCAAATATAGCAGGACATACAGAGGCTAGCTATGCAGATATGCACAAAGAGACAAATATAGCCACACCTACCAATGTAAGTATGTTAAAAGTCCTTGTGTAATTTTCAGTCTCATTTTAGAGGAAGAGAGGGCTTCAATAGATGAGGGGCTTCAACCAATAAAAAACGTGATCAAAGCATCTGCAAGATATAATCCCCAGTTTTGTGCATGCAATTTCCCAGTTTCCAAGAAAACAACAAGATCATAAAAATCACAAAGAGTCAACCTTAAATCGAAGGAGACTTTTTAAAATCTCCCAACCAACAGAAAATTGCAGGCATTACTTTTAAAGCGACCAGCACTACTGGAACAAAATTTGGGGAGGGAAGGAACATGCTGCAACAACTGACATGATTCAGTCTGGTTTCTTCTCTATTTCTACAATGGGGAGGAAACCAAACAACCCTCGTTGCTCCCCGCCTCTCCTCCACCTGTCCTCAATTCACCTTCCAGCTACTGCTGTCCTGGGAAGAGCAGGAGAGCCGCCCTGCACGCCTCAGTCCTCCCACGGGTCAGCCGGAAAAGGAGATCCCTCTGTTCTTCTCCTCTCTAGAAATCCAGTACTCTATGCTTCAACACCATTCGGCTCCGTCGCTTCCCCTCTCGTTGGATGTCAGTATTCATCAACCATCGATGCCGCCACTGTATTGACGGCTTTCTAGTCACCGGGTTTTACTCATTGCATGGAGCGCCCTCTAGCGACGTAAGGCTGAAAATCGCACGTTGTTTGCAAGATTCTTGATCGATTACTGTAGGCGCCACTAAGTGGTTTTCAGCACCTAGATAGCTTCACTTTGGGTCGATCGACCGCTAACCTGTTCTTCAGGGATGCACTCATAGCTACTATAACTGACCCAGCAGCTTTGTTTTTGGGAAGGGTAGGTGGGTGTGAGAAACAATGTGCATAGCAACAGCAACGATTACACATCATTTGTGGATCGTGAATTCTCTTCCAACCAGTTATTCGTCTGGAGGAAGCAAGGATAACTCCTCAAAACCTGCTTTTGCAAATTGAGGGAAACTTGAAGAGTGAAGGTTGAGTCTACTTAGCTTTGCAAGATTAAGCCGGTTGCTGGGCCCTCAAAGTTGATCAGAAAGGTCAGCAGTTCAACGGTTCGAATCCCTAGTACAGTGATGGCTAACCCTAAAAGTGGGGGGAACACAGGAGGGTTGCATGCGAGCGTGCCCACACCCATAATTCAATACCCCCATGCCCCACACATGTGCACGCGACCCCTCCACACTCCCACTTTTGGCACGCGACGGCAAAAAGGTTACCGGTGGGCCTGGTAGGCCCATTATTGGCCTTCCCAGGCTCCAAGAGGGTGAAAACAGCCTACCCCACCCTCCCAGAGGCCCTCCAGAGGCCGGAAACAGCTCATTTCCTGACTTCCCGTGGGCCCAAAAGGCCGAAAATCAGCTGGCCTGCACATGTGTGCTTGCTGGAGCTGAGCTAGGGCAATGCTCGCATGCCCACAGATATGGCTCCGTGTGCCATATGTGGCACGCGTGCCATAGGTTTGCCATCACGACCCTAGTATAAGTCTCTTGCTTGAGCAGGGGGTTGGACTAGTCCAGGGATTTCCAACCTTGGCAACTTTAAGACTTGTGGACTTCAACTCCCAGAATTCCTCAGCCAGCTAACTGAGGAATTCTGGGAGTTGAAGTCCACAAGTCTTAAAGTTGCCATGGTTGGAGACCCCTGGACTAGAGGACCTCCAAGGTCCCTTCCAACTCTGTTCCTGTTACTATTGGTTCATGAAATTCTTGAGACCTAAATGATTGCCAGCTTCATCCTATTACCAGTAATAGAATAGCGAAACCTGGGATAAACCAGAAAGCATCCGCTAGGATTGCATCTGAACCACATCTACATGGGAGGAATCCTAACTGGGGTTGCAAGCCAGCTTTGATCTTGAAGGAGGAGATTTTAAATCTTCTAAATGCCATGTGATTCCATCAAATCCCTTGCAAAGGGTCACCATTAGATCAAAGCAAAGAGTTGCATACACGACAGGGCCTAGAAAAATGGGGCTTAGAAGGAAGAGGTGACTGTCTATATTTGGTTAAAGGAAGTGATAAACCTTCCAAAGAAACATTTCAGTTGCAAAAAGGATGGTATAAAATAGGTGCACCCAAAACTGCATAAAAAGTTACCATATTCTCCATTTGACACACCTGCCTTTGTTGTTTAGAAATGTTTACTGTAATAACAGCTGCTCCTGGAAGCTACCTTCATGCCTGGCCTGATTTAACACTGAACTGGAACTTCTTTGCAGTCTTTATACCAGCAAATATAACCTCTGGCTGGCCCCAGAGTGGGGTGGGAATTGAGATTTTGCAGTATCCTTCCCCTGCCATGCCCATCAAGCCACACCACACCATGCCCACCAAGTCATGCCCACAGAGCCAGTAATAAAATTTTTTGAATTTCACCACTGTTTTAATCCCGTCTTTGACCCTTACACCCAATGTTTCTTTTAGGTGCCGTCAAGTCAGACTTGACACCTGGGGACTGGCTGGATTGCTTTCTCTGCAATTTCCTTGGCAAGGATTTTCAGAAGTGGTTTCTTCCTTTCCTGCTTCCTAGGCCTGAGAGAGGCAATGGCCAAAGATGCCCAGATGGCTCTGTGCCTAATGCGGGACTTGAACTGAGCACCTCCCAGTCTGTACCCTGGAACTTTGACTACTAAGCCAAACTGGATCTTTGCAATCGTTGTAACTGGCTCCCCATTATTCTCCAGATAATGGATCTTTTCTTGCCTTTAAATCTGAGCTTCAAACTTTTATTCTGAATTAATGGGAGTCTTTATCCGATTGTAGACTGCTGGCTTCTGGCCTGGCCCTAGGGCACCAGCAACTCTGGCTATGACAGACAGCTGTTGCTGAATTTTGCTTGATTTTATGAGTTAGGGTTATATATAGTGTTCGTAGATTTTCCGGGATTTCATTAAGCTACTTGTTGTACTATATGGGTGTTACTTGTTTGGAATTCAATAATTCCGTTTATATCTCTTTCAGTTTGTCTAGTCGGAATCTTTGCATAATGACATCCAATGACTATTTTCGCAGAATGAATAAAAAGAAACATACTCTTTGCAATGAATTCTTATAGTGGCCAGTCAGCCATGAAACTCTTCCAATCTTCCATTCTCTCTGTGCTAATGTCCCATTTTGTTCTACAAAGACCTCAGAATGTTGTAGCCGCTAACAGTCCATATTATGGAATAGTCCTCTCAAAGAGCCAGATGCTTTGGAGCAATTTCAAACATTTTTAGTGCCTGAACCATAAAAATGTGACAACAGATGTGCCCAAAAATAACAGTAGAGAATTAAATATGACAAAAATTAAATATAACTGGATTATTTTAAAGTTTAAAACATTTATTACAGTGAAAGACTAACATAATGAATGTGAGGTATATTCAGTTAAAAAGTAGAGAAAGTAACCATAGGGTAAAAATAGTAATTATACAAAAAAAACAATAGACATAAATGAAAGAATATATATAAAAACAGAGGCTTAAATGGAGCACGGAGAGATAAAATTCCTGTAGAGTGCATAAAGTTTAGCATGTGGCAGATTAAATCTATCACTCCACAGTGCACACAGTATGATGATTCTTAAGACTACTTTATGGCACAGGTCATCCATCATCTGCCCAATTTTTAAGTGCTGCTCTGCAGAACCTGGCAATATTACACTGTATTTTGTACCAGAGTGACTCTCTGAAAGCAGCAGGGAAATATAGAATTGTCCTGTGCAGCCTGAGTATTTATGCAGTATTAGAGAGACGAACCCGATACTAATGTCTGTCTAATAAAGCTCCTGGAGAAGCATGTGCTTTGTTTTTTTCTGTGGGTTCAGGTTCACAGGCACATTGTATTATAACCTGAGCTGTGTTACTGACACGGAGAACCCTTGAATTCTTTGGTGTCTTCTAAATTCAGGGAAAAATTTGGCAACTTCCATTGCTATCACCCACCAGCATTCAAAGCAGGGGTGAAATCCTCCCGATTCGGACCGGATCGCCCAATCCGGTAGCGATGGTGGCGGGTGGTTCGGAGAACCGGTAGCAAAAATCCCTGCAGCCCCCCCCCGCCACCATGCCCAGCTGAGCCACACGATCATCAGAAGCTTTTTTTTTTACTTTTAAAAGCATTTTTTTCTACAACCTCTTCCGCCGAAAAACTGCTTTTAAAAGTAAAAAAAAGCCTCTGATGATCGTGCGGCTCAGCTAGGATCGTCAGAGGCTTTTCAAAGCATTTTTTTCTGCAACCTCTTCCGCTGAATGCTTTAATGCTTTAAAAGCCTCTCTGACGATCCCAGCTGAGTTGCCTGATTGTCAGAGAGGCTTTTAAAAGCATTTTTTAAAAAGCCTATCTGACAATCAGGCAACTCAGCTGGGATCGTCAGAGCAGCTTTTTAAAAAGTGCTTTGAAAAACCTCTGACGATCCCAGCTGTGTTGCCTGATCGGCAGAGGCTTTTCAAAGCATTTTTTTGCATTTGCAGAAAAAATGCTTTGAAAAGTTAAAAAAAAAAAAGTTGCCCACACCCACCCAGTCACTTACTTTATTTATTTATTTATTTATTTATTTATTTATTTATTTATTTATTTATTTGAATTTGTATGCCGCCCTATCTCCGAAGGGACTCAGGGTGGCTCACAACAATAAAAAGCAAAATCAATGTTAAAATACCCAATAAAATTATTAAAAGACCATTAAAATCCCTTTTAAAACCCCTTCAGTCCAAATCAGCCAGGTGAAACCATGTTTTAAAGTCACGGCGGAAAGAGCGAAGGTTAGGGGCCACCCGGAGCTCCAGGGGGAGCTGATTCCACAGGGTAGGTGCACCCACAGAGAAGGCCCGCTCCCTAGGGGTCGCCAGCCGACATTGTCTGGCCGACGGCACCCCGAGGCCCTCCTTGTGGGAACGCACCAGGCGATGGAGAGCTGTTGCTGGCCGCAGATGGTCTGCCCCTCCACCATTACCCCCCTCACCAAGCCACACCCAAAGAAGCGGTAGTAACAAATTTTACATTTCACCCCGATTCAAAGGATAACAAAAGGCACCTCCAAGCAAAGGAGATCACAGCAGAAGTTGGTAGAAAACCTGAAGATCCTACACGCAAAAACCACATTCCATTTTTCTCTACAATATTTCAACAGCATTTGCATACCATGGTCAACAACCTTTACATGTGAGATTTTTGTGCTCTTGTCACTGCCCCAAAATTCCCTCATATATTCTCCATTCTGTGGGTCACTGTTGTTGCTTGACTCTCCAGTCTGAACAGGGATTCATCTTGCTCTGAATTTCTGAAAATGTTAGGAAAAGATGAACTCTCTGCTTGCATCATCTCATATTTGGTAAGCTACAATCACTAAGTAAATCAGTGCGCTCCTATCTTCTAATATATATATTTAAGCATCTGCAGATTCTTAAAATCTGTATGTTGCTTTTCTATGATCTCACTTGTTCAATATGCAAAAAACATTCTGAAAAGCCTTTTGGCAGCAAATATGCTATTTTTAACATGGGACGTGGTGGTTCAGTGGCTAAGACGCTGAGCCTATCGATCCGAAGAGGTTCAAATCCCTAATACCACATAACGGAGTGAGCTCCTGTTACTTCTCCCAGCTTCTGCCAACCTAGCAGTTCAAAAGCCTGTAAAAAATGGAAATAGAAAAATAGGGACCACCTTTGGTGGGAAGGCAACAGCGCTCCGTGCGCCTTCAGCCTTTAGTCATGCTGGCCACATGACCACAGAGACGTCTTTGGACAGTACTGGCTCTTCGGCTTTGAAACGGAGATGAGCACTGCCCCCTAGAGCCAGAAACGACTAGCGCGCATGTGCAAGGGAACCTTTACCTTTACGCTATTTTTGCAAAATGGAATATCCACTGCCTTTTCCTGATAGCCACACATAAGCAGTTAACCTTGATCAAACTAACATTTCATTTTTTTTCTCTCCTCCCTCATGCCTAATACTGGGACGTGCTTGGCTAAACACAATCAGGCCAGAAATTAAATATTAATTTCCCAGCCATGCTTCTAAAGGCAACACAGAAACAGAATTCAAGCCTTCCCTACAGTCATCACCTTCTCCTTCGTATGGATTTTCTTGTGTGCAGTAAGAGAGGAATAATGTGTGAAGCACCGTCCGCACTCTGGGCACTTGAAAGGTTTCTCCCCTGTGTGTAAACCTACATGATTTATAAGGTTAGTTCTGGTACTGAAACCTTTTCCACAGTCAGGACATTCAAAGGGTTTTTCTCCTGTATGAGTCCTCTGGTGTATCACTAGGCCAGAATACCAACTGAAACATTTGCCACAGTCCAGACATTTATACGGCTTCTCTCCTGTGTGAGTCCTCTGGTGTTTCACAAGCTTGGAATTATGACTGAAACTTTTCCCACAATCAGGACATTCAAAGGGTTTCTCTCCTCTGTGAGTCTTCAGGTGTTTCACAAAGTCACAATTATGACTGAAACTTTTCGCACAATCTGGACACTTGTATCGTTTCTCCCGTGTGTGAATCCTCAGGTGTTTAACAAGACTGGAATTCTGACTGAACCCTTTCCCACAATCTGGACACTCATATGGCTTTTCCCCTGCATGAGTCCTCTGGTGCATCATCAGGTTGGAATTACAGAAGAAACATTTCCCACAATCTGGACACTTGTACCTTTTCTCCCGTGTGTGAGTCCTAAGGTGTTTAATAAGATGGGAATTCTGACTGAAACCTTTCCCACAATCTGGGCACTCATACGGTTTCTCCCCTGTATGAGTCCTCTGGTGTTTCACAAGGTTTGAATTATGACTGAAAGCTTTCCCACAATATGGACACTCATAAGGTTTCTCCCCTGTGTGAGTCCTCTGGTGAATCACCAGGTTGGAATTGTGACTGAAATCTTTCCCACAATCTGGACACTCATACACTTTCTCCCTTGTGTGAGTCCTCTGGTGTGTCACCAAGTGCGAATTTTGACTGAAGCCTTTCCCACAATCTGGACACTCAAAGGGTTTCTCTCCTGTGTGTGTCCTCTGGTGTGTCACCAGGTGAGAATTCCGACTGAAAGTTTTCCCACAATCAGAACACACAAATGACTTCTCCCCCATTTCAGGCCTTTTTTGTATCACTAGGGTAGCATGTTTCCTAAAGCTTGTGCCACATAGAGGACAGAGGGTGAGTTTTTCTTCAGTTCCCCTCGTGTATAATCAGGGGTGATCTGCAATCTCTGCATTTCTCATAAATTGGTATTTTTGGATTCTTAAGGTCAAAAAGATTTTGGATCCCTTCTTGGATGTTGCTTTCATTCAAGCTATGCTTTCTTCACAGGGCAAGGTTTGCATGACTGCCTGTCCGATGTGATTGTACAAGTGACCTCTTCCTCCCCATTGATTTCCAGATTATTTCCATTTTTCTGAATTTGCAAATTATCCCCCTTGACCTTTTTTTGCAGTGTTTCCTTGAGTTTTACATAGACAGGTTTCTCCAGCTCAAAATTCTCTTCCTGTTATTCTCTTTTTTGTCTGTCACCTTCCTGAGGAAGAATTTTTTTAGTTTTCTGGAGGAGGCTGAAAAGACTTTAATTGTTGGCTTCATTTGCTTTCTTTTTTAATGGTTTGGAATTTCACTTGTCTGGAATTCTCTTCCTGGCATCCTCTTTGTCTATAAAATGGACATAAACCCTCAGTTTAATGGTTGTTTATAAAATCATTGCACAACATGTGAAAACAGAGAGAGAGAGAAGCATGCACTATAATGAAAAAGCGAACATGTCAAAATGCTACTTTAACCTCTAACATTAAGTATGGTTCACTTGACACATAGAAGATTAGCGAGATCCAAGCTCAAATATCCACACAAACATTAAATTTCCTTCTGGATTTCAGTAAATCACAAACTTTTAGCATTGCAAACTGTTATTTCAAATAACAGTTTCAAATATACAGATTTGCCATAGCCACTTTTTATAGAGGCACAATTGGGATTGTTTTAACAAACTGCATCACCATTTGGTTTGGTGGCAGCAGTGCTTCAGATAGAAAGTCCATACAGAGAGTGGTAAGGACAGCAGAGATTATAGGAAGCTCGCTTCCTGTTATTCAGGATATTGCTTATAAGCGCTATATGCTTAGAGCTCAAAGCATTGTTAGAGACCGCACATACCCACTTTACAGTCTGTTTATGTTGCTCCCCTCCAGGATGAGGTTTCAAAGTATTTCTAGCAGGACTACCAGATTCTGTAACAGCTTTGCTCCCTATGCCATCCATGTGGTAAACTCGCAGGATTCGTTTTTCTCCCCATGGACATGTATGCATCCAAACTAACAGTAACTGTGTTGGTTCTCTGTGTCATATAATATATGTGGGTACCTGCATCTATCTATCTATCTTTCTTTCTTTCTTTCTTTCTTTCTTTCTTTCTTTCTTTCTTTCTTTCTTTCTTTCTTTCTTTCTTTCTTTCTTTCTTTCTTTCTTTCTTTCTTTCTTTCTCTCTAGCTAGCTATCTTTCTTTTTCTTTCTTTCTTTTCTTTCTTTCTCTTTCTTTCCTTTCTTTGTCATGTTTCTGTAGTGTATATTAGAGGTGGTGACCCTTTGAGAACTGTGCGCAATGAAATTTCATTTTAATATGTGCAGATTAGTGTACCTTCAAAGTGATAATAAAGTTAGTCTAAGTCTAAAGATTTCCTTGTGTCTGACTCTAGGCTCATCTCCACTATCATAGCTGTATATTACAGGGCACCCATCCAAGCAGGAGCACCCAACAAGCACCACTGGAGCAAAATTTGGGGAGGGAAGGAACATTCAGCAGCAGCTGACATGTTCCAGTCTGTTTCTTCTCTATTTCTACACTGTGGAGGAAATCAAGCAGCCCTGCTTGCTCCTCCGACTTGCTACAACTCACCTTCCAGCTGCTAAAAGTCCTGGGAAGAGCAGGAGAGGCGTCCTGCACGCCACAGTCCTCCCACGGGTCAGCCGGAAGAGGAGATTTCTCTGTTCTTCTCCTCTCTAGAAATCCAGTACTCTATTGTTTCAACCCCTCTAGGCTCCGTCGCTCCCCCTCCCGTTGAATGTGGGTAGTCAGCCACCATCGATGCCGCTCTAATGTATTGATGCTTTCTAGTCGCCGGGTGTTACTCATTGCATAGAGCGCCCTCTAGCGGAAGAAGGCTTGAAAAACACTCTCGTTTGCAAGATTTTTGATCGATTGCGATATGCGCCGTTAAGTGGTTTTCAATGACCACATCGATAGCTTCACTTTGGATCGATCCTGTTCTTTCGGGTCTCAGGGATGCACTCATAAGCTACTACAACTGACCCAGCGGCTTTGTTTGCAGGGAGCGAGAAATCAAACCAACATTCGCAGGAGAGACGGGGAACGATTGTGCATACAATCAGTAATGTCATTTGTGGATCGGTGAATTCTGTTCCAGCAAGTTATTCGTCCGGGGGAGCAAGGATAACTCCTCAAAACCTACTTTTGCAAATTGAGGGAAGTTTGAAGAGTGGAGGTTGAGTCTACTTAGTTTTGTAAGATTAAGCTAGTTGCTGGCCCTAAAAGTTCATGAAATTCTTTTTTTTTTTATGCATGGACCTAAATGATTGCCAGATTCGTCCTATTAACAGAATAGCCAAACCTGGGACAAAGCAGAAAGTGTCCACGAGCATTGCATCTGAACCACATCTACGTAGGAGGAGGAATTTTAACTGGCTTTGCCACTAAACATTCCTCTCTGTATTGTTGGGAAGCATAAATCTCACTAGAGGGCAGAATGTCTCTGTGTACCCTTCCCAATCTCTACTGGAGTTAAATTTCAGAGAATTATCATTCTCAAGCAATTGGGGCTAAAGACTTGGAGGAAACTGGTTTGCAGAAAGCTGATCCAAATATTCCTGTGCCTTCGCACAGACCTGGAGGTACTCAGTTCAAGTCCAGGATTAGGCACAGAGTCATCTGGGCATCTTTGGCCATTCCTTCTCTCAGACCTAGGAAGCAGGAAAGAGGGAAACCACTTCCCAAAATCCTTGCCAAGAAAAAAATACAGAGAAAGCAGTCCAGCCAGTCCCAGTTGTCAACTCTGACTTGAAGGCACCTAAAAGAAACATTGGGTGTAAGGGTCAAAGACGGGATTAAAACAGTGGTGAAATTCAAAAAAAATTATTACTGGTTCTGTGGGCGTGTCTTGGTGGGTGTGGTGTGTCTTGGTGGGCGTGGCAGGGGAAGGATACTGCAAAATTTCCATTCCCACTCCACCAGCCAGAGGTGGTATTTGCCAGTTCTCTGAACTACTCAAAATTTCCGCCACTGGTTCTCCAGAACCTGTTGGAACCTGCTGGATTTCACCCCTGGATTAAAAGTACACAGTTCCAGTTCAGTGTTAGGTCAGGCATGAAAAGTAGCTTCCAGGAAGCTCTGGTGGAGAATCTCCATCTCCACCATATTAGATCTGTGTCCAAAATGGCAATGGAGCATGGGTGAAATCCAGCAGGTTCTGACAGGTTCTGGAGAACCGGTAGCGGAAATTTTGAGTAGTTTGGAGAATCGGCAAATACCATCTCTGGATGGTCCCAGAGTAGGGTGGGAATGGAGATTTTGCAATATCTTTCCCCCAGGAGAGGGGAGGAAATGGGGATTTTGCAGTATCCTTCCCCTGCCACGCCCACCAAGCCGCACCAGGCCCACAGAACCCGTAGTAAAAAAATTGGATTTCACCACTGCAATGGAGGGTGCCTTTTTACAAAATGGAGAGGGGCCTTCTTGAACCTAACACCCCTCTGGATTTCCACTGAGTGTGCTGTTACCTCTTACCCATTGCTTTGCACCCCACTGCACCCTTCCTATTCTATCTTCCACCCTGAATATCCTCCATGGTTCATGCAGAGCCTCTTGTTCATCCAGCGCACCTTTTCAGACCCACCTGGTGCCCTTCATGCAACTCCTTTCTCATATGGCCTTCCCAACTTTGCCTTCCATCCCCACGCACTTCTGTCACTCTCACTCCCAACAGGAGAGCCATCCTTCCTGGCATAAGACTTACAACCAGTGACTTTTCTTGTGGAAAGTTGGCAGGATGTTTCCTTGTGTAACCACTATAGGATTCAGTTAGCAATGATAATTGGAATTCCAGAGATTGGCAATGTTAAGCTGTGCTGTGGCTTTTTATGTGTACATCACTTAGGGATAAAAATTCTGGTCCTTGTTGGTATTGTAAATTGAGGACTACCTGTAGTATACCCAGTGGCATCCTATTGCTTTTTTTCAATCATTCCCCACCTGACATATCTGAAAAAATAGTGGAATTAGCCGTAGAGAAAATGCAGGAAATTCCCTCATTTAGATTGGCAAGGTGACCTAGAGAATTGTTGTGGAGTAATCAACTCCGTATTATTCTCCAGCCAATGGGTTTCTTTTTTTCTTTAAATACGAACGTCAAACTTTTCTTCTGAGTTAATGGAGTCTTTCTCTGACTGTAGATTACTGGCTTTTGGCCTGGCCATGGGGACCAGCAACTCTGGCTATGAGATCACCTGTTGCTGAATTTAGCTTGATTTTATGAGTTACAGTAGGGTTTTTTGGATCTCATTAAGCTATCCGTTCTATTGTAAGGGGGCTACTTGTTGGGAATTCCACCGTTCCCTTTATATCAGTTTCAGTTTCTCTACTTTGAATCTTTGCATAATGACATCCAATGCCTTATTTTGCAGAATGATAAAAAGAACCACTCTTTCGTTGCAATGAACTCTTGCAATAGCCAGTCACCTATAAACTCTTCCAACTTTTTTCCCTTTTATTCTCTCTATGCTAATGTTCCACTTCATTCCACAAAGACCTCAGAATGTTGTAGAGTAGATATTAAGAGTCTGCATTACAGAACGGTCCTCTCAAAGATCCAGAAGCTTTTGAGCTATTTCAAGCATTTTTAGTGCCTAAACCATAAAAATGTGACAACAGATGTGCCCAAAAATAACACCAAAAAGAAAGAATTAAATATGACAAAAATTAAATATAATTGGATTATTTTAAAGTTTAAAAAGTTTATTACTGAAAGACCAACACGATGAATGTGGGGTGTATTCAGTTAAAAAGTAGAGAAAGTAATCACAGGGTAAAAATAGTAATTATACAAAAAAAACCAAGAGAAATAAATGAGAGTATATATAAAAACAGAGGCCTAAATGGAACTAAAAGTATGGTGAGGAGGATAAGATTCCTGTCGTGTGCATAAAGTTTAACATGTGGCAGATTAAATCTATCACTCCATAGTGCACACAGTATAATGAGCTGGATCCTCCTTAAACTACTTTATGATGGTCATCCATCATCTGCCCAATTTTTAAGTGCTGCTCTGCAGAATCTGGCAACATTACACTGTATTTTGTACCAGAGCGACTCTCTGAAAGCAGCAAGGAGATACAGAATTGTCCCGTGCACCCTGAGTATTTATCCAGAATTGGAGAGATGAGCCCAATACTAATGTCTGTCTAATAAAACCCCTGGAGAAGCATCTGTTTTGTTGTTTCTGTGCGTTCAGATTCACAGGCACATTGTATTATAACCTGAGCTGTGTAACTGACATGGAGAACCCTTGAATTCTTTGGTGTCTTCTAAATCCAGGAAAGTTTTTAGCAACTTCCACTGCAATCACACACCAGCATTCAAAGGATAACAAGAGGCACCTCCGAGCAAAGGAGATCACAGCAGCAGTTGGTAGAAAACTTCCTACATTCAAAACCCACATTCCATTTTTCTCTGCAATATTCCAATAGCATTTGCATATCATGTTCAATAACATTATATGTGTAATTCTTGTGCTCCTTATTGTCCCAAACCTCCCTCGTTTTTCATTCTGCGTATCACCGTTCTGTCCTTCACTGTTCTTGCACTGAATTTCTGAAAATGTTAGCAAAAGATAATCTCTGAACTCTCTTTATCTCTTCTCTCCTATCACCCAATATTTGAGGAGCTACAATCGCTAAATAAATCAGAATGCTCTTTATCCCCCAATATATTTTCTTAGGATCTGCAGCACGTTTCTGCAAATCTGCATGATGCATTTCTATGGCATCTGTTCATCAATATACAAAAATATTCCTTTTTTTTTTTTTGCAATTGCCCTATTTTTGCAAACGGGAATATCCACTTACTGAGGTTCTGCTGAAAGCCAGAAAAGAAATGGAACTGGAAAATATTAGTTTGATAAAGGCTACATGTAGTTAGCTTTTATAAAAAATAGTATTTTCCATTTCCATTGTTTTCTCTCCTTCCTCACGTCTAATATTGAGACATCTTTGACTAAGATGAATAAGGCCAGAAATTAAATAGTTAATTCCAAAGCAAAGCAATTCAAGCCTTCCCTACAGTCATCACCTTCTGCCTCATGTGGATTTTCTTGTGTACAGTAAGGGAGGACTTTTGTGCGAAGCACCTTCCGCACTCTGGGCATTTGAAACGTTTCTCCCCCCGAGTGTAAACCTGCATGAGTAATAAGATTAGTCTTAGTACTGAAATCTTTCCCACAGACCGGACACTCATATGGTTTTTCTCCTGTGTGTGTCCTCTGGTGTACCACCAGGTCAGAATGTCGACTGAAACTTTTCCCACATTTAGGACAGTCATATAGTTTCTCCCCTGTGTGAGTCCTCTGGTGTATCACCAGACCAGAATTCCAACCGAAACATTTCCCACACTCCGGACACTTGTATGGTTTTTCCCCAGTGTGTGTCCTTTGGTGTAACACCAGGTGGTAATTCGTATTGAAAGTTTTCCCGCAAGTAAGACACCTGTATGGTTTCCCCCCAGTATGCATCCTCTGGTGAACCACCAGGTAAGAACGGCAACTGAAACATTTACCACAATTTAGACATTCATATGGTTTCTCTCCTGTATGAATTCTCTGGTGTTTCACAAGATCGGAATTCTGACTGAAAGTTTTCTCACAATCCAAACACTTGTATGGTTTGTTCCCTCTGTGAGTCCTCTGGTGTTTCATAAAGTCAGAATTCCCACAGAAATTATTCCCACAATCTGGGCACTCAAACACTTTGCCCCCAGCGTTAGACCTCTGGTGTATTATCAATTGGGAATTCCGACTGAAGCTTTTCCCACAAGCCAGACACTTGTATGGTTTCTCCCCAGTGTGAGTCCTCCGGTGTAACACCAGGTAGTAACTTCTACTGAAAGTCTTCCCACAATCTAGACAACTGTATGGTTTCTCCCCAGTATGTATCCTCTGGTGTACCAGCAGGTAGGAACGGCGAATGAAACATTTACCACAATCTTGACATTCATATGGTTTCTCTCCCGTATGAATTCTCTGGTGTTTCACAAGATCAGAATTCCGACTGAAAGTTTTCTCACAATCCAGACACTTGTATGGTTTCTTTCTTCCATGAGTCCTCTGGTGTTTCATAAAGTTGGAATTCCCACAGAAACTATTCCCACAATCTGAACACTCATACACTTTGCCCCCAGCGTTAGACCTCTTGTGTATTATCAATTGGGAATTCCGACTGAAACTTTTGCCACAATCCAGACACTTGTATGGTTTCTCCCCAGTGTGAGTCCTCTGGTGTAACACCAGGCAGTAATTCCTACTGAAGGTCTTCCCACAATCTAGACAATTGTATGGTTTCTCCCCAGTGTGCATCCTCTGGTGTACCACCAGGGAGGAACTGCGACTGAAACATTTGCCACAATCTGGACATTCATATGGTTTCTCTCCTGTATGAGTTCTCTGGTGTTTCACAAGATCGGAATTCCGACTGAAAGTCTTCCCACAATCCAGACAATTGTAGGGCTTCTTCCCTCGGTGACTCCTCTGGTGTTTCACCAGGGCAGAACTATCACTGAAACTTTTCCCACAATCTGGACACTCATATGGTTTCAACTCCATATGAGTCCTTTGGTGTAGAACTAAGCGGTATTTCCATCTGAAAATTTTCTCACAATGCAGACACTTGTACAGTTTCCACCGTCCATGAATCCTATGGCAATTCATTTGGGAATTATGACTGAAACTTTCCTCACAATCCGGACACTCCTATGGTATCTCCCCTGTGCGAGTCCTCTTGTGTATTATTAGAGTATATGCTTCCTAAAGCTTTTGCAACATTGAGGGCACTAGGAGGACTTTTTTTCAGTGCGGGTCCTCTCAGGCATAATCAGGTATGATCTGTAATCTGTGCTTTTCCCACAATATACACATCTTTCCCGCCAGTGTTATTTTTGGATTCTGGAGATAAAAAATATTGCCACATAGGCAGACAGTGGTGCAATCCAAATGTTCCCTTTCTCCCCGCTGATTTCCAAACATTTCCCCCATTATCTGAATTTGGAAATGATCACCCTTGACCTTTTTGTGGAGTGTTTTTGCTTCTTCCAGAGACTCAATTATGTCCAGCTCGAAACTCTTTTCCTGTTATTCTCTCTTCTGTCTGATACTTTCTGGGATAGTGGAGGACTTTTGTGGTTTTCTGGGAGAAGCGGAAAATGCTTTGATGGCTGGCTGGATTTGCTTTTCCTTTTAATGCCTCTTGTGCTTCTCACTTTGCATGATGGTCTTCAGGGCATCCTTTACGTCTATAAAATTCACATAAAATTGTTAGTTTAATTCTTGTATATAAATAGATGCATAAGATGTGAAAACAGCAAGAAAAAAAATCAAAAATTAGAATAAAAAAGCAAACATGCCATAGTACTTGAGTTACTGTTTACATTTACATAACACCAGACATGGGTGGCCTGAATGAGGCAACATCATGAGAAGTGCTGTGATGAAGATGACCAAAGAAACACATTTGAACAGGCAGGATTTTCAGGTTGGTAAACATTTTTATTGAATCATATTTCTAAAGATTGCCTTGAACTGTCATGTTTGAGCAAAATTATATTTCTTATTATTACTGCATGTTACTGTCATTTTATATAGTTATGAAGAAAAGCAAATATTCCTTTTGGGGCAGTGCTGTGTACAGTAAGCAGAAATTGTATAAACAATAAAATAACAGCATTGACTTTTTTGTTTAGGGGAATTCATGGATTCTGGAAACTATCCACCTTCAAGATCACTATCCTCCTGTTCAAAGTTTCAGAGTTATCCATCCAGGATAGTGCTTCATTAGCATCATCATCATCAGACACCCACAGCCACATACCATTATCACCTAAAAGAAAGAAAAAACCCTTCCCTCCTGGAACCACCATAGATAAGTTTGTGATAAAAACTAGCAGATTAGAAAAAAAGTTAATAGATGAAAAAATTGCCCAGTTTGTTTATGCAACAAACTCTTCTTTCCGTCTGACTGAGAACCCACATTTCATTAATATGGTTCAGTCACTGAGACCAGGATACAGTCCACCCAGCAGAGCAGATGTTGCAGGGAAACTTCTGGATAAAGTTTTCTGACAGAAAAATGGAGCAATGTGCAACAGCTCTGGAGGGTAGAATTGTTAACCTAAGTATTGATGGGTGGAGTAATGTCCACAATGATCCTATTGTATGTGCTTGTATAACAACAGAAGAAGGGAAAGTCTTCCTTGCACAAACAATTGATACGTCAGGAAATGCACAGACAGCAGAATATTTACAAGAAGTGGCAGAAAAAGCTATAATAACATGTGAACAAAAATTCAAATGTCTAGTATGCAGTTTGGTCACAGACGATGCTGCAAATGTATCCAAGAGGAGAAGAAATTTAGAAGAGCAGGAAGGGAATACAAAGCTAATAACATACGGTTGCAGTGCTCATTTGCTTCACCTCTTAGCCAAAGACTTAAGTGTTCCAGAAATAAAGACTAATGTTGTTGAAATTGCTAAATACTTCTGTAACAATAATTTTGCTGCAGCAGCTCTGAAAAGGATGGGTGGAACCAAGCTAACGCTCCCACAAGATGTTAGATGGAACTCTGTGGTGGACTGTTTTGAGCAGTATATCAAGAACTGGCCTATTCTGATGGCAGTTTGTGAAGAAAATCGAGATAAAATAGATGGCACTGTCACGGTCAAAATTCTCAACATTGGGTTTAAGAGAAATGAACATATGTTGAGCATCCTGAAACCCATCCCTGAAGCTTTAAACAAAATACAGAAAAATAGCTGTTTTATTGCTGATGCTGTTGAAATTTGGAAGGAACTGAGTGAACACTTAAAAACAGAACTACACATGGACAGAATTAAATTACAAGCATTAAAAAAACAAATGGGACAAGTACTGTCTCCAGCTCATTTTTTGGCAAATATTGTCAATATCCAGTATCAGGGTCAAAACTTAAGTGCTGAGGAAGAGGAGTTAGCTATGACATGGGTATCCAGCAATCATCCAACTTTTATAGTTGTAATGCCAACTATAATAAACTTCAAAGCTAAGGGGGAACCATTCAAGAAATATATGTTTGCTGAAGATATTTTAAAGAAAGTCACACCAGTGAACTGGTGGAAGTCACTTAAGCACTTGGATTTAGAGACTGTTCAAGTAATGATTTCACTTTTAACAGCAGTAGCTTCTTCTGCAGGCGTTGAAAGAATATTCTCTTCCTTTGGACTCATTCATTCTAAATTGAGCAATTGTTTGGGACCCGATAAAGCAGGAAAGCTTGTTTTTCTTTTCCAGATTATGAACAAAGAAGAAGATGACAATGACGAGTGAGCTACAGAGGACAGTATTTAAGTTTTTCATGTGTAGGCTGGGCTGACAGTCTAAGTTTCTTAAAATATATATATTTTGTTTAGCCAAATTAGTTAACAAACATGGATGTTTGTTTAAGCAAATAACACATGCTGTAATGTTATTGTTTCAGTTGAATAAATCTATTTAAATTGTTATTATTAAGGTAATGATTATTATTCTCCTTCCTAAGTACAACAGAAAAGTTGTCCAAATATGAATGATTAACCTATTAAACTGGGGATAAAAAAACTAATATGAAAAGTTGTTATTCTAAAAATCTTCATCTACTTGCATATTAAAGGACATGCGCTGGATTCTCCAGCGCATGTCCAAGATGGCGGCGCCCGCTGGAACTACGATCTGATGATGGGGCGCCGACCTACCCTTTGGGTCCTTTGGGGGTCATGCTGAAGATCTCCGACCCCAGGACCAGTCAGGGGAGCTCCTCGCCAGCACGGAGAGGGTTTTCTTTCCCTCCGTGACTGGGTAGAGAGGAAGGGGCGATGCGTGGAGCGCCAGGCTGATCAGCTGGGCGTCGGCAGCGTCGGCGGCGTTTTTTTCACAGCCGGCGGCCATCAATCAGAGGGAGCGGTGTTGTGCCGGGGGCGCCGCCGCGCGGCAAGCTTCTAAGCCCGGGGGGGTTGCCCGAAGGGTTGTAAGATGTGTCGGGCACCCCCCCGAAGACCTCTGGGACGTCGCCAGGCTCTTTCGGGGGCTGGCGACGATGGCGCGGTGGCGGCAGCGATGGCGGTTGCTGTGAAGGCTAGCTGGCGGTCAGACGGCGCTGGGGACCCCCCCCCCTCGGAATAGGAGCGGGGGGGGCAACAAACCAACAATCCAACAGGCCTGGGAGACCTGCAACAATGGTTGGGGCGGAAAAGACCCGGAGCGATTTGCTGGGCCTTGGGAAGCCTCAATTTGTGGTTGTATGGGGGGCTGGGGAAAACTGCCCCATTTCTGCCCCATTTCTCTCTTCCCCAGCGTTCCTCGTTAAACCTGGGCCCACCGGACCAACTATCAGCCTGTGTGACTCATTGGCGCGATGCCCTATTATTGTTACTATTCTGAACCCCCTGACTCTGGAGAGGGCTATTTCCATCTGAATGGGAGACCGGTACAAGACTGCATCCCGTCAGCTGAGGGGGCTGGACATTTGCCTGGCCACCGTGAGAGGGTGGCCAGGTGCTAGAGCCCCTGAGGGCTGAACCGGGAGGCTTTTACATGAATGCACTTTATCAGCGAGGGGATTTTACCAGCGAGGAGACTTTACCATAGGTCTTTACCTCCGGACAAACCGCCGTGAGAGGGCGATTTTGGACCTGACCCCTGGACGCTGTCTTTATGCATCGGTTCATTGCTACCATCTCACCACATGAGGGGGCTGTCCAGCTGACCTAACCACCGTGAGAGGGTGGTTGGATCTATTTTCCCCCTTGGAACTGTGGTCGTCTTGGCTTGGACCATGTCCTCTGTTGTGAGGGGACAAGGGACTTGGTCCTGTAAACATGTCTCTGAGACTCCCCATTCCTCTGTCTTCTCCCCAGTCCTTTATATATACCCTCAGGATATGGTCTTATTACCCAGTATGATGATCAATGTACTCAGCAGCGGAGCTTCTTGGTCTGCGAGACTCCCCCCTCTCGCAGGCTTGGCCCTCCATTCTATCGAGGGCTTACCTCGATGACGGGCTCTGGAGTCCCGAGAGGTGGCATGCCGCGAAGAGGGGGCTGCGGGGTTTTTTAAAATTGTCCTTGTCTAAACTTTTAAGGGGTTCGGGGAGGGGGGAGGGGGGTGGGATTGAAATTAGGGTTGTGGGTTTGGGGGATAACCCACTAGGGGGAGAGTTGGGCTTGGCCAGGACGTCCGGTGGGGGTGGTGGGGAATCCGGAGGGGGTCGAGCTGGTCCAGATTGTGTTTCTACCATCGGTACTGTGTGTGGGAGAGGTAGATATGGCGGGAGCAGGGGGCCATATCATGTTAAGGGAGCACGCGCCCGCTGTCTTCAAGCGGTAGAGTGCTCCGGCCCCCCAAAGCTCCACCCGTGCTCCAGGTAGTACAGACCTTCAGGGCCCGGGCCTTCGCCTGATGTTGTGCAACGCCAGGTCTGTAGTAAATAAAGCCCCCCTCATCTGTGATCTTGTTTACGAGGGGGGAGCGGACCTGGCGGGTATTACGGAGACCTGGTTGGGCCCAGAGGGAGGGGTCCCTCTGGTAGAAATGTGCCCACCAGGTTTCCACGCATTCCATCAGCCAAGGCCACAGGGGAGGGGCGGGGGAGTAGCGGTTATTATTAGAGAAGGCCTTAGGCCGAGGGAGACCACTGTACCTCAGACAGCTGGCTGTGAGTCCCTCTTTGTGAAGTGGGGCCATGGGGTTCAGAGGGGTTTGCTGATCACGTACCTGGCTCCCTGCCACGTGGCGGCAGCCCTGCCCGAGCTACTCAACGTTATTGCCGCGGTGGCGGTTGATACCCCCAGACTTATGGTCATGGGGGATTTCAACCTGCCATCCGTGGGTGAGGCGTCTGAGGTGGCTCGAGAGTTCATGGCTTCCATGACGGCCATGGACCTGACCCAACTAATTCATGGCCCTACGCACATTGGGGGAAACACACTGGACTTGGTTTTTGTCTCTGGACAGTGGTTGAGTGATCTTGAGATAGGGGATATAGTCATCGAGCCCTTGTCATGGTCAGATCACTCGCTCCTTCGCCTTGACCTTCGAACCGCGGCACCCCGCTGCAGGGAGGCGGAACCGGTAAGATGGTACCGCCCCAGGCGCCTGATGGAACCTGATAGGTTCCAGAGGGAGCTTGGGCCAATCCCGGAGGTTCTGGCTCACGCCTCATCTGGGGACCTAGTGGCCGCCTGGGATAGGGCGGCTGCTGGAGCCCTGGATCAAGTCGTGCCTTTGCGGCCTCTGACCCGGCGCCGATCTCGCCTGGCTCCTTGGTTCACCGAGGAGCTGAGGGAGATGAAGCGCCGGAAAAGATGCCTAGAGAGCTGTTGGAAGGCTAGTCTTTCTGAATCTGACCGAACACTGGTAAGATCCCATATTAGGAGTTACCTAGTGGCGATAAAAGCAGCAAAATGTACTCATTTTGCTGCTCTTATTGCGTCATCAGATAATCGCCCGGCCACCCTGTTTAGGGTGACCCGCTCCCTGCTCCATCAGGAAGCGCGGGAGGACCCCTTGGAGGGAAAAGCCGAGGATTTTGTTCAGTATCTGTATGACAAAATCACTCAGATTCGGGCAAGTCTGGACTCTGACGGGATAGATCCAGCGAGGGTGACGGAGACAGGTCTTGAGACTGTTATCTGGGATGAGTTTGATCCTGTGACCCCAGATGACGTGGACAGGATTCTGGGTAGATTGAACGCGACCACATGTTTGTTGGACCCGTGTCCCTCCTGGTTAGTGCTGGCTTCCCGGGAGGTGACGCGAGGCTGGCTCCAGGGGATTATAAATGCTTCGTTGGGTGAGGGTGTCTTTCCCGCCGCCCTGAAAGAGGCGGTGGTAAGGCCTCTCCTCAAGAAGCCATCCCTGGACCCGGCAATATTGGCTAATTATCGTCCAGTCTCCAACCTTTGCTTTGTTGCGAAGGTTGTTGAGAGTGTGGTTGCGCGACAGCTACCCCAGTACCTGGATGAAGCGGCGTACCTAGATCCGTTCCAGTCGGGCTTCAGGCCTGGGTACAGCACGGAAACGGCATTGGTCGCGTTGGTTGATGATCTCTGGAGGGCTCGGGACAGGGGTTGTTCCTCTGTCCTGGTCCTGTTAGACCTCTCAGCGGCTTTTGATACCATCGACCATGGTATCATGCTGCACCGGTTGGAGGGGTTGGGGGTGGGAGGCACCGTTTTACGGTGGTTCTCCTCCTTTCTCTCTGACCGGTCGCAGTCTGTGTTGACAGGGGGGCAGAGATCGACCCCGAGGCCCCTTATATGCGGGGTGCCGCAGGGATCGGTTCTCTCGCCCCTTCTGTTCAACATTTATGTAAAGCCGCTGGGCGAGATCATCCGTGGTTTCGGGGTGAAGTACCATCTGTACGCTGACGACACCCAGCTGTACATCTTCACCCCGGACCACCCCAACGATGCCCTTGAAGTGATGTCCCAGTGCCTGGAGGCCGTACGGATCTGGATGGGGAGAAACGGGCTCAGACTCAACCCATCCAAGACCGAGTGGCTGTGGTTTCCGACGTCCCGATATAGTCAGCTGACGCCATCGCTGGCTATTGGGGGCGAATCACTGGCCCCCACGGAAAGGGTTCGCAACTTGGGCGTCCTCCTGGATTCACGGCTGTCTTTAGAAGAACACCTGACGGCCGTGACCGGGAGGATTTTTCATCAGGTTCGCCTGATTCGCCAGTTGCGTCCCTTTCTAGATCGGGACTCGTTACACACAGTCACTCATGCCCTCGTCACCTCTCGTCTGGACTATTGTAACACTCTCTACATGGGGCTCCCCTTGAGGTGCACCCGGAGGCTCCAACTGGCGCAGAGTGCGGCCGCGCGGGTGGTTATGGGAGCAACATGGAGCTCCCATGTAACACCTCTCCTGCGCGAGCTGCACTGGCTCCCGGTGGTCTTCCGGGTGCGCTTCAAGGTGCTGGTTACCACCTTTAAAGCGCTCCATGGCTTAGGACCTGGTTACTTACGGGACCGCCTACTACCATCAACAGCCTCCCACCGACCAGTACGCTCCCACAGAGAGGGGCTCCTCCAGGTGCCGTCGGCCAAACAATGTCGGCTGTCGGCCCCCAGGGGGGAGAGCCTTCTCTGTGGGGGCCCCGACGATCTGGAATGAGCTTCCCCCAGAGATACGGAGGATTCCGGATCTGCGCACCTTCCGCCGCGAGTTGAAGACGCTTTTATTTCATCAAGCCGGCCTCGCCTAATTCTTCTCCCTTTAAACTGTAAATTTTAAATTTTTAAATGTATTTTAAAATTATGGGTTTTTAATTAGTATTAATTCAGCCAAATTTATTTAATTCATTTTTATTTGATCTTAAATTTTGTATATTTATGTGTTTTATTTCATGGCTGTGCACCGCCCTGAGTCCTTCGGGAGTAGGGCGGTATAGAAATTCAATAAAATAAAATAAATAAATAAAAATAAATAAAGTTATACCAGCAAGAATTAGTCTTTATGTAGAAAACTATGATTTAAATCAAGCCTTACTGACTAGTGATTTAAATCGTGATTTAAATCGTGATTTAAATCAGTTTGATTTAAATCAAATCCACCCTGGTCATCTTAGTAGTTCCTTCCCTGCTTCTACTCCGTGGAGGAAACCAAGCAGCAGCCCTACTTTCTTCTGGACTCTCCTCCGACATTTCTTCCACTCACCTAATCCAGCGGCTGCTTCGAACCCGGGAAGAGCACGAGACCCTCTCTCCAGGATTCTATCCTCCCAAGGATGAGCCAGAAGAGGAAGTTCCACCACGCTTCTCCTCCAGCGTCCTCTCTAGCAATCCAACACTCTAATGCTCTACCTCACAAACCGCTGCTGTTTTTCTCAGGGTGGATGTTGCTGATCTTTAGAGCGCCATCAGGCTGAAAAAAAGACCCTTGCTCAATGTTTACCCTGAGGCATTTGCAAGATTTTTTTTAAAAAAAAATATTACTATATGTCTTCAAATTGACATCTACTGACCACATCGAAAGCTTCTCTCCAGAAGGATAATTCTAAATTATTAGTATATGTCTTCAAATTGACATCTACCAACCACATTGAAAGCTTCTCTCCAGAAGGATAATTCTAAATTATTAGTATATGTCTTCAAATCTGTCCAAAAGGCATTATTAACATTAGTTTTTTTCTACTCCACACTTAGTCTTAAGTGTGCCATAAATTATTATTGCTATTGTTATTTTCAAACATTGAGCCACTTTTTTGCCTTCTGGTGTTTTGTAGTGTGCATGAGACATCTCCCAAGAGAAAAAAAAAAATAAAGACTTCACAGAATGATAATCAAAAGAAACACACCTTTTGCAATGAACTTTTATAGTAGTCTTTCAGTCATGAACGCTTCCAACATCTTCCTTTCAATTCTATTCCCCATGTCCCATTTGATTCCTCTCAAAGATCCCAAGCCTTTTGAACCATTTTAAGCATTTTCAGCTCCTAAACATAATAAAATGTGACTTGCTCACGAAGGTACCATAAAAAATGACAGCAAAAAAGAGAAAGGGGAGGAATACAGAATAGCAGAGTTGGAAGGGACCTTGGAGATCTTCTAGTCTGACTGCCTGCACAAGCAGGAGTCCCTGTACAGTTTCAGACAAGTGGCTATTCCGTCTCTTCTTAATAGCCTCCAGTGATGGACCATCCACAACTTCTGGATGCTAGCCGTTCCACTGATTAATTCTTCTCATTGTTAGGAAATATCTCCTTAAATCCAGGTTTTACAGATTAACAGAGTTGGGACATTGTAGATCGTCTAGTCCAAACCCCCCCCCCCACCTAAGCAGACCCTATACCATTTTTGACAGATGGCAGCCCAATCTCTTCTTGAAAGCTTCCAGTGATGAAGCTCCGACAACTTCTGAAGGCAATCTGTTCCATTGATTAATTGCTCTCACTGTCAGAAAATGTCTCCTTATTTCCAAATTGAATCTCTCCTTATTCAGTTTCCATCCATTATTCCTTGTCTGGCCTTCAGGTGCTTTGGAAAATAGCCTGACCCCCTCCTCTCTGTGGCAGCCCATCAACTATTGGAACACTGCTCTCATGTCTCCCCTGGTCCTTCTCTTCACTAGACTAGCCATGCTAGTCATTTTATGATTTCTGATGATCGACATGCAAAAAAACATCCCCAAAAACCATTTTGCAGAATTGCACTATTTCTGCAAAATAAAATATGCAATATCTTCTCCTCGCAGCCAGATACTGTTGTAGGAAAAATGACGGACTAGGACAAGCTCTTCAGTGCAGGAAGAGTTTTTATTTGCGCAAAGGTTCAAACAGTCCGAAGACCCCAAAAGTTTGAACCAAGATGGATGATTTCAACCAGATATTTATACAGTATAAAGACAAAGTTATTACGAAGAGTACAACATTTCACACGTAGAAGTTACCCTTTAATCTATCTCTAGGAAAGACATAACAGCATGGTTCCCACAGGCTCAGGCTTTCAGCTCCGGAGCTCAAGACATAACAAAAGGAGATAAGAGGCTAGAAGACGCCTCAAGGGCAATAAGGAAGCAGCACCCCTTATCCAGGGATATGCATGACATTTGGGATGCAATAAACATTAAACAACAGAATGTATCTGTTTAGGGTCAGTTTGCCCTTCTACAATTCTGTACCTACGTCAAATACCGTTTGTCATTTCAGCACCTTGGCACGGGAGAGGCACTTCTGTCTTGACCAAAGATTTGGATTTCTAATATTTGAGTTTTATCCCAATATCGAATCTTAGCCTGGCTCATACCCCCCTTTGTGACTCATCTGTTTATCCAGACGAGTCACACCATAGGTCCTCTTCCTGCTGGAGCCGTTTGTAATCCCACGTAGCCATCACCTGAGCAGTTGTCTTACGTTCCACCAGCAAGGATAGACTTTTAGAGATAGTTTAACAAACAGAGGTAAAATACACGGGAGAAAAAGACACCCTTGCAGCTATTAATCCTACCAGGCCAAAGATGGCCTGCAGGCCAGGTAACTTTGGCCACCATCCTGAAAACATATCCTGTAAATTAAGGCCTTTCCAAGTCTGGACTGACACATGAGCTATTTTAACCATTTTGTCTATTATTTCCTTAATAACCTTTCCGCTTTCATCAACCTCTATACAGCAATTAGTCCACATACCCCTCCTTCCTTGGCTAACAAATAATCTAAAGCTAACCTATTCTGCATAATATATGTCCTTGATTTGACACTTTCCCTAGCTAATTGAGTAAGACCTTTTACAGTTTCGTTGGTGATGATTTCAACCACAACTTGCAGATGAATTAAACCGTTCAGAATGTATATAGGGGTCCGATAGCCATACATGCCATCTTCCGCCCATGTAGCCGGTCCATAAACCTCAATAATTCGTTCTGCAGGCCATTCTTCACTTCCCCAACTACGTTGGTTACCTCCAACCCTAACTTTCCTTATTGCTGATGTATCTACATGTCTTCTCTGTCTTAAATTTCCCACCTCATCATATACCGGGACACCTAACACCTGTCGGGTTTTAAGGGGAAGCAAAAAAAAAAATCCTGGTCCAATTATTCCCAGGACCCAAGCTCCACACCAAGATTTTGGTAGAACCCCATATGCCATCTTACCACATATCCAGTATAGTCCATCAGGAGCCAGCCATTCAAGGGTCTGATTATCTGGATCCTTTAAAAAGGATAACCCGTTTACTTTAAACAGGGCCCTTTCATCAGTTCCCTCTGTGGCATTAGCTCCTGACCACCATACCTTACTTTCCCATTTTCCTGTACATATGAGGTTTCCCACCTGATGACAGCCTGGCACAATTTTTCTCCAAAAACAAACATTCCCTACCAGACTAGTAGTCAAGGTCCAGTCTCCATCCTTACCCTTATTATATGACAGATTACCTTTCTGATCCATTTCTAATATTTTGGAATAATTTAATTCCTTGAGCTTCCCACGGCCATTTTTTTCTCCATGTTAGTTCCTCCACCAACAAAACAATTCGATACATTCAGAGTGTGGGCTATGTCTTCGGCTAATTTGACAAAGGTATTTGTTACATGACTAGGAATTTCAGGTATATGCAGCTTTTCCATTTCAGATAATATTACAAGGGTTCAGGATTTATTACCAAATAATATACTAGCACCTCCTCTATAATTTTCACGTCCCACTCTACCTTACAGCTTATACATAAAACACAATCAATACAGTGAGTGCAACAACAACACTCACACCCACAATTACAAAACCAACACATTTAAAGAAAATTCTCTTTTCCGTTCTTTTGCATCAAAAGGCAGCTTCCAGGGTGTCCTAAGCAGGGACTTCTTTCATCTGTAAGAGGTTCACACTCCGCAGCCGGTTGGGGAAATATTAGGAATCGGAACGACTGAGAAATCAAATGGGCCCTGGTTGTCCACAAAACCATTGCTTATATCTGTAAAACACAATAATCAATAAAGCTACTACCCCAATTACTCAAAGTGCCCACACCCAATTTGCCTCCCACATGGATCCGCAATGATCTCCAATCTCTTGTCAGGATCCAAGTTCCGGACCAATCCAAGAGAGCAGGTGCTCCATCCTCTTTTTAGCTTACAGCGGGTTACATCAGCAGATATACATCAAGGTAACCTATATATAGAATACAAAAGCTTTCTTTAAACATATTCAAATGTCAGTTTTGTTGGATGTTGTTCATCCACGGACACTTTCCAGCCAGTGTCAGCTGCTGCCTTGACTCATGTCCGATGGATCCATGATTTTGATTCTGCAATCTTAATAGCAAGTGGAGAAGTCATAATACCAATAAAAGATCCCTTCCATCTTCCACCTGGTCCCCAGGTTCAAATGAGTGACATTAAGTTACTAATCTAGGGGGTACTTATTCCATCACATATTGTTGGAATCTCTCAATTTGCTTATTAAGTTCTTGTACCATCTCCATATTCCAACCCCCCCCCCCTTTATGACCTAAATCAGGCCACCTAACATACATATTTACCTTATTTTACCATATTTACATGGTCGGGTGGAATAAACCTCCAATACCTGTAAACAATCATACTCAGAAACAGACTCCGTATGCAACAAAGTTGCTGGATTTAATCGGTTAGACACCACCAGACACACCTGTGGATTCTCACTCCTAATTGCATGATATTTTGTCAGCCTTTGCCCACTAATCCACAAATGTCCCTTAGTATCCAACACAGACTGCTCCTCATGAGGGGAGTGCATGAGTATAGGACAAGAAAAAGTAAGTTTATTACAATTCTGAATCAATTCTGCACTTGCAGCCAGCACCTTCAAACAGTGGGGCCAGCTTTTCGGCCCCCTCCCCATCCAATTACAGCAAAAGCTAGCTAGTCCTAAAAAGCTTCTCAGTTGTCTTTTTGTTCAGGGTTCTACCAGCATTAGGACCGCCCTTTTCCTGCTCTGGTCCTAAAGCTCGATAACCCTTATATTGTATCCCAAATATCTAACTTTCCTTTTCACCAATTGAGCTTTCTTTCTTGCTACCCAATAACCACACTCTAGTAACAAATCTAACATCATCGTGTATTCATCTTAGTATTCTCCCATCATAAATCCTCTGTCAGTCCTGTTGATCCAAACATCATCAACATATTACAGTATTGTGTCTCCTGGTTGTTGAGGCACATAATACTGTAAGTCTCTAGCTACCGCTATTCCAAACAATGCGGGGGAGTTCTTAAATCCCCGAGACAGCCGAGTCCCAGTATATTGCATTTTCATTCCTGTGTAAGGATTTCTCCCACTCAAAATGCAAACAGTGGCTGGCTTATGGGGTGAATGGGAATTGTAAAGAATGCATCCCTTAAATCAATAACAGAAAACCACTCAGCCGGGGTGGAATTAAACTTAACAGGGTATATGGATTCAACACGGCCGGGTGTAAAGTTACCGTGCCCCGGGCTGTAAGACCCATCTAACTGTTTAATTGGGATAATTGGAGTATTCCAGGAGGACTAAATAAGCACCAAAAACCCCGCCTCCAAATCTCTGAATGCTTTCATAAATAGCACAAATAGCTTCCCCAAAAAACGGGACGCTGCCTCATACTCACAGACTCCACTCCAGGTTTTAGTTCCACCCCCACTGGAGGGTGGCGAGCTGCAAAACCCGGCAGGTTATCCTCAGCGCACATCAAACAACTTCCAAATCTCCTCCGGAGAATGCCTTATGGTCATTCTCTGACTATCTTCATCAAAAGAAATTGTTGCCCCTAATTTGCTCAGCATATCCCTGCCTAGCAATGGAATAGGGCACTCAGAAATGTACAAAAATTCATGCTGGATTTCAGCTTCCTTAAAATCACACATCTCTGATTTCAAGACCTGCCGCCCCATGGCTTGCCCTGATACCCCCTGGACCTGGATTTTACGTGATCCAGGAGCTGCAATTTACTTATTTACAACTGATCTACCTGCTCCTGTATCCACTAAAAATGTTGTCTGCTGGCCCCCTATCCTCATTGTAACCAACGGCTCAGGCGGGGGTTCTCCCAAGCCTGGTCCCCTTCAATCTGACCACACCATGTCTGCCAATCCAATACTCTCCCCTTCTTCCTGCAAACTGCCCACGCATCCCTGACCCAAAATCTGCTCTTCTCATCCCTCAACTTCTCACCATCTGTCTTGGGCATTCCTTTTCCCAAGTAATTCCTTTTTCCCAAATAATTTTATTTTTATACCACCCTTCTCCCAAAAGACTCAGGGCGGTGTACAGCCTATTTTGTTAAAAAAACAAGACAAACACCAGAAAGGAGAAAAAAAGTTTTAAAAGCATCTCTTTTCCTCTTTCTCCCCTTCAAAGGAAGGGGGGGGGAGAAAAACCCCCTTGCATCCCACTTCGCAGTTCTCCTACCAACAAACTAGCCTTTTTATTCATCCGTGCCTCCTGCTCTTTCTTCTCCACCTACAGCCCCCACAGCCTCCAAATCTTCCTCCTCTTCCTCATCATCATCATCCCCTCCCTCACTCTGACTGCTACCTCTAGGCGAATGACTCCCCCTGACTTTTGACTTCACGCCAGGATCACTCATACGCCTCTGATTTCCTCCTCCGCTCCCTCCAGCAGCCCCCTTACTTTTCCTGCCTGCTCAGATACACATAACCCAACTGTTTCAGCCCTACATTGCAATAAATCCTCAGCTTTTTTCAACAGGACTCTCACCCATTGATCAATATATTGAAATTGATCAGGATATTTATCCTGATTCACTACAATCACTCCCCACAACTTATCCACTGTTTCTTCCTTTAACCATCCCTGAGGGGGAGGGGGTCAGCCCATCTCCCTTTGTGGCCACACATATTTACATAAGAATTTTAATTGATCCTTTGATCCTTTCAGATAGGAAGGGTTGCTAAAATACTTGTCAAAACCTTTTAACATGCATGCCAACGGAGTATTTGGCACGCTCTGAACCCCATCCCTTCTACCACACTGCCGTCGACTCATAGCCCCGGAAACTCACAGCCACTAATGAGAAATGCGACGGCTTAACCACCCACACAACCTGACATGGACTTCATTAGGGTAGCCTACCCCGAGTCCGAGGGAGTGATCAATTCCCTCCTTCTGCTTTCAAATGAAGCAGGTACAATTCTTTTACAATATACTTACTTAAAACGTTCCCACTCCGTAGATTCCTGGCCAGGAATTTGTTCAGACCACCTTTCCTGTACCGCAGGGTTCTTGGACTCGATCAGAGCACCGTCGGGCCCACCGGGTTATCGCGGCTGTCTCCCAGAGATGTATCTCTGTGGCGCCTGGAGAATGTTCAGGAGCGACCTCCCGATGGTCCCGAGGGGTCAAAACGGTCCTCAGCGAAATATCGCCTTGTACCCAGTCCCGGCGGGAGTCGCCAGCTGTTGTAGGAAAAATGACGGACTAGGACAAGCTCTTCAGTGCAGGAAAGAGTTTTTATTTGCGCAAAGGTTCAAACAGTCCGAAGACCCCAAAAGTTTGAACCAAGATGGATGATTTCAACCAGATATTTATACAGTATAAAGACAAAGTTATTACGAAGAGTACAACATTTCACACGTAGAAGTTACCCTTTAATCTATCTCTAGGAAAGACATAACAGCATGGTTCCCACAGGCTCAGGCTTTCAGCTCCGGAGCTCAAGACATAACAAAAGGAGATAAGAGGCTAGAAGACGCCTCAAGGGCAATAAGGAAGCAGCACCCCTTATCCAGGGATATGCATGACATTTGGGATGCAATAAACATTAAACAACAGAATGTATCTGTTTAGGGTCAGTTTGCCCTTCTACAATTCTGTACCTACGTCAAATACCGTTTGTCATTTCAGCACCTTGGCACGGGAGAGGCACTTCTGTCTTGACCAAAGATTTGGATTTCTAATATTTGAGTTTTATCCCAATATCGAATCTTAGCCTGGCTCAATACAAGTAGTTAATTTTTATAAAAATTAACATTTTCCATTTCTTTTCTCTCCTCTCACATAACTCATACTAAGACATATCTCATTAAAGTGAATCAGGCCACAAATTAAATAGTTAATTTCTCAGGCATACTTCTAAAAGCAGTTCAGAAATGAAATTCAAGTGTTCCCTACAGTCATTACCTTCTGCTTCATATGGATTTTCTTGTGTGCAGTAAGGGAGGAACTTCGGGTGAAGCACTGTCCACACTCTGGACATTTGAAAGGTTTCTCCCCTGTGTGTAAACCTACATGATTAATAAGGTTAGTCCTAATACTGAAACCTTTCCCACAATCTGGACACTCATATGGTTTCTCTCCTGTGTGAGTCCTCTGGTGCATCACCAGGACATGGCTCTGATTGAAACTTTTCCCACAATCTGAACATTTGTAGGGTTTCTCCCCAGTGTGTGTCCTGTGGTGTTTCACCAGGTGGGAATTCTGGCTGAAAGTTTTCCCACAAATGGGACACTCGTACGGTTTCTCTCCGGTGTGTGTCCTCTGGTGCATTAGCAGGCCGGAATTCCGACTGAAACTTCTCCCACAATCTGAACACTCATACGGTTTCTCCCCTGTATGAATTCTCTGGTGCATCACCAGGGCGTAATTCCGGATGAAGCTTTTCCCACAATCTAGACACTCATATGGTTTTTCCCCAGTGTGAGTCCTCTGGTGAATAACCAGTTCAGAATTCTGACTGAAACTTTTCCCACAATCTGGACACTCGTACGGTTTCTCTCCTGTGTGAGTCCTCTGGTGTACCACCAAGTGGGAACGGTGTCTGAAACGTTTCCCACATTCCAGACACACTGGTTTCTCCCCTGTGTGAGTTCTGTGGTGGTTCACCAGGTGGGAATTCTGACTGAACCTTTTCCCACAATCGGGACACTCATATGATTTCTCTCCTGTGTGCATCCTCTTGTGTATTAGTAGGGTGACATGCTTCCTAAAGCTTTTGCCACATTAGCAGCACTGGGTGGGCTTTTCTTCACTGTGGGTCTTCTTGTGCATTATCAGGAAAGGTCTACAATCTGTGCTTTTTTCCGCAATATGCACATCTGTGGGCCTTTTCCACCTATGACGGTTTTGGAGGTGGAAGTCAAAAATATTGCCACAGAGGGCAAACCATCATATAATCCAAGTGACCCGTTCCTCCCCACTGATTTCCAAGTATTTCCCTCTTTTTCTGAACTTGGAAATGCTCCCCTTTGACCTTTTGATGGAGTGCTTCCTTCAGTTCCACAGACTTCTTTTTTTCCAGTTCAAAACTCTCTTCCTCTTATTCTTTCTGCCTGTCATCTGCTGGGGTAGGAGAAGTTTTGGTTTTCTGGATGAAGGGGAGAAACCTTTGATGGATTTTCCTTTTTAATGCTGATTCTGATTCTCACTTGTCCAAGATGGTCTTCTGGACATCCTCTTCGTCTAAAAGATTCATATAATATAAATGGATGCACAAGATGTGAAAACAGCAAGGAAAAAAAGCATAAATTACAATCAGAAAGTAATCACACCGAAGTATTAGAATTAACTATTACATTAATTATGATTCATTTCAAAGATAGAAGACTATGACATCCAACTTCAAATAATCGTACAATCATTAAATTCTCTGGTTAACTTGATATAGGTAGTCCTCAATTTACAACAGTTCATTTAGTGACTTCAAAGTTATAATGGCACTGAAAAAGGTGACTTATGATCACTGTTCACTTAGGACCATAACAGCATCCCCATACTCATATGATCAAAATTCAGATGCTTGGCAACTGACCCATAGTTATGACGGTTGCAGTGTCCCAGGGTCATGTGATCACCTTTTGAGACCTAACAAACAAAGTCCATGGCGAAGCCAAATTCATTTAACAACCATGACACTAACTTAACAACTGCAGTGATTCACTTAACAACTGTAGCAGGAAAGGTCATAAAATGGGTCAAAGTTCACTTTAACAAGTGTTTCATTTAGCAACAGAAACGTTGGGCTCAATTGTAGTCATAGGTTGAGGATTACCTGTATATCGTAATTTTCTACCATTGTTGTTATCAAAGATAACTGGAAATGCTGAGGATAGATTATACAGATACAGATAGACGCAGAGAGAAATATAGATACACACATCTACAAATGTATGTGTGTTGAAAATCCATGTGTATTTCAGCCTGAAAAATGTCTCAAACGTCGGTAAGCTCAAATATTTTGGTCTCATATTTGGGGAGGGAGGGCCTCCAACCTAGGAAATGGTGCCCAAAGCCTCTGCAAGATTTAAAGTGCCAGTTTTGGCCATGAAACTCCTCACTGCCAAGAAAACAACACGCTTATAAAAACCACAAGGAGACACCCTAACGTGAAAGAGACATATAAAACTCCCAACCAACAGAAAATAGCAGACACGGGTTTTAAAGTGAGCAGAATCCATGCAATTGTTTTTGGGGAGGTAAAAAAAAAAACATGTAGTAGATGGCATGTTTCAGCCTAGTTCCTTCTCTGCTTCTACACCCTGGAGGAAACTAAGCAGCCCAACTCGCTCTCAGCCTCCCCTCTGACCTGTCCTCAACTCACCTCCCAGCTGATGTCCTTGGAAGAGCAGGAAAACCGTCCCCCATTCCTCCATTCTCCTATGGATCATCCAGAAGAGGAAGTTCCCTCCCACATCCTCTCTAGCAATACTCGATTGTTACAAAACCTTTCAGTTTAGTCGCTCCCCCTCCGGTTGGGTGTTATTACACAGCAACCAGGAATGTTGCTCTTCTGTTGCCAGCTTTCTAGGCATGGGTTTTGTTGATGGCTTCGTACATAAGGTAGGACTGGAGCTGAGCCTTTCTCAGTCTCTAGCCTTGAGCACGACACCAAAGTGGCTCTACTTACTCCCCACAAAATCTACCCACTCAGCTGCTCCTGAGGCTGCAATCTTTCAAGATCTAGTCCAACATCTTTGCAACCAGTTCTCCATTATTCTCCTGAAAATGGATCTCTCTCTCTCTCTCTCTCTCTCTCTTTTGGTCCTTAAATCCGAGCTTCTCACACTTTTATTAGGAGCCTTGGTGGCGCAGCAGACTAAAGTGCTGTTAAGTAGCACTTAGCTGCCAGCTGCCTGCAATTACTGCGAGTTCAAATCTCACCAGGCTCAAGGTTGACTCAGCCTTCCATCCTTCCGAGGTAGGTAAAATGAGGACCCGGATTGTGGGGGCAATAAGCTTACTTTGTATAAAAAAGAACCTCGCTGGGGGTGGGGGGAAGCCCTACTAAGCAGGTATATACAAAAGTATGAAGGCTATTGCTTAATGCATTGTAAGCCGCCCGAGTCTCCGGGCAGCATATAAATCAAACCAATAAATAAATCGAACCAATAAATTCTGAGGAAATGGAGTGTTTCTCCGATTGTAGCCTAGTGGCTTCCAGCCTGGCTCTGGGGACGAGCTTCTCCAGCTATGAGATTGCCTGTTGCTTAATATTGTTTGACTTTATTAGTTATATAGTGTTCATAGGTTTTAGAGTGCCTAATGTATATATTCGTTCTATTGTTAAGGAGTTACTTGTTGGGAATTCCACTATTCCCTTTTTAGCAGTTTCATTGTATCTATTTTGAATGTTTGTGTAATGGGATTCAATTGCTATTCTTTTATTTCTGCTCCAAGCTTAATTCTTAAGCATGGCATATATTGTTATTCCTCTCCTCACACTCATTCCCATTGCCCCTCTTTCTTGCCATCTGGTATTTTGATTGTATGCATGAGACACACCGCAAAAGAAAAAAAAAAAGGAGTCTTTACAGAATGAGAATCAAAAGAAACACACTTTTTGCACTGAACTTTTGCAGTAGCCAGTCAGCCACGAATTCTTCCAACATCTTCCATTGCTCCTCTCTGTGCTAATGACCCATTTTGATGGCTCACAGATATCAGAATATTGTAGCCACTAAGAGTTTGCATTATAGAATGGGGCTCTCAAAGATCCAGACACTTTTAAACCATTTCACGCATTTTCAACTCCTAAGCATAATAAAATGTGACTTGATAACAGAGATGCTAAAAAAAATGGCACCAAAAGAGAGAAGGGAATAAGGAAGGAAAAAATAATTAAATATAAATTGATTATTTTAAAGTTTAAAAACTTTGCACATATTTAAATTGGAAGCCACTTGGAGCTTGAGGCTCAGGCCAAACAAGCTTCCAGGCCTGATTCTAATTTTTGGGTCTCCTTCTGTAAAGGGTTCATATGCTATGTGATCTATTGGAGGAAAAAAGTACTAGATAACCTGACAAAATCAAATCGATCTTTATTACGGTGAAAGATCAGCATACAGCTGAAAAGTACAGAAAAGAATCATAGTCTAAAAATGATAATTATTTTAAAATACACGGAAGAGGGAATATATATATATAAAACAGAAGTTTAAATGGAACTAAAAGGAAAGCTAGGGTGAGATGGGGGTAGCGAACATAAAGGTTAGTTATGTGGCAGACTAAATTTATCACAATACATAGCACACAAATATGACAAGCTGGATACTGGTTAAAATTATTTTATGGCACACGTCATCCATCATCTGATAAATTTTAAATGCTGATTCACAGAACCTGGCAGCTTCATCCATCCATTCGTTCATTTGTTCGTTCAATTCAGTTCATTGTCTGCCGATTTTACCACAGGATAATTCTTGGTGGCTTATTAAAAAGATAAAAATATGCAAAACCTATAAACACTACGAATAAAATACTATAAATATATAAATACTTAACAGAACTCAAATACTCAACCATAGTCATAATATACAACATGATAGTTCCAGTATGATACCGGTAGAACCAAGTAGTAGTATCTAAAAGGTAGTCCTATCTAAAAGCAGGGACAGCAGGGAAGTGTAGAATTCTCCTTTGTATGCGAAGTATTTGTGCAGTACTGGTACAAACATCTCTGTAATAAAGCACAATAACAGAATAACAGAGTTGGAAGGGACCTTGGAGGTCTTCTAATCCAACCCCCTGCTCAGGCAGGAAACCTTATACCATTTCAGACAAATGGTTGTCCAATCTCTTCTTTAAAATGTCCACTGTTGGAGCATTCACAACTTCTGGATTCAAGCTGATTAATTGTTCTGTCAGGAAATTTCTCCTTAGATGTAAATTGCTTCTCTCCTTGATTACTTTCCATCCATTGCTTCTTGTCCTGCCTTCAGGGGCTTTGGAGAAAAGGTTGATTTCCCCTCTTCTTTGTGGCAGCCCCTGAGATATGGGAACACTGCTATCATGTTCCCGCTAGTCTTTCTTTTCATTAAACTACTAGACATACCCAGTTCCAGCAACCATTCTTTATATGTTTTAGCCTCCAGTCCCCTAATCATCTTTGTTGCTCTTCTCTGCACTCTTTCCAGAGCCTCAACATCTTTTTTACATTATAGCGACCAAAACTGGATGCAATATTCCAAGCGTGGCCTTCCCAAGGCATTATAAAAGCCACTGGAGAAGCACATGCTCTCTTGTTTCTGGATAGTCGAGAGTCATGGGGGCATTGTATTAGAACCTGAAATGTTTGTTTATTTATTTATTTATTTATTTATTTATTTATTTATTATATTTCTATACCGCCTTTCTCCCGTAGGACTCAAGGCGGTGTACAGTCAAGAAAAATATAGACACACAAACATCATAAAATTGCTAATTAAAATTATTACTTAGTTTGGTCAATCAAATAAAACCCAGAATTAGATAACATTTAAAAAATCATTCACATGTTCGTATGTTTAGCCCCGCCTGTTGGAACATCAGGGTCTTGAGGGCACGGCGGAAAGCACGGAGATCAGGGATATTCCGTATCTCCGGGGGCAGTTCATTCCAAAGGGTTGGAGCCCCCACAGAGAAGGCCCTCCCCCTGGGAGTCGCCAGTCGACATAATTTGACTGACGGTACCCTGAGTAGTCCCTCCCTGTGAGAACGAACTGGTCGGTGGGAGGCTATTGGTGGCAAAAGACGGTCTCGTAGGTACCCAGGTCCTAAGCCATGGAGCGCTTTAAAGGTGATAACTAACATAACTAAATGTGTTACTGAAATGAGCAAACCTTGAATTCTTTGGTACACCCAGCATCTTGGCACTGCTATCATCTACCAGCCTTCAAAAGATAACAAGAGGCACCTCCACACAAAAAAGATCACAGCAGGAGTTGGTAATAAATTTGAAGATCCTATGCCCCTTTTTCTCTATATTACAATAGCATTTGCATATCATATTCAACAACCTTTACATATGAAATTTTTGTGCTCTTCTCACTGTTCCAAACCTCCCTCATATGTTCTCCATTCTGTGCTTCACTGCGCTGTGCTTCACTGTTCACAACCTGAACACTGAATTCACGGTTCTCCTTGCACTCAATTTTTGTGCATGTTAGGAAGAAGATGAACTCTGAATCCTCTTTATCTCTCCGCTCCCATCACCTCATATTTGAGGAGCCACAATCACTAAGGGCTCCTATCTTTTTCATATGGAGGAGAGAACCAGAACTAAGGAGAAATTTCCTGACACTGAGAACAATTAACCAGTGGAATGATTTGCCTTCAGAAGTTCTGGGTGCTTGAGCAATGGAGGCATTTATGGAGACTGGACAGTTACTTATCTGGAATGGTATAGTGTCTTCTGCTTCAGCAGGAGATTGAACTATAAGACTTCCAAGATCCCTTCCAACATTATTCTGTAATGTATTTTTTACCCTCTGTAGCAGATTTTTGGACCTTCTGAGAAACATGACTCCCACATTTTTTTTTTTTAAAGGCCTGCTGGCTGTAGAATTCTTGGGCTCGAAGTGAGAAAGATACTTTTGTAGAAGGCTGAAATCCTGTCTGGACTTTTCTAGGATGTATGATGATCAATATGCAAAAAACACCTTAAAAGTCTTTTTTGCAGAATTGCACTATTTCTCTACCAGTGAATATCCAGTAATTTCTGCTGATAGCCAGCAATGGGAAATTAGCCTTTATCATACTAACAATTTTATTTTCTCCCTCATCTCCAATACTTTTGAGCACGTTTGATGAACAAGGCCAGAAATTAAATAGTTAATTTCTCAGCCATACTTCCAAAAGCAGCTCAAAAATGAAATTCAAGCCTTCCCCGCAGTCATCACCTTCTGCTTCACATGGATTTTCTTGTGTGCAGTAAGGGAAGAATTTTGTGTGAAGCATCGTCCGCACTCTGGACATTTGAAAGGTTTCTCCCCAATGTGTAAACTTACATGATTTATAAGTTTAGACTTAGTACTGAAACCTTTCCCACAATCCGGACACTCATATGGTTTCTCCCCTGTGTGAGTCCTCTGATGTATTACCAGCTCGGAATTCCGACTGAAACTTTTCCTACAATCTGGACATTCATACGGTTTCTCTCCAGTGTGAGTCCTCTGGTGTATCACCAGGGTATAATTCTGACTGAAACTTTTCCCACAATCCAAACATTCATACGGTTTTTCCCCTGTGTGAATCCTTCGATGTATAACCAGCTCAGAATTTCGAGTGAAGTTTTTCCCACATTCCAGACACTTGTATGGTTTCTCCCCCGTGTGAGTCCTCTGGTGTATCACCAGGTGAGAATTCCGATGGAAACATTTCCCACAATCCAGACACTCATATGGCTTTTCCCCAGTGTGAGTCCTCTGGTGTATGACCAGATCGTAATTCTGTCTGAAACTTTTCCCACAATTTGGACACTCGTATGGTTTCTCTCCTGTATGTGTTCTCTGGTGTATCACAAGGTGGGAATTCCGACTGAAACTTTTCCCACAATCTGGACAGTCATATGGTTTCTCCCCGGTATGAATCCTCTGGTGTATCACCAGGTGGGAATTGTGATTGAAGGTTTTGCCACATTCCTGACACTCATACAGTTTCTCTCTTATGTGTCTCCTTTGATGTACAACAAGGTTGGAATTTTGAATGAAATGTTTCTCACAATCTGGAATTTTATATAGTGCCTCCCGAGTGTGAGATCTCTGATGTTTCACCAGGTGGGAATCCCGAGTGAAACTTTTCCCACAAACTGGACATTTGTTCAGTTTTTCTTCAGTGTGAATCCTCTGGTGTATCACAACGTCAGAATTCTGACTGAATTTTTTCCTACAATCTGGACCCTCATGTGGTTTATCCTCAGTGTGAGACATCTGGTGGCTCTCCAAGTGGCAATTCTGACTGACTATTTTACCACACTCCTGACTCTCATGTGGTTCCTCTCCTATGTGTGTTCTCTGATGTAACACCAGATCGGAATTGTGACTGAAACTTTTCTCAGAATTGGGACATTCATAGTGTTTCTCCCCAGTGTGAGTCCTCTTGTGTATCACTAGGTTTGAACTGTGACTGAAACTTTTTTTCACAATGGGGGCACTTATATGGTTTCTCTCCTGTGTGAGTCCTCTGATGTACCACCAGGTCGGAATTGTGACTGAAACTTTTCCCACAATCTGGGCACTCATATGGTTTCTCCCCTGTGTGTGTCCTGTGGTGTATAACCAGGTGAGAATTCTGACTGAAACTTTTCCCACAATCCAAACATTCATATGGTTTTTCCCCAGTATGAATCCTTTGGTGTATCACCAGGGCATAATTCTGACTGAAACTTTTCCCACAATCTGGACACTCATATGGTTTCTCTCCAGTGTGAGTCCTTTTGTGTATCACCAGGTTGGAACTGTGACTGAAACCTTTGCCACAGTCTGTACACTCATACGGTTTCTCTCCTGTATGTGTCCTCTGATGTACCACCAGGTCGGAATTGTGACTGAAACTTTTTCCACAATCCGGGCACTCATATGGTTTCTCCCCAGTGTGAGTCCTATGGTGGCTCACCAGATGGGAATTCTGACTGAATCTTTTCCCACAATTCAGACACTCATATGGTTTCTCCCCTGTGTGGGTCCTCTTGTGTATCCTTAGGGTGGCCTGCTTCCTAAAGATTTTGCCACAGTGATGGCACTGGGCGGACGTTTCTCCAGTTTTGATCGTCTCATGCATAATCTCATGCTATGATTTGAAATTTTTGCAGGGGTGTTTCCATCACTTACATTTTTGGATTCTCAAGGTCCAAAATATTTGTGATCCCTTCTTCGATAGTGCTTTAATTCAAGCTACTCTTTCTTCCTTCACATGATGAGGCTCGCATTATTGTCTGCCCTATGTGCCTATCCAAGCGACCCCTTCCATCCTGGATTTCCAGATTATTTTGACTTTGGAAATGATCCTGACCTTGACCTTTCATGGAGTGTTTCAGTGAGTTCCACAGACTCAATTATTTCCAGCTCAAAATTCTCTTTTTGTTATTCTCTCTTTTGTCTCTCACCTGCCTTGGGAAGGAGAAGAATTTTGTGGTTTTCTGGAGGAAGTGGAAAAAATTCTGATTGCTGGCCAGATTTTTTTTTCCTTTTTAATGTTGCTTCTGATTCTCACATGCTCAGGATGGTCTTCTGGACATCCTCTTCATCTAAAACATTCACAAAAAGTGGTGAGTTTAATTATTGTATATAAAAGGCTGCACAAGATGCGAAAACAGCGAGAAAAATTCCTACATTACAATGAAAAAACAAATGCCAAAAATCAAAGGTTAACCTCTAACATTAATTATGATTCATTTGACACATAGAAAACTAGTGCGAACCAAGTTCAAATATCCACAGAAGCATGAAATTCTCTTCTGGTTCTGCATAATTCAGAAATCCTTGCAGTCTGTTATCATCCCAAGAGTTTCCAAATTTTGTGCGGCCCTTTGATGACTTCAACTCCCAGAACTTCGGCTCTGTTATGACCAACTCCTAGAATTCCTGACCCAACCATGCTGGCTTAGGAATTCTGAGAGTCGAAGTCCACAAGTCATAAAAAGGTCATGGTTCCCCAGCTCTGGTTTATATAGATAGATACTACTTGGATGAGAAGTGAAACAAGAAAAACAAGAAAATCCAGTTGGAAATTTATAAGATTAACAGTGTGTTAAAATATATTGCGAATTCACACTTTTAAGGATTAGAAATTGTGGGGATTTTAAGATATAATCCCGGGATTGATTAAATTTTAATATTTGGCTTTATTAGTAGTTGTAGACATTTGGGATATCGAAATTATGGTGGGTTAATGAGTAATTTTTAAATATTAAATATTAGTGACTTAGTAGGGGTAACAAAGAAATGATGCAAAGAAATGTTATTTAGGTTTAAATGCACTAATGGGAAAAAAACGATAAAGAATTATAAAGGGAGAATGGTATTGGTGAAGTTAGAAGATTATGATTATGTATACTTATTAACTGACAGCAAACCACACTCCCTACCAACACTGATGATGTTACCTAATTGGGTAATGAAACATCGGCAAGCAAGCTCAGAGAGCACCAAGGACCCCTCATCAGTACGGTTCCGTCTGATTTCAGATCTCCCTGAGTCCTCTTCCTCCCCCTCCAGATACTAAGATGCTGATCCTCCCCAGCAGCGACAGGGGAACATGGGAACGGTGGTCCCCCAACCAGGAGCCTGAGTGGCGTAGGAGGCTAATGCCTCCTACTAAGGCAGCATTTAACATCCAGCTGCCTGCAATTACTGCGAGTTCAAATCTCACCAGGCTCAAGGTCGACTCAGCCTTCCATCCTTTCTAAGGTGGGTAAAATGAGGACCCGGTTTGTGGGGGCAATAAGCTGACTCTGTATAAAATATACAAAAGTATGAAGGCTATTGCTTAACGCATTGTAAGCCGCCCTGAGTCTCCGGAGAAGGGCGGCATATAAAAATAAATAAAAAATAAAAATAAAATAAAATAAACCTTCCAGATAATACCAGGAGGCCACATGCTGGCAGCTCGGCTGCACCAAGATGTTGGGCTTCGGAGAAGGAGGGGGCTTGCTTAAAGGATTTTAAGGGGATCGAAAGCAGAAGCAGCAACCAAGGGGGATAAAGCAGCGGCGTGGCAGCTTGCAGGGAGCAGAAAACCTTGCAAGCAAAAAAACAACAACCGGGGACTCCGAAGGGGAGAGGGCGCAGCTGGCAAAAGCCCACCTCCTCCCTCCCTCCCCCAAGGAATCCCTCCCTTCCCATTCTGCACCTGGGGATTCCCCCACCTCCTCCTCCACCTGATTGAGCCCCCTCCCTCGCTCGGGGTCCACCTGCCCTCTTGCCAGCGTCCTTGCCAGGGCCGGATTTTCCTATAGGCTAACTAGGCTTCAGCCTAGGGCTTCAAGATCAAGAGGAGCCTACATTCAAATTGTTAGCAAAATTAAAATTACACTTTCACTATAGGTGAAAGGGCCTCATAAGTGGAATAGCCTAGGGCCTCTTTTCATCTAAATCTGGCCCTGGTCCTTGCTCACCTGGCGCCCCTCCCCGCGAGGGGATCTCTGCAGTCCTGGCGTAGCAGACGGCTAGAGACCAGGAAGAGGGGAGGGTGGGACGGGAGGGTCAGGAAACTGGGATCCCAGCCCCCCCCCCTTACTCCCTTTTCCCGCCTCTTGTCTAGGCGGCAAAGGAAAAAGCTCTCTGCGTTTAACTCCTTCGCTGAAGCCCGGGCGGGCAGCAGGCGGGACTGAGCAATGCCAAAATCCCCCAGCTCGGCTCTGCTAGAGAGGATTCCCCGCTCGCCTCACCTAGAGGGAAAAGCCGAAGGCTCAAAGCAAGCACCGAGACTGAAAGGGAAAGTTGCGTGTACTCATCTGCATCTTCAGGGGGAATTAGGAATTCAAAGCTATTGAATATAGAATGGGATAGGGATAGGCTAGGAGTAGGACTAGGACTAGAACAGAAATAAGAATAGGAATGAATAGAAATAGAATGAAATAGAAATAGAATAGGAATAGGAATAGGAATAGGAATAGAATAGAATAGAATAGAATAGAATAGAATAGAATAGAATAGAATAGAATAGAATAGAATAGAATAGAATAGAATAGAATAGAATAGAATAGAAATAGAACAGAATAAGAATAAGAATAAGAATAAGAATAAGAATAAGAATAAGAATAGGAATGAATAGAAATAGAATAGAATAGAAATAGGAAAGAATAGAAATAGAAAAGAAAAGAAATAAGAATAGGAATGAATAGAAATTAGAATAGAATAGAACTGAATAGAACAGAAAAGAAATAGAACAGAATAAGAATAGGAATGAATAGAAATAGAACAGAATAGAAATAGGAATAGAACAGAAATAAGAATAGGAATTATTATTATTATTATTAATTTGATTTATATGCCACCCTTCTCCGGAGACTCAGGGCGGCTTACAATGCGTTAAGCAATAGCCTTCATACTTTTTGTATATTTATACAAAGTCAGCTTATTGCCCCCACAAACTGGGTCCTCATTTCACCTACCTTAGAAAGGATGGAAGGCTGAGTCAACCTTGAGCCTTGGAGATTCGAACCAGCAGTAATTGCAGGCAGCTGTGTTAATAACAGGGTGCTTAGATCACTGTGCTACCAAGGCTCCTAAATAGAAATAGAATAGAATAGAAATAGGAAAGAATAGAAATAGGAATAGAACAGAAATAAGAATAGGAATGAAAAGAAATAGAAGAATAGAATAGGAACCGAATAGGTGACTGTCTTGCAGATGTGGTAGGACTACAACACCTATCATCTTTCAGCCCGGGCATTATTGCTGGAATGCTGGGATTCACTCAATATCTATACAGTATGTCAAGACAAGCCTGGGAACAGCTTTTCTGTCTTAGAAAGAGGAAGTGACTGTCTGAAAACAGTAAAAGAAAACGATAAACTTTCCAAAGAAACTTTTAATGCAGTTGTGAGAGACGATATTATGCAAATGCACACAAAAGTATACAAAATGCCACCATAATTGTCCGACACATTTTTTCTTAAAGTAAAAACAAATTCTACGCCGTGGAGGAAACCAAGCAGCCCTACTTGCTCCAAGCTTCTCCCCTGACTTTTTATTGAACTCACCTTCCAGCTGCTGCTTCGACCCCGGGAACAGCGTGAGACCCACTTCTACCTCAATGCTTCTATCTCCCCCCCCAATTGATGAGTCGAAAGAGGAAGTTCTTCTCTCCTCCAAAGTCCTCTCTAGCAATCCAACACTCCAATGCTCTACCCCACAAGCCGCTACTGTAACACACCCACTGAGAAGCCATGCAAGGCATGGATGGGGCATTGGATTATCCAAGTCTTTTTGAGAGAGGATGCTGACACTTAAAGCCCTTACTTAAATGTCCCAAAGGAGCTTTTTCAGGAGGCAACTGAACTTTCTTATTATTTTTTTTCAAAGACATTTTGCTTCTCATCCAAGAAGCTTCTTCAGCTCTGACAGGATAGTAGGGAATGGAAGGATTTATATTCCTTGCAGACAGCAAGGTTGATAGGTTGTTGGTCCTCGGAACATCTCACACAGTGTTCAGCATCTGCTGAACAAGTACAACACCCACCTTCTTCACTGGTGTGGAAATCTTTCAATGATAAAGAGATTAACTTAAAAGTTGAATCCTACTCCAAAAAAAAAAAAAAAAAAGAAGAGGAAGAGGAAGAGAATAGAATAGAATAGGAAAAGAAAAGAAAAGAAAAGAAAAGAAAAGAAAAGAAAAGAAAAGAAAAGAAGGGAGAACAACATAATTTTTCCAGAGGAAAAATTGCAGGCCACAGAAACCATTAGCACCACTCAGGGGACCTTGAGGACACAGATAAACCTCCAAGTGGCCTCAATGACCCTCAAAAAGGAAGCAAATGAGCAGCTGTCTGCAAGGAGTATAAATCCTTCCATCCCCCGCTATCCTGTCGGACCTGAAGAAGCTTCTTGGATGAGAAGCAAAACGTCTTCAAAAGAAAAAAATAAAGTCCAGTTGCCTTCTGAAAAAGCACCTTTAGAACATGACCTGGATGACTGAGAATCTCTACAGACGTGAAGCCCTTAAATCACCACGCTGCTTGTGAAAGGAAAAGAAAAAATAGCCAACAGACCTGATTATTCAATCATGTTTCTCTTTAGCTGTCGTTGTAATTACAGAAAAACAAAACAAAACACCAGGCTATTTTCAAAATAGAACATAGAATAACAGAGTTGGAAGGGACCTTGAAGGTCATCTAGTCCAACCCCCTGCTTGAGCAGGAGTTTATAACATTTCAGACAAATGGCTGTCCAGTCTGTTCTTTAAAGCCTCCAATGATGGGGGCACCCACAATGCTAAATGCCATCTTTTTCTGTAAATTCCCTTGCACAAAAGTCTCCTCTGGGTGAAAGTGAGAGACATAATAGCAGGGAGCAGAAAAAGAGGGTTTAGAAAGAGGGTGGGGCTGTTTAAATTTGGTAAAAGAAACTAATAAACTTTTCAAATAAACATTTTAAATGGTTGTTTAAAAAAAAACGGTAGTGTTAGAATTAAGGTTAGTTCTTCCTTTCCATTCCCTCTGTCCTAATATCCCATTTTAATTCCCAAAGACATCAGAATACTGTAGTCACTAAAAGTTTGCATTACGGTATGGCCCTCACAAAGATCCAGAGGCTTTTGAACCATTTCAAGGTTTTTCATCTCCTAATCATAATAAAGTCTGATGTGATAATGGGTGCACCCGAAAAAAATGGCACCAAGAGAGAGAAAAGTAGAGAAAATTAAATATAATTTGATTCTTTTAAAACTTTGCACATTTAAATTTGAAGCCACCTGGAGCTTCAAAAAAGCCTCTTGGTTCCTCCTCATCCTTGGCCTGGTGCTGGTTGTTAGATATCTTCCTGCAAAGGAGTCATATGCAATGTGATCTACTGGAGATGTTCTGCCCGAGCTACGGATCCCAAAGAACACAGCACACATGAAAGTTTGTACAAAACTTAATTTACTAAACTAACTCAAGTCTTTTTCAAAACAAAGGCTGTTAATAAGCTTTCTTAACAGCCTACAAGAAACCAAAGATAAAATAATCACAATTTTACAAAGGTTGGCAGAAAGCCCAGAAGCCATGTGCAGAGAATCCAGATGCGAAGTAGAGTGAACTAAAGTTGTTCCCTACAACTTGCTTCAGTCGGTGTTCCTCCTTAAATAGGCTAAGGGAGTGGCCAATTAGCCCCAAGCCTTACTCTCGAGGAACCCTCCTCCTGAGGAGCCACTCCTGCCTTTTGGCAGCTCTGCGCACCTGTGCTTTGAGAAGAGGCTCCTCCTCTTCGTCCTCTTCACTTAAGGGAGCTTCTGGAGGTTCTGAAGGCCCTGGCTGAATCCCTGCCTCTGGCACCACATCTTCTCCAGCCTCCTCATTGTCTGACTCGAGTGCCAGCTGCACAGGCTGCTGGTGCAACACCACACCAGCCTCCTCGCTGTCAGAATCAGCTACAATCCGCACAGGCCACTGACGGGCCACAACAGGAGACAAAAAAGTACTGGTGAAATCAAATGAAATCTTTATTATGCCAAAAGACCAGCATAAGGATTGTGGGGTACATTTAATTAAAAAAAATAATCTAAATAATTGTTAAAATAAAGATTATTATAGAAAATTAAAAGATATAAAAGAGAATGTATATATAAAAACAGATGCTGAAATGGAATCTAAAAGGAGGACTAGGAACACGAGATGGGTTTAGGGAGCATAAAGGTTAGTATGTGGCAGATTAAATCTATCACTGCCCATAGTTTAGTATGACAAGCTGGATGCTATTAAGACTAATTTATGGCCACAAAATGCAGCTTCAGGACTAGCTTCCCAAACCTTCCCCTTCCTTAATGTCCCTCATCCCTCAGAAAGCCACCATTTTGACTGCAGCTGTCTAGCCTTTAAGCCCTAGCTGGACTTTACACGTAGTCTGATAAGACGGCAATCTGACAGACAGGTTAAGCTTGCAAAGACCGAGCATTCATTTTCTGGCACAACTTTTAGTTATTTGCTGTTGTTTTTTTTAATCTCAGGGGAGAAAGGCCGCAGAAAGATGTTCTCTTTGGAGTAATTCTTAGACTCTCCCTAATCCAGGTGAGCCACACAAACTGAAGGAATGCCAGTCCCTTCAGTTAATAGTTGAAGAGCTACAGCCCAGGGAAAAACCTTTAAGGGATCCCTCCCTGGGCATGTATTCGATTAGTCATCTGTTCACCAGAAATAAAAAGTCTCTTTGCTGGCTTCATTCTTCCACTCTTCAGCCTGGAGTCAAAGTAAGGTTTTTAAAAAAGGATATTGGTTAGAGGGCAGAGGGAGAATTTAGTTTTAGCACCTAATTGAGGCAGGGTGAAGGAAGAACAACAAGCCCATCTTTCCCAGTTTTTTTCTTTTGTTTTTTTTCACTGAAGAAATTTTTCTTTTTTTTTTTTAAAGGGAAAAGTTTGGGAAGCTTGTCCTAAGATGCTCTTTCAGAAAGGGCCCTCTTCCCAAAGCCTAGAGAGGCAGAGGAGCTTTACAGCATCCCCATGGACAGCTAATAGGTGGACACCTGATTAGTGAAGAAAGCTGCCCAAAAGCTAAGGAACTGGTTCTTTTTTTTTACCCCAGAAAGACAGGGCACCTTGGGAGCAGGAAGTGCAGAGGCAGAATTAGAAAAGGCAGGCACAGATTCCTTCCCCAACGATTCTCACTGGCAGGACAGCTGGCCCAGTATCTTGGGGTGAGAAAGGCCTGAGGCTGGTGGGCTGATGCTTCCATTAGGCCTCCCTAGATCTCCCACACTTCTAACTACAGATCAGAAATGAAATTCAAGACTTTTCTAGACTCATCACTTTCTGCCTCGTGTGGATTTTCTTGTGTGCAGTAAGAGAAGAATTTTGTGTGAAGCTACGTCCGCACTCTGAGCATTTGAAAGGTTTCTCCCCAATGTGTAAAGCTACATGAATTACAAGTTTAGACTTAGTAGTGAAACCTTTCCCACAATCAGGACACTCATATGGTTTCTCTCCTGTGTGAGTTCTTTGGTGTATCACCAAATGGGAATTCCGACTGAAAGTTTTCCCACACTCCTGACACTCATACGGTTTCTCTCCTGTGTGAGACCTCTGATGTATCAGCAGGTGAGAATTACGACTAAAAGTTTTCCCACACTCCTGGCACTCATATGGTTTCTCTCCTGTGTGAATACTCTGGTGCACCACCAGGTGGGAATTGTTACTGAAACTTTTCCCACAATCTGGACACTCAAATGGTTTCTCTCCTGTGTGTCGCCTCTGGTGGTATACCAAAAGACAATTCTGACTGAAACTTTCCCCACAATCCTGGCACTCATATGGTTTCTTCTCAGAGTGAGTCCTCTGATGGACCACCAGGTGTGAATTAAGACGGAAACTTTTCCCACAATCCACACATTCGTACGGTTTCTCCCCCGTGTGAGTCCTTTGGTGTATCACCAAGGAGTAATTCCGAATGAAACTTTTCCCACAATATAGACATTCATATGGTTTCTCCCCTGTGTGAGTTCTCTCATGTATAACCAGATAACAACTCTGACTGAAAGTTTTCCCACAATCTGGACACTCATACGGTTTCTCCCCAGTATGAGTCCTCCTGTGTGACACCAGGCTGGAACTCTGACTGAAACTTTTCCCACAGTCTGGGCATTCATATGGTTTCTCTCCTGTGTGCGTCCTCTGGTGTCTCACCAGTTCAGAACTGTGAATGAAACTTTTCCCACAATCAGGACATTCATACGGTTTCTCCCCAGTGTGAGTCCTGTGGTGTATCACCAGGTAGGAATTCCGACTAAAACTTTTCCCGCAATCCGGACACTCATTTGATTTCTCCCCAGTGTGAATCCTCTGGTGTGCTGCCAGGTTGGAACTGTAACTGAAACGTTTCCCACAATATGGACATTCATACGGTTTCTCTCCTGTATGTGTCCTCTGGTGTACCACCAGATGGGAATTCTGACTGAAACTTTTCCCACAGTCCAAACATTCATAGAGATTCTCTCCTGTGTGTGTCCTCCGGTGAATTACTAGTTGGGAATTCCGACTGAAACTTTTTCCACAATCCATACATTGATGTGGTTTCTCCCCTGTGTGAGTCCTCTTGTGCGCCACCAGATGTGAATTAGTACGGAACCTTTTCCCGCAATCTGGACACTCATAAGGTTTCTCCCCTGTGTGAGTTCTCTGGTGTTTCACCAGGTGGGAATTGTAAGTAAAATGTTTCCCACAATCCATACACTCATATGGTTTCTCACCTGTGTGTGTCTTGTGGTGTATCAGTAGGGGTGTGTCTTTCTGAAATCTCTTATCACATTGGGAGCACTGGTATGGATTTCCATCATTGTAGGTCCTTTTATCCTCAAAACGATGAGAGCTGTAGTAAAATACCTTTCCACACTCGGAACATTCATTCGGGTTTTCTCCGGTGTGCATCCCTTCAGGTGTAATCAGTTGTGATCTGCAATCTATGCTTTCCTCATGATATGTAGATCTGCAGGGATTTTCCACCACTAACATTCCTGGATTTTGAAGGTCAAAAATACTTTGAATCTTTTCTTGCATGGTGCTTTGATTCAAACTACTCTTTCGTTCTTCACAGGGCAAAGCTTGCATGACTGCCTGCCCTATGTGGGTATCTATATGGCAGCTTCCTCTCCACTGATTCCCAGATATTTCCATCTTTTTTTTTTCTGAATTTGTATATGACCTCACCCTTGACCTTTTCGTGGGGTGGTTTGTTGAGTTTTATTTTTTCCTGCTGAAGAAAGTAGTAGATTTTGATTGTTGGCTGGATTTGCTTTCCCCTTTAATGCTCTTTGTGATTCTCACTTGTCCAGAATGTTGTTCTTGGCATCCTCTTCATCTAAAAGATTCATAAAAAAGGGATTAGTGTAATGATTGTATAAAGAATTGGTGCACGACAAATGAAAACCCCAAGGAAAAAAGCATACATTGCAATCAAAAAGCAATCTAGGAATCACTGGATTTGTCCTTTGTACAATCAGTACTGGCAAGAAGACTGTGGAAGTGTTTTTTCCTACTGATTGGTGAGTGGCCGACTGGGAGGTAGAGGAATCTCTTTTGTGATGCTGTGGGGCAATTAACTTAGATTTCCTCATTTCTTAAACAGGTTTCTTTTGATACTCATTTGTTATTTAAGAGAGGCTCTCTTTTGATATGAGCTATTTTTTTTCTTGGAGATTTTAATATTTCTGGACTTGACTTTGCCACAAGGCTGGCTCTGTAAGGAAGCTGATCCTCTAACGGGCTAGGCGCCTCTCTAGGAAACTGCAAAAGCAGAAAGTTATGTTGGATGCTTCTGAGCCCTGAAGCACACTAACTTCTGCAAGTTCCTGGGTGGGAAGACAACTAGAGGTTTGCAAGATACAGCCTGATCTCCCCCTTGCTCTTTGGAGGTTGCAAATTTTAACCAGCCAGATCTCCCCTTGCTCGCAACTTCATAAACGCAAGGCACAATGTAGGAGAACTAACCCATCAGAACTAGATTCAGTAGTCCATCTGTATTTAAAAGACACAGGCCACTCTTTTGAAGATACCAAAGTTCACATTTTGGACAGAGAGGACCGCCAGTTTGAAAGAGGGGTCAAAGAGGCCATCTATGTCAAAATCGATCAATCCTCTCTCAACAGAAGGGAAGGGATACAACATCATCTATCTCCAGTCTACAACACAGTCCTTTCAACGGTTCCAAGAAGACTCCACACCCATTTGCACCACTCAGGTGACCCTGAGGACACAGATAAACCTCGAGGTGGCTTTAATGACCAGCTGTCTGCAAGGAGTATAAATCCTTCCATTCCCCACCATCCAGTCAAAGCTGAAGAAACTTCTTGGATGAGAAGCAAAACCTCTTCAAAGAAAAACCAGAAAGTCCAGTTGCCCCTTGAAAAAGCACCTTTGGGACAACCATGACCTGGATGACTGAGAATCTCCATAGACAAATGCAATCCTAAAATGCATTAACAGAGAGATAGCATCAAGATCACATGAAATGATGAAATGATAGAGCTTTGATAAGACCACACTTAGAATACTGCACCGAGTTTTGGTCACTATGACACAAAAAAAATGTTGAGACTCTAGAACGGTGATGGCGAACCCATGGCACGGGTGCCACAGGTGGCACGCGGAGCCATATCTGTGGGCACATGAGCGTTGCCCTCGCTCAGCTCCAGCACGCATGTGCACTCTGGCCAGCTGGTTTTTGGGCCTTCCGGGCCCACTGGAAGTCGGGAAACGGGCCGTTTCTGGCCTCCGGAGGGCGGGGAGGCTGTTTTCACCCTTCCCATGCTCCAAGAAAGCCTCTGGAGCCTGGGGAGGGCGAAAAACAGGCCTACCAGGCCCACTGTTAAACCTTTTTGCCGTCACAAAAAGTGCCAAAAGCGGGGGTAGCATGGGGAGGTCGCATGTGCATGTGCGGGGGGCATTGAATTATGGGTATGGGCATGCGTGTGCGCAACCCCCCCCATGCTCCCCACGCTTTTGGCATGCGATGACAAAAAGGTTAGCCATCACTGCTCTAGAAAGAGTACAAAGAGAAACAAAGATGATTAGGGGGCTGAAGGCTAAAATAAGATGAACGGTTGCAGGAACTGGGCATGTCTAATCTAATGAACAGAAGGACTAGGGGTGACATGACCGAAGTGTTCCAATATTTGGAAGAATATTGGAAAAATATTGCCACAAAGAATATTGCCACGAAGAACCATTCTCCAAAGTACCTGAGAGGTGGACAAGAATTAATGGATAGAAAGTAATCAAGGAGAGATGTAATCTAGAAATAAGGAGCGATTTCTTGACAGTGGGAACAATTTATCAGTGGACCAGCTTGCTTCCAAAAGTTGTGGGTGCTTCATCACTGGAGGTTTCTAAGACGACATTGAACAGCCATTTGTCTGAAATGAAATAGGGTTTCCTGCCTGAGCAGAGGGTGGGACTAGAAGACTTCCAATGTCCCTTCCAATCCTAGTGTTTTGTTAATGGGCAAGGTACATATGGGGCCATGCTATAGAAATTGTGACCAAAAGGATTAAATCTATGATTGGTTTTTATGTTGCACATGATGATAAAGAGTTTTCTCTTTTTCAACTTTCTCCATTTTCATATTTGGCTTGACATGTTGAGAGATGATATAATGCGAAATCAAGCCTATCCAGGAAAATTTTCAAAATCTATCTTTGGATTGATGGGATAATTTGGCACTGGTAGATTCTTGAAGACACAAAACTAGCTCTGAAAGCCAATATACACTTTTTCAGAAAGGCATGAATCATTTTCAAGAATCAATATGCTTTCAAAGAATTTAGTTAATAGGATAGCCAAAGTGAATATCTTATCAAAGATATTGGTAAGTTTTGATAATAGAAATGTGCATTGTTGGGAGTTTAACAGATATACGTTTTTAAGTTTTTATGTATTTGTCTAACTTTAAAATAGACAATGTTTTACTATAAGATTATTATAGAAGAATGTAGTAATGTTATGTGTATTTTTGAATTGATAATATGATGCATTCATGGGCTAGCCACTATATTTTTTATTTAGATTGAGATTATATGTTTTGCTTTTATTACTTGATTGTTTGGTATGTACATCTTTATATTTTTAGTTTTGTATTATTTTATTGTGTTATCTAAAGCAAAAGTGTATTTCAAACATTTATATCTTAAAAATATTTAGAAGGAACCATTTTTTAATGTCACTTTTGTCTTTTTTCATTATGTCTGTTTTAAACGTTCCTTGTTCTTCTCACTTATTTTTTGAAATTTAATGAAATTTAATTTAATGATTAACCTCCAACATTATTTATGATTCATTTGACATATAAATGGCTAGCAAAATCCAAGGAAAATCACACATTCTTAGTATTGAAATCATTATCAAATAAATGTGGAAATGCCGAGGATAGTTCATATAGATACATAAACACAAATACAAACCCACATATTCATTCATTCATTCATTTATTGGTTCGATTTATATGCTGCCCTTCTCCGGAGACAATAGCCTTCATACTTTTGTATATACCTGCTTAGTAGGGCTTTCGGACCCCCCCTAAGCGGTGTTCTTTTCTATACAAAGTCAGCTTATTGCCCCCACAATCCGGGTCCTCATTTTACCTACCTTGGAAGGATGGAAGGCTGAGTCAACCTTGAGCCTGGTGAGATTTGAATTTGCAGTAATTGCAGGCAGCTGGTGCTATTTAACAGCACTTTAGTCTGCCACCAAGGCTCAATATAAAGGTACCTATGTTACTATTCTTGCGTATTTCAGCCTGACAAATGTCCCAGAAGTGGGTACGGTCAACTTTTTTGGTCTCATTTTACAGATTTGGGGGGGGGGGTAGCTTTAAGGCAGGAAATGATGCCCAAAGCCTCTGCAAGATTTAAATCACCAGTTTTGCCCATGAAACGCCTCACTTGCAAAGAAAAGAACACGCTCATTAAAAAAAAAAAATAAGGAGTCAACCCCTAAAGTGAAGGAAACTTTTTAAATCTTCCAACCAGCAGAAAATCGCAGGCGACACTTTTAAAGCGTGCAAGCACCAGTGGAATATGGAGACATTTAGATCAGGAAAAAAAAAAAACCCCGAAGGGACCCGTTTCAAATCATGCAGGAAGAGTGGAATAAAATTTGAGGAGGGAAGGGATAAATAGCAACAACCCCAAAGTGAATGAGACTTTTTGCAATCTTTTTAAATATCCCAACCAGCAGAATATTCAAGGCATCATTTTTAAAGGAGCAGATTTTTTTTTTAAAAAAAAAAAGCCTGCAGTACTATTGGAATAAAAATTTGGGAAGGAAAAAACAAGGTACACCCTGGACTGGAGGAAACCCAAGAGCCCGACTTGCTCCCGGCTTCTCCTCCTCCGATCTTCCTCCAACTCACCTTCCAGCTGCAGCCGCGACCCTGGGAAGAGCACGAGAGCCGCTCCCCACGCGCCCATCCTCCTTCAGGTGAGCCGGAAGAGGAAGTCCCTCTGCCTCCTCTCCTCCTCCGACATCCTCTCTAGCACTCCAGGACTCGAATGCTCTACCTCACAAATAGGGGCTGTTTTCAAGAGGGCGGCTTTAGAGCGCCATCGAGCGACCTCAGGCTGAAAAAGCACACTTGTCCGAATATCCTGAGGCGGTTGCCAGATTCTCTCCCTTGATTATGATGTGCCTTCAAAATAATCGACATTTACCGACCATATCGACAGTTCTGTCGGCTCCCTAGGTGGCTCAGTGGCTAAGACGCTGAGCTTGTCGATCAGAAAGGTCGCCGGTTCGAAACCCTAGTATAGGTCTCCTGCGTGAGCATGGGGTTGGACTAGATGACCTCCAAGGTCCCTTCTAACTCTGTTACTGTTACTTCTTCTGCAGGAGGAGGATCTATGATCCTTTTGCAAGAAGTGAGAACTAAACCAAGGCAATGTCTATGGAGGTTCTCAGTCATCCAGGCCATGGTTGTCCTAAAAGTGCTTTTTTTTTCACTTTGGACTTTTCTTTTTTTTAGAAATTTTTATTGAAATACATAATAATACAATTTAACAATTGGACTTTTGGACTTTTCACTTTGGTGCTTTTTTTTGGACTTTCTGGGGGTTTTTTTGAAGACGTTTTGCTTCTCATTCAAGAAGCTTCTTCAGCTCTGACTGGATGGTAGGGCTGAAGAAGCTTCTTGGATGAGAAGTGAAACGTCTTCAAAGAAAAACCAGAAAGTCCAATTGCCTCTTGAAAAAGCACCTTTGGATAACCCAAGGGAATGCCTATGAGGAGTTCTCTTGCATTCCTCCCCCCACCCCAAGATGAAGAACTGGCTGGAACTGACTTCACCAAGGAAAGTGCGCTTTATGGCTGCCTGTTTTCCCATGGTTTCATACACACATACAGCTGACACAGGTATATAATATATATGCCTGTTAATAAAATATGGTAGTCTGAAAGGAGTTATTAGATGCCTTCCAATTTTTGGCTGCCAGAGACTCACACAGCTCTCCTTCCAATTGAGTTTTCAATGAAACTCCCAGCCGTTTGTAATTCTGAGTGTCGCAAAAACAAGCCTTGGGAGAAGCACCCCATCAGATTAACAGAGTTGGAAGGGACCTTGCAGGTCATCGAGTCCAATCCCCTGCCCAAGCAGGAAACCCTACACCTGCCTCTACCTAGGATCAAACTCACAACCTCCTGATTGTGGGGCAAGAGCTCCATCTCTAAGCCACCAGGTCTTGTTCTCAGGATGGTGAATGCGAATTGCTTATCACTTGGAAACTACTTTTTGCAAAATACGACTTTAAAAGGGGAAAACAATATAAAAAGAGGAAAACGTAAAATGGCTCCTCAAGAGAAAAAAGCCCATTAAAGCAGCTTTTTGTTTCTTTAATCACAAGAATGGAACATCATAGAATGCAGCAGGGTATATTTTTAATAGAATTGATCTATCTTCAGTTAACAGTACAAATATGGAGAGAATTCACATCTGATCTTTTAAGAGAAAAGTGGTAACTGCAGTATGGAAGTTTACGTAAATGACATGACACAATCCATATCTAGGAGGATTGGTTAATTTTGCTCAAATTCATTCGTTATATATTAGATTTTGTGCGTGCAGTCCAATTAATCTATTAAAAGGGGCTACATGTCTGGTATTGCATTAGTGTCAGTTTCAATGTTTCTACTTTGTATTTTGCATATTCAAATATTAATATTAATATATCAATAAATTTATAGTGTTTTATATTTTTAATCTTAAATTATTTGGTTTTTAATGTTTTATTGTACTGATTAATTTGTATACAACTCAGAGCCCCTCTGTGAGGAAGACAGGCCGTTAAGAAGTTTGATACATAAATAAATTAAATAAATGAATAACATCTTTGATTGGTGTTCTGCACTTATGTCTTAAGCATGGCATAAATTGTTATTCCTCCCCATTGCCCCTCTGGCATTTTGGTTGTATGCCTGAGACACGTCCCAAAAAACAAAAAAAAAAAAAAAAAAAAAAAAACCAAATTTTCAGGGAAGAATAATCAAAAGAAACATACTCTCTGCAACGAACTCTTGCAGCAGATAGCCATCAATTCTTCCAAGTTCTTCCCTCCCATTCCCTCTTTGCTAATGTCCCCTTTCCCCCAAAGACATCAGAATACCGTAGTCACGTAGAGTTTGCATTATGGTATGGTCCTCTCAAAAATCCAGAGGCTTTTGAACCATCTGAAGCATTTTCAGCTCCTAAGGATAAAATCTGATGTGCCCAAAAGACTTGCATAAGGAGCATGGAAAGTTAAAAAGCATAGAAAATAATTAAAATCCAAAAATAATTATTATAAAAAGCTAATATAAAAGAGAGAGTATATATAAAAACAGAAGTCTAAAAGGAGGTCTAGGGACGGGGAGCATAAAGGTTAATATGTGGCAGATTAAACCTATCCCCGTGCAAAGTCTAATATGATGTTCAGCAAGACTAATTTATGGCACAGGTCATCCATTATCTGACAAATTTTAAATGCTGATCCTCAGAATCTGGTAACATATGTTATATCAGGGTTTCTATCTGAAAGCAGCAGGGAGATGCAGAATTGTTCTGTCTCTCCTGAGTATTTATGCAGTAATGATGAAATGAGCCTGCTCAAATGCCTCTGTAATACAGCCATTGGAGAAGCATGTGCTCTCTTGTCTGTGGAGATTCTCAGTCATCCAGGACATAGTTGTTTCAAAAGGCAAATTGGATTGTTTTTTCCCTAAGGAGGAAGAAGACATTTCTCATCGAAGAAGCTTCATCGGATCTGGCCAGAACCGATTGCGCTTCTTGAATGAGAAGCAAAACGTCTTCTTCCTTAAGGAAAAAAAACAGTCCAGTTGCCTTTTGAAAAAGCACATTTGAGACGCATGCTTTGTTGTTTGTGTGTCACAGGGGCATTGTATTATAATCTGATCTCTGAATTCTGTCAGTGTAATGAACCAATCTTGAATTCTTTGGAGTCTTTTAGACACAGCACAATAAAAGTCATTCATCTGCATAACTAAAATGCCTCTTAGCTGCTCCAAATAATTTTTTTTTTCTTTACTAGTAGGGATTTTTGGAAACATTTAAAAAGAGCCCCGAGAGTGGAGTGAAAGAATTGAAAGAATCTCCTGTGTCTTGAGAAGAGAGGCTTGCATTTCTTTGTCTCATGTTCACAGCAGTGCTGATATTGCCCTTTTATTTTCCTTTTCAAAAGTTATGGTTCTTACACAATGCATTTTTACAAAAGAAACATTTATCACTTTTTTTTTTTCAGCTCTCCACCACCAAGGAGGAAGCAAAACAAGGGGCAGCATCTTGACATTAATATCACCTACCAGACATCAAAGGTACCTCTAAAGAAACAAGATCATAGGAGGGTTGCTAATAAACAGGAAGGTCCTACACTCAAAAGCATAATTCTTTTTCTCTTCAATATCCTTACAGCACTTATCATATTCAACAGCCTTTACCTGTAAAATTTTACAGAGTGGTTGTTCCTAAACCCTCCCTCATATATTCTCTATTCTGTGCTTTAGTTTACCATAATCTAAATAGGATTCTCCTTGACATAAAATTCTGGAATTGTTAGAAAAATATGAATGTTCCTATTTTTTTAATAATGTATTTTTAAGTCTTGCCGCAGAAATTTGGCACCTACCAGAAATGTTTACTATAATACTGCATAATACTTTATTCAATAAGTATGCTGGCTGGGGGATTCTGGGGCTGAAAATTTGGAGGACATCTAGGTAGAAGGTTAATATATAGTCCTCGATGTACAACAGTTCGTTTAGTGACCGTTCAAAGTTTCAACAGTACTGAAAAAAGGGACTTGTGACCATTTTTCATACTTAAGACCATTGTAGCTTCCCCATGCTCACGTCATTTACATTCGGATGCTTGACAACTGACTCATATTTATGACCGTTGCAGTGTCGCAAGGTCTTGTGATCCCCTTTTGTGACAAGCAAAGTCAATAGCAAAACCAGATTCACTTAACCATATTACTAATTTAACAACTGCAGTGATTCACTTAACAAATGTGGCAAAAGAAGTCATAAAATGGGGCAAAACTCACTTAAATTTCTCACAAAAATTTTGGGCTCCATTATGGTTGTAAATTGAGGAATACCTTTACTTTGTATGTTGCATTTCTATGCCCTATGATGATCAATATGCAAAAAGAAAAAAACCCACCCCAAAACACTTTTTGCAGAATTCCATTATTTTTGCTAAACTAATTAAACTAACATTTTTCCATTTTGCTTCTCTCTCTAAATGTCTAATACTAAGACATTTCACTAAAGTGAATTTCTAAACTGCATTTCCAAAGGAGATCAGAAAGGAAACTCAAACCTTCTCTATATTCATTACCTTTTGCCTCGTGTGGATTTTCTTGTGCGCAGTAAGGGAGGAATTTTGCGTAAAACACCGTCCACACTCTGAGCACTTGAAAGGTTTCTCCCCGATGTGTAAACCTACATGATTTACAAGTTTAGATCTAGTACTGAAACCTTTCCCACAATCTGGACACTCATATGGTTTTTTCCCCTGTGTGAGTCCTCTGATGCACCACCAGGTGGGAATTCCGACTGAAACTTTTCCCACAATCCGAACACTCATATGGTTTTTCTCCTGTGTGAATCCGCTGGTGTACCACCAGGTGAGAATTGTTACTGAAACTTTTCCCACAGTCTGGACACTCATACGGTTTTTCTCCTGTGTGTGCCCTCTGGTGGTATACCAGGAGACAATTCTGACTGAAACTTTCCCCACAATCCTGACACTCATATGGTTTCTTCCCAGTGTGAATCCTCTGGTGCACTACCAGGTGGGAACTGAGACGGAAACTTTTCCCACAATCCGAACACTCATATGGTTTCTCCCCAGTATGAGTCCTCTGGTGTATCACCAAGGCATAATTCCGAATGAAAGTTTTCCCACAATAAAGACACTCATATGGTTTTTCCCCTGTGTGAGTCCTTTCATGTATAATTAGGTAGCAATTCTGACTGAAAGTTTTTCCACAATCCGAACACTCATACGGTTTCTCCCCAGTGTGAGTCCTTTTGTGTATC